TAGCAATGCATTTACTCCCGGGAGACGTCACGGCCGAAGACGCGGGCCTTAACCCAGTCCATGGCGACGAGGACACGGTTGCGGGCTATATGAAATTAGTATAGTTCAAAGGAGCAAATAAGGGAAACGAAAACTTACAGCTGAAGCACATGCTCAGGTAAGCACTACGCCAGAAAAGGTAGGTCAAGGTACCACCGCTGGCAATGTTGCCGCTCAGCCAGCTGATATCGGCGACGGCACGCTCCTTACCAATGTAGGCCAAGCTACCCTGGTGGGAGTACTGGAAGGGTCCGATCTGCTTGGTGCGGCGCAGCTGCTTCTGGCGCTCACGAATCTCATCAAAGGTCTGGTTGCGCTCCTCGTCAGTCTTGCAAAGAGCCTGCTGGTCGGAGAGCTTGGTAAGCTCCTTCTCAATCTCATCGGTCTTAGCCATGGTGTTGAAGAGGCGAGCCAGGAAAGCACCCTCCTGACCGGCAACCTGAGCAGTAGGGGCGTAGTTGGTGATAGCACAGTCACCGACAGCCCAAACGTTCTCGGCACCGTTCACGACGAGGTACTCGTTCACGGCAAGACCGCGGCGGGAGTCCTTCTGGGCGGGGATCTGACCCATAAGGTCACGAATAACAGGGCGAACGGCGTTACCAGTGGCCCAGACGAGAAGGCCGTAGGGGATGGTTTCGAGGGTCTTGCTTCCATCAGGGTTGGTGATCTCAGCCTCAATGGATTTGTCGGTCACATTCTTAACCATGGTCTTGGTGCGAATAGAGATAGACTCCTCCTTGAAAGTCGATTCGGTGTAGTCAATGAGTTGCTTGGAGAACATGGGAAGAACGTTAGGCAGAGCCTCAACAAGAGTCACGTGGAAGTTGTCCTGGATCTCAGGAATCCACTTCTTCAGGTCATCGTTGAAGAAATCTTGCAGCTCGCCAGCGAATTCGACACCAGTGGGGCCACCACCGACGACAACCATGTGCAGCAGGCGCTTAACCTCATCGTCGCTCTGGTCCTTGAACATAGCGGTCTCGACGCAGTCCATAATGCGCTTACGGATTTTCTGGGCATCGTTGACCTCCTTCAAGAAGCAAGAGTTTTCCTTAACACCGGGAATACCTATACGTCCATTAGTCACTTCGCTCGACTCCAAAGACTGTCGAAAAACCTACCAAAAGTAGCGTTCTCAGCACCAACACCGATCACGAGCATGTCGAAGGGAACCTCCGTCTGGGAGATATCACCCTTGATCTCGGAGTCATCGCTGATGTACACAACACGCTTCTCGTAATCGATCTTAGTGGCTTCGGCTTCGTAGAACTTGACACTAGCCTTCTTCTGGCGGAGGACGTTGCGGATAGGCTCCATGATCGAGCGGTGCTCAATCAAACCGGTAGTACAGGAGGGCAGCAGGGGAGTGAACAGGAAGTAATTACGGGGAGAAATAACAACCACATTGTAGTTCTCAGTGTCGAGCTTCTTCAGCAGGGAGACGGAACCCCAACCGGTACCTACAAAGCGGGGGTGTCAGCAACCTTTGAACGTACGAGAATGAGGGAAAACCATCGATCGCGACCGCAACTTACCAAGAATGACAAGAGTCTTCTTCTCTGGGTCGGGGTCAGCCTGCTCCACGGGGTGACGGAGCTCGTAGATGCTGTAGACCAGGGCACCAGTCAGACCAAGACCACCGAGCCAGGTCAACCGCCAGGCCCACCGGAGGGCACGGAAGCGCTTCTTCGGCTTGGGGGCAGGGGAGGGAGTGGGAGTGGGAGCAGCATCAGCGTAAGCGCGGCGAGCGATGCGCGACACGGACTGGACGGAGCGAAGGGGGTTTGCGCGTAGAGCCTGCGAAGTCGCAATGGATCGGCGCGACACCGAGGACAGCTGCATCATGGACGAGGCCATCGAACGCATTGCTAGCGTAGTGCCAGCCATTGTGGGGGAGAGCACACCAGGGAGCTCTGGGGAAAGCTGGGATGGGGTGAAGGAAGGGAGAAATGCTCGAAATCAAAAATTTGATAAGGGCGTCGAGGTTTACTGTTTTAGGCGAATCGGTGTAATCGGTGTGACGGGACAGAACCACTCGGGTTTTTTGCCCCATGTTGCGGGTACATGGCGTTATGCGTGGCTTTGTATGGGCCCGCTAGGTACCGGATACTTTACTCGATGACTTATCACTTTTCGCATTTTCTCCCTTTCTACTGTGTCATTTTCTTGTCCACTGTGTCATAAATCAAAATTCAAGCACATATACCTCTATTTCACAGCTTCTATACTAATCAATTGATCAATTGAGTTTATGTACTTTGTTCCCAATGCCGATCATCCACAATGAGGAGCTCTAGCCCGAAGCCCCATTTTTAATTTTTTTTGCCGCCAGGATAAATTGCGGTAAAAAGGGGAATTATGAACAGAAAAATTGGAGAAATCGTGAGGGGAAGCCGGTGAGGAGAAATCAACCGCCACACCACAATGGTGATTGTTAGCAATGTTACTCACTTTATAGCTCCCAAGGTTATATTTGTAAAAACACAATTTATGTTCCTGCTCCGAGGTACATGTATATCCGTAACTTTCCCGGTTTAGGTTTGTTTCTGGTCCTATTAGATTTCCCCTCTCTCCGATATAACCCGTAACGTGCGGAGAACCACGCTACAATTTTTTGGTGGCTTGAATCGCGCTTTGATGTAGACTAAGTCTGCCCTAGTGGCATAAATCTGGGGATGAAATCCACATATTTGACCGCGGTCCGAGTTTTTCCTGGTTGCCTATGACCTTCCGGAATGGCTTAAGCTTGTCGGCGAGAGTCGCGCTGTGAGGGGAACTTATTCTTATTCCCCCCATTCCCGGGATCGAGGGCGTCGATGACATATAACGGTGGCTATGATTTCCGCAAACCTGAGGCCCATATATATTCTACTTCATACTGTTACAGTTTTAAGAAGGGATCTGTCGATTGAACACCTTGCATGTTGACTTGAATCAAGCGAGGTTGGTCTCCGTCATAATTATTTTTTATATGACGTGAGAGAAACAAACGAACCTTAGCGCGTCTTCGTATAACATATGAGGTCACTCCAGCACTAGGAGGACAAGTCACTTCTCCATCCCTTAAAATGCTACGATATATATATACTATTCCTCTGTCCACGGGTACAGCTTCGATGTTAAAGGGATGTGCAGAAAGTATAGTGGAGCGGTTTTTCTTATCCAGTACCTAACTCTACCTAGTACTATGTACACAAGCTAATCAGTCCCCTGCCTATCCTGCCCAGGTGATAGACTGTAAAAAAAAAAAAAAAAAAAAAAAAAAAAAAAAGAGAAAATATCATCATCATCATCATCATCATCTTTTATGAACAACAACTACATGGATCTGCTCAAATGCTCCTTCCTCTACTCATATCGTCTTTTATGGGCCCGGGCCAGCGTCGCCCATTGCTCGTGCCCAAAAGTCCCTTCAACATAAAGCACGGGTTGACTCACCCCAGTTCTCTGGCCGAAACGGATCATTCGTGCCAAAGTCTGTTTTCGGTGATGTAGTCTTCTGTTCCGGAGTATGGGGTTCATCTTTGCCGCGATGCAAAGACGCGGAGAGGAGGGTCTTTTGGTGGGAGGGAAGGTACCGTTTTTCTCTGTCTAGGTTTCGTTGACCCTTACATTAAATCTGACGAAGCACAAAGCCACACGCTGGGGGCTTGGGAGACAAAGCCTGATCCGTTAGTGGCTTTGAGGAACGGGCTGATCGACCGGGGGCTTGTACGAAGAGTTCTAAAGATTCAGCCTCATTATCGCCTTCCTCGCCTTCAGATCGGCGTCTCACAACCATGGTGGGTGCAAACAAAGTAGACTATTAAGGAAAGATGCTGATAGGTATGGAGTTGACTGTAAATACACAGCTGGGCCGATGTACACAAGGTAGGCCGTAGAGGTAGGGTGTTGAAAGCTATGAAGAGTTGGTTGTAAACAACTAACGTGGAAAAAAAGATAGTGAACACGTCCAAGTGATTGACCAACACGTCTAATGGAGTGATCAAAGTGAATGATCAAAATCCTCAAGGACTGTGAATATGACTATGTAAATAAGCCAATTACAGAGTCAAGAGTCAAGCCTGTGCTCAGCACCCTCATGCTGCTAATTCTGCTAACTCAATCATTCTATTTTCTCTATGTAGATGCTTACTCTACTATTTCAATAGATCCCTTCCATCTAGTCCTTCACCTTAGGTCAGGTACTACTGATAAATAAGGCGCAAAAACGGTATGTTGATAAACTTCACTGCTGCTTACTAGAGCTACCATCAATGAATGCCTCAATGTAGGGTACTTCAAATGCTATATTATCAGTTAATATTTCAGAATTTCAATCGTGGGAGTATCCATTCAAACATCATATAGTCCTATTTGACATCATACTAATAATTTGAACAACGTGGATGGCGTAGTAGTATTGGAAATATACAGTATGTAGTTACATATATTCGTGAGTACGTTCCTAGGCACATATTTGCTCATACTAGGCCACTCAGTGATAGAAAGATAACTGAAGAGTGACACTGGATCAGCTTCTTTTGCTTCTTTTACCTAGCATACTGTCAGTGTATCTCCTGGCTCGAGTCTTGCATATTGTATTGAAATAATGGAAGTCACATGACCTTGGAATTATATAGCATTTCACCTGAATTGCAATTACTTCATGCTATAGCATGGGCTTGTAAACAGTCTGACTTGCTTTGTGGTCTTCAGTCAATATTATCCGGCAATTATCGTGAAGTGTGTTCTGGACTAGGCATACTTCGGAACCTTCCGAGAGCCAACCTTATCTTGACCACTTTTCTCCCTCTTACTCTCCCTCTTCAACCTCCACTTCTTTCTTTCTCAACAACTCTGCATAGCACATCGACGACAAGCCAAAACACCGATACATTGAACTTTTGAATTGACCTGAGATAATTGCTCTTCTTGTTGCTCAGCTAAGCCCGACTCCGGTTGTGGGGATCAGAAAAATGCCAAGCACTACCCCCAAGCCGGCCAAGGTGGAGCCCCCCACCGAACCTGGTCCAGAATCTATTCAGTACGAATCACGAACCTCAGCCACGGAGCCATCAGTACATCAGGCTGTCTATTACGACCCCTCAAAGATTTCCCAAAACATCGTGTCCCGTGTTGCTGCGCCAGAGACTGAGCAAACTCCGCCCACAGCACAACCGCCGTGCTTTGAGACCCTTCCCAAACTATCCTGTCGCATGTACCTGACATTGAATCTCTTGTCTGAAGAGGTCCATTCTTAGGGACTTGATTGCCAACGGAGAAGAAAATGAAGTTGTCTCCCGACCATTCTATGCTGAAGGGGACGGAGGACCGATAGAAATTTGGTACTGAGCCCATCAGCAGGCAACGCCCGAGAGTTTTGTTTTCAACCCTGCAATGGCTGACTTGCGCAAATGCGGCTATGTTATGTGGGATTCGTCCCGGTTGGATGAATGGGGCGTGCTGAGTGAACCACTTGATTACCTCCCTAACGATGGTCAGGTCCAGCGCTATGCATTAGAACAAAAATCCCTTGATAAGAGACGCGCTTGGAAGAAGGAGTTTTGGGGCTTACATGAGAAGTTGACGAAGACGGCTGTGGCGAGGCAGGTGTTGCCTAAGATGAGATACACCGGCGAAAAGTTTCTTGCTGCTAGGCGTATGATCCGAAGCTCCAAGGCGTGGGCGATACGACTCGGGGTTGAGATGGACATGCCTCCGGGCTCCTTTGACTTACCCCTTGAGGAAGAGGCGCAGTCACTACTAAACCAACTGATGGGCTGCAATGTAATGAGATACCCCTGAAGCACAGCAGGAGTTTTGATTTTCTATTTCTGTTTTACAGTGTCACTACCAGAGTGGCTAATCTACCATCGACGCAAGATTTATCAGTCAGGGAAATTGCTACTCTACCGAGTAAAATATATTGGATCAAATATGTACAAGGATCAAACCATCTAGGGACAGGAAAGAACACCCCATCCGGAGCGGAGAAAAAGGGAAGTCAATCTAGAGACAAGAGGGGAATATGGAAGCACGAGGCAGAAAGGTATCAAGATTACAATCGGTGAGAAAAAGAAGACAAAGGTATCGAGCAGAGAATGGAGGCGAGGAATTAAAGAGTGGTAATAGGATTTTCTCAGAAAATGCCCCATCGGCCACGAGTCTCCTTCGCAGCTTGTGCACGATCGGGCCCGCGACTCGCTTTACGACCATCCAATTGCCGAATACCCTCAATCTTCTGCAGGGCCAGCTCAAGGAGCTCCTTCTTGCGGATGATATCGAGGTGGCGGCGGACTCGGGGGTCTTCGCGTGCGAAGCGTTCGATCTCAGCGTCGGAGAGGTGTCGACCGAGTCGCATGTCGAGTTCACGGGGGAAGTTGTAGTAGAACTCAGAGAGGAGCTCGACGTTTAAGAAGAGAACGGCGGTTGAGGTGAGTTTGTCTGCTACTACGTCGAGGAAGACTTCGGGGCAGTAGTATTTGTTCTTTTGTGAGGCGCACTGCTTGGATCGGACAGCCATAAGTCTCATCTTAATGATATCAGCTCGATCACGAAGGAAGACGCCGTCTCGGCCTGGTATTGGTGTATTAGTCAAGAGTTGAAAGAGAATTTTTTCGGGCAAGGGGCACATACCTCTCTCCAAAAGAGCAGCGCTGAAACCGCCAGCACCACCAGCACCGTTACCCTCCAGCACGACTTCACCCTTGCGGACCTTGTCGATGAAAGTCATGACATCCTTGAGCTTCCGCTTTCCAACGCTATCCTCAACGTTCTTGATGGCTGATTCACACGCCTTGAGTTCATCCTTCAGCACTTTACTAACATTTTCACGGCCCTTCGACCACTCTGGGTCCTCGACCTCGATCTCAAATTTGTACGGTTTGATGCAGTTTTCGACTTGATCACTCGTACTAAAGAAGCGATCGTTCAGAATGCTTGTACAGGCATCTGTGATCTGTTTATGAGCACCTGGATGTGTGGCGAATGTAGAAGATGCCAGGAGTGATTCGACGTGGTTTTGGAGAGCATTGGCGACCACGGTAGTAGCAAGTCGACCAATGCCTAGTTTTGTAAGAGATGAAGTGGATGCATCTAGTTTTCTGTGCCAATACAGGGATTCAGCGTCAGCCTTCGGCAGGTCCCTGAGCGGATCAAGCTCTAGCATCGGTGGGCTCAGGTCTTCGACGGGCTTGTTCCAGTAGCGCTGCGCTAAGAGATCCATGACACGCTGGTCCAGTTCAGCTTTTAGCATTTGCCGGACCTGTGGCCGGCCAAATTCCTCAGCAAATGCCTTGAAGGAGTGCTTGAAGCTGTCCAGGCTTTCAGCTAGGTAGGACTCGGCGCTCAAAGGCCGATCGTTATATTGAACCTTGAACTCGTAGGTCGCCTCTTCCAACTCCTGGCTGATGCTATCTCTGGTGCTCGATAGACTAGCTGCCATTGTCTGCTCGAGAACATGCATAAGCTTCTTGCGAAGAGTCGAAACGCCAACTGCAACGTCAGAGTGGGTTCCAAATTCGGTGGGGTGCGCCGAGAAATAGGCATGCTCATTCTTGAGGATGGCGCTAGTAATGTTTCCAGAGCCCCGGGAAAAGAGAGCTGTTGTCTGAGGGATCCGGCTGACAACACCAACATATCCCAAACGAAGAGGATACTTCTTGTCGGTAAGGACGTCGTGACCCCGTGCAGGATCAACGAGGTCCATTTTAGTGATTACACCAATGGTACGCTCGCCACGAGGATCAACACGACGACTGGCTCTCAGGGCTGTTGAGTTTGCAAGGTCGACATCAGCAGCTGAAATGGCCAGAATAACGTTGGGGGCCTGAATGTATTTATCGCAAAGATCGCTGATTTTCTGCTTCAACTCCGGGGGCTGGTCATGGCCAGCAACCTGGATATAGCCAGGAAGATCTATCAAAGAGAGATCTGGGACATTTGGCGAATAAATGGACAACTGAATTGGGTCGTCCGAGACACAATCCGTGTCCGGCACCGCAAGGTTCAGATCGGTCAGGGTGCGTTGGATCTGTGAGAAATCGGTAATTTTGCCGAGGCCTAGGGCGGGGAATTCGCCATACTCCGATTGAGCATTCGGCGTGTTGATCAGGGTAAGCTCGATTGGTCGGCGAGTGACCATATTGGTGCCTTTTGGCAAGAATTCATGTCCAACAATAGCTTCCAGAACCGAACTCTTACCAGAAGACTGGGATCCGATCACAACAATCGATGGCAGAGTCACGGAACCAGACTGACCAACTGTCTGGAGAATGTTCCGGATTTCGATCATCTTGCGTGTGAGGAGCATCATCTGGTCATCCTCGGCGATCTCCTTTTCTTTGCGAGAGTCGTCTTCGTCAGACTTGTCGTAGCCAAATGCTGCAGTCGATCCAGCCGCAACTCCGGCAGTCACACCTCGACCTTCGTTGGGTTCCTTGTCTCCTCCATTCTGAGACTGAGATTCCTCCTCCCCTCGCAGCATCTTCTGCAGCCATTCAGGCATCTCAATATCTCCTGTCGTCTTATTCCACCCACGTTGTGTCTGATCCGCCACATCCTGTATGCCCTGGAACAAGCTCGATGCCGTATTTCCTGCCGTCTCGCTAGCCGTTCTCAAAATATCCATCGCATAGTTTCCAGCCTCTGTAGTAAGTTGTCAGAACACCACCTTTCCACCACGTCATTTGTAGCACGTACGAGTTGCTTGGTATTGGAAATAGGCTAGTCCCGCAATAGTCGCTCCTCCAAACATAGCTGGTAGTCGAACAAGCTTGAAGGCGAGCTTTGGAAGCAGCCGTGCAAAAGAAAAAGCCCGGACGACAGGGACATTGTTGTGGATTCCATTAGCACCTATAGGCCAGGCGCGTCCCCTCAGACCGGCACCACTATTAGCGCGAAGAAGACCTCCGGTCCTGGAGCCTGCATTATGGATGTGGCGAGCTAGGCCGTTCCGCACCAGCGGGGTGAGTCGATGAGAGAGTATCCTCCCACTCATGGCTGTGATGAGATCGCATTCAAAGCCAGATGGGAGAAGAAGGTAATTATCACGATGCTCCCGAGGTCGATCACTGACATCAACGTGACTTGCGCTAGTGGCCGCTTAGCCGACCGTAGTTAAAGGTCACGTGTACCATAAATGACGTGCTGTGCAAGGGAAGTGAGTTATTGTTTGTTGGGAATTTGATGTTTTCTTTGGCTTATTTAGAAGTAATATTTGCCACAATTGACATTCTCCTTTTGGTATTCTCCTGTCTCGTTTTGGTTGTTGTTACGTGGTGGCTCACAGAGTGTCCTATTTCGGCCCCGATAGTCGGTGACTCTTCACCTGTCAACGCCCAACCACTGATCGTCAATTTGTATCAAATCAAGGGTCTGAGTATTGGAAACACTTGGAATCGCGCCTACGACAAGACATATAGCTTTTGAATCTTTTCAAATTTTCGACAAGTCGTCTTTGGCTCTTATCAAGGCACTTGGAAAGCATCAATACCCAGAATGTGTCGTTTTCTTGTGAGTTGACCGCTATAGTGGTGCACTGGCAATCATTTCCTCGACACATCTATATACTCGGACTAGAAGCTAATTTCAATTGCAGATATATAAGGGCCGCAATGAGATCCGTCTCAGCAAGCTGGTCACAGAGCCCAGTCATTCCATTCTGACTCAGTCGTATGATTCACGGTTAAGATTGGTATGTTCTGCAACATAAACCAGCACCATTCCAACTGGAACCTTCAAAACCCCCATTCGAATGTTCCAAACTCAAAGCTAATTCTCAAATCAGGACAACCGCCGCCCAGTGAATGGCGACGGCTTCGGCGTGGGCTTCTACACCGACCCCGCACTCGGCCCAGAGCCCTGCATCTTCACATCGACAATTCCAGCCTGGAACTGCGAGAATCTGGAGCGTCTCGCCGCAAAGACATGCTCAAATCTTGTCTTCGCGCATGTCCGTGCCACCACCGAGGGAAACCTTGCAGAGATCAACTGCCACCCATTCCAACACCAGACGCTGATGTGGATGCACAACGGCGGCATCGGAGGATGGAGCTACATCAAGCGTGCGCTAGCATCTTCTCTCGGGGACAAGTGGTTCCTCGGCGTGAAAGGCAGCACTGATAGCGAGTGGTCGTTTGCTCTGTTCCTTCATCTGCTGGAGCAAGAGGGTGTGGATCCCAGTTCGGATCCTGGGCCTGAGGGCTTCGGGCAGGCGTTGCTGCGTAAAGTCATGATAAAGACCATTGCGCGCATTAATGAGTTTACGCGCGAGGTTGCGGCGAAACATAATGTTACTGACGTGGAGACACGGTCTTTGCTCAATTTTGCAGTGACGGATGGCCATTCTGTTATTTGCACAAGGTATATCAGCAGTAAGACTGATGAGCCGGCTAGTTTGTATTTCTCTTCTGGGACTAAGTGGAAGGAGGGAAAGACGAAGGGTCATTACAAGATGGAGCGCCATGATAAGGGTGCTGATATTGTCTTGGTGGCTAGTGAGCCGATTACCTTCGAGAGACGTGAGTTTACTTCCCATCTATGTCTTCCACAGACACTACATGGTGGCATTGTCGCTCATGAACTAACAATCCTTGATAGATAATTGGGTCTCAGTTCCTACCAACTCGGTAGTTACTATTCACAAGCAGACAGTCCTACTTCACCCCATCTTGGATGAATTCTACAGCGAGGATATGAACCACGACCGATCATCTTGCTACGCTTCTTCCAAGGGCCTTGTCAGCACTAAACCTGGCAACACAGTTCCACCAAATGACAAAGAAAACTGGGCCCCATCGACTCAGGATGGCAACAAACCTGGTCTAGGAGCATCTCGACTGGGACAATCCTCTGAGTGCGCTGTATAATTTCCGGAGTGTGTACAGCACGCCATATACAGCCAACCAACAACATGGTGCCACAACCACCTTGTAAGAGAAGCGTTTTTGTGTTCTGGAGTCAGAGAATGATTTTGAACAGCGAGATGATACCAATTGAGCAGCAATTTGGCGTCATGGGGCTTGATTTTAGATGCTTTTATATGCATGTAAACGGTGAATTTTTTCGGGAATTAGGGGATGTAGCAGTTTGTTAACGCTCAAGGAGTACTTTCGATTTAAATACCAGATTGCGTTTTATCCCGTGGAGATCCAATTGGAGTTTCGAGGTTTTATCTTAGAAGGGCTGAACAGTGTCCACTAATATTATATTATGTATAGTAGTAAAAGGGGTATCGCATAAATTAAAATCAACTATCATCCCCCGATATATTTGCATGCTTGAAATACTTCATCCCGACCCAAGCAACAACAACCCAAACCCACGACATGACAGCCGTAAGTATAATCAAAGCAGGGTAATACCCCACAATTGGAAGCGTTGGATCATCCTCCAATTCTGGAGGCGCATAGGGTGTCTCTCCAACATCCCACGCCCAGCTCCAAACCTCAAAGCAGCTGCCAATGCCCACGACGAAGACGAGCCATGTCACCAAGAGGATGATCCAGCCCCAAGATTCAGTCTCGGAGTAATCCCAAGTGATGTCTGCACTGCTTTTTATCTCGACAGGGTGCGTCGCTAGTGGGGAAGATTTGGCGCGGACGGTGCGGTATGCTGCATCTGGTTGGAGCGGGTAGTAGGAGTCGGAGCTGGAGGGGAGGGCGTGGAGAGATGTGGTTTTAGCGGAGGAATTGGGAGCACCGGATGCAGTTGAGGCGTTATTGGTATTGATCCGTGGAAATGAGACAAGCTCTTCGTCGTCGGTGGCGGTCTCTTCGCCTAGGTGGTTGTTGTTATTGGTATTGGTATTGGAGGTATGTTGCGGGAGACCCTGGCGCCTCCGCACAACAGTCGGGCGGGGATTCTTCAGCGCAGAAATAGGACGGAACCAACTCGGCTGAGCAGGATCTCTAACAGCATCATTGAAACCTCCCATCGGCGAGGCAAAATTGTTGTTTTCCATAGGCGGCGAAGAGGCCTTATCCTTCGGGGAGCGCGGTCTCGGCGCGTCATCCTCAGCCTGGAACCGAGGGGCCTCTGCACGAATAGCCTCAGCACTCTTGCTGAAAGCCCTTTTATCGCGTGACTCAAGCCTTGTACCAAGCAATGCAGTCTTCCTTAATGATCCTCGTCGTCGCCTTGTCTTTCGTTGTTGTTGAATAACCGCCGCCATCGCCTTCCCGCGCTCCGACGCTTCGCTGTTGATCTGGGGCATGGACGGTAGGTCCTCGTTATCGCCGTCATGGTCCATGATGTGGGCTCCTGATCCTGAACCCGTCGCCTGGTTCATTCGTAGAAAAGAGAGCTTTGACAATAGAGAGCCTGAGAGGCTGCGTTTGTGGGTGCTGCTTCCGCTGGCGGGGCGTGTTCGATTGGATAATCTGTCGGCCGTTGCGAATCCCGCATTCTGACCCTCGCTATCGTCCATTGATGCGGGTGGAAACCAAACTGAGAGCTGGGACCGCAGCTCGAGCCTTTCAGTCTCCCAGCATGGATCAACTTGGCTCAAAAATGAGCTTGGTGGTCAGATTTGGTTAGTTTACTTGGTGTGGTCCGGGGGATCGAGCGTTAGGAGCTGGGATTGCTGCCCGTTCTTTCAGGCAAAAATATAGATTTCAGGAGAGGGTCCATCTAATTAAGCCATGCTAATTGCAACACCCTAATGGCAGCCTGGGATATAAAGTAAAATAAGACGTCGTAAGAGTCCAGGCAGATTCAGAAGGCCCGAAGCAAGTTGTTGATTTTTAAGCAAGCTGAAGGAATTTTGGCAACCTCCAATTAAGGTAGCACCATATCGCAGAGTCTAAGCACCATGCATAAAGGCAACACAGGTGGGACAGAAAGACATTGCCGACGCTTTAGGGATATCATATGCAGGAAGAAAGGAAACGAACAAATTGGTATATCGGCTAGGAGGCCAGCGGGCAGAGAATAGAGTGAAAAAAAGATCAAAAACCGATCAGGTCAAGCACTTCAAGGAAACTCATCGCGGCATATACGAATACTGGGGGAAGGGGGGGGGGGGGGACAACGTTCCAAAAAAACCAACTTGTCAACCGAGAAGGAAACCATGGCAGCCCATGGTCGAGCATATTTGGATGAGAAAAGAACACAATGACCAGTATTCAACAAAGGTAGGGGCCTAAGAAAAGAGAAGTATGAAAACGACGAAGCAAATTTGATACAGCACACAGAACATGTACTGGAAACGATGCGATACAAAGCTAGCAAGAAACAATTGACAAGAATAGATCAAGCACAAACAGTAGAGACAGAGTAGGAAAGTCGCTTTTTATTTGGAGCATTGCATAGGAATCGGGAGTCCAAGAAACCCTTGAACAGGTGCTCGCACACTCGAAAGGGGATGAAAGAAAGATCAAACCAACAAAGTGGACTTGGGGTATTCGGTGCACAACACACAAATTCCATTGCAGAATGAGAAAAGAAAAGGCAGCTCAGTCGCTCAAAAAATCCACTTCAAAGGGCAACTTCAAAGGAAACCAGAAGAAAAGAAGAAGAGAAGAGAACAGAACAGAATAAATAGTGTGAAGGGTTTGTAGGAGTAGAGGGAGGGGGGATAGAGGAAGAAAAGCGATTCCAAAACCGCAGATTGGCTTCAGCCAGTGAGAGCCGGTATCAAGATACTGCGCATGGTTGCATGGATGCACCAGCACAATTGCAAACTTGCCTCAGCAAAAACCTTGGAGCAACTTACGCCTGGTAGCCTCCATTAAAGTTGTTGTTGGACTGGTCCCAGTTACCAGACGGGGACATGGGCTGGCCACGCCCATAACCTCCAGCATTACCCTGGGGTCCCTGGGGATAGCCCTGTCCGGGCATACCAGGTCCGCCAAAGTTGTTGCCTTGTTGATCCCAGCCTCGGCCAGCAGGGGCAGGACCTACTCGTCTGTCAGCAAGGTTGGATGGGGATTTCCTAGAAGGGGGGTAATACTGAGATTTAAGACTAACCTTGATTCATGGGGTTTTGAGGGCCGCCATACTGGGGGAAGAAGCCAGCGGGGCTGTTGTTAAATCCGGCATTGGCTTGCGGCGCAGTGAAGTTGTCGAACTGACCGGTAGGAGGTCGGTCCTTGCCCCACTGTGATAGTTAGTATATGGGACTCATACGGCATACGGCATACCAGAAAGGGAAGGGTAAACATACGCTGCACTTGAGGGGACGGCCGTTGACGTTGTAGCCATTAAGCTGGCAAATGGCCATGGCGGCGTTCTCATGCGAATCCATCTTGACAAAGGCGAAGCCCCGGTCGGCCTGCAGGCGAGTCTCAAGAACGTACCCAAAGTTCTGGAAAAGCGGAATCAAGTCATTTTGGGTGGTATACGGGGTCAGGTTGCCAACGTAACAGGTCGTCTGCCATTGCGGAGTCTGCGTGGCAACCATATCGTAGCTCTGAATGCCCTGGGTAGGGAAGTGGTGGTGGCCGAAAGGAGTGGTGGGGGTCATGCCCATCGCCGCCATCGCCTGTTGCTGAGAGATCGAAGGCTGGCCCTTCTGGTTGGCCCAGTTGCAGCGAATGGCACGAGAGCCCAACCATTCCCCATCCATCGCATTGAGCGCCTTGTCAGCCTCTACGCGGTCACGGAAGGCAACGAATCCGTATCCACGCGAGCGACCGGTCTTCATATCCCACATGACACGAGCCTCGGAGATGGTACCAAAGGCGGAGAAGGCTTGCAGCAGGATTTCGTCGTTGACTTCATTGCTCAGGTCGCCGACAAAGATGTGGAAGTGGTTCGAGGTATCCTCCTTGTTGGTGTTGTTGCCCTGGTAGGCCCAGTTGACCCGAATTTCCTACACAGAATTAGAGTTGATCACTAAGCCGGGGTAAACAAACTAACCGACTGATGGATGCGACGTCCGTTCAAAGTCTGCATGGCACGTTCGGCGGCACCAGGGTCATCAAACTCGACAAAGCCGTAGTTGTAGCCCTTGCTGTTAAACTGCTGAAAAGGTCAGCGATGATCCGAGCAGGAAGCCAAGACAAAATGCCCGGTATGGGATAGGAGTTGAGAGGTTTCCCCTACAGTTGGGGTCGCATCCCGAAATTGTCGTGGGAGCGAGGTATCGGAGTCGCTCACATTCTTGTCGGGGATGATCTTGACGCTGACCACGTGGCCAGTCGTCTCAAAAATCTGCTTGAGAATGTCTTCTGTCACCCGGGGGTCCAGACCACCAACGTAGAGAGCGCGCTTGTTAGGTTCGGGGGCCGCCCGACGGACATAACCACCCGCACTTGTAGGAGACATCATGTTGCCCGACATAGGCGAGGTCATGGCCGTGGGAATGGGGTTGGTGTTCTGGGGGATGATCACTGGCGGGCGTGGCGGCGGAGGCATGTGGGACGGGTTGGTCTGGCCGTTGCCTTGGGCAGTCTCGTACTGCTGGTTCTGAGCTCCAGCCGCAGGCTGCGGGGCGGATGCCATAGAGGACGGAGTTGAAGCCGAGATGTTTTCAGCCATCGTGTATGGGCTTTGGAAATGGGGGGAAGTGGGATGAGCGAGTGTTGCAAGAGCACGATGCACAAACTAAGCTGGCGATCGCAGAGGTATCAGGGAATCGACGAGTCTGGCGTATAGACAATTCAAAGTTGTTGGAAAGCACCGGTAAACGTGGAAATGAAGTTGATAAGTATACTAAAGGGGCGTTGGTTTGACGTGGAGGTTTCGATGGATGAATCCGAATGCCGGAGCAAGCTTAGTCGATCCAAACAAAGAGCCAAGACAACAAAAAAAAGGAGTCTGTCAATAGAGACACTTTTTCTCTGACACAGAACACAGTTGAAAGGACGAATATAGTCGATCAGTCAAGTAAGAAAAAAAACCGAAAGGAAGTTTTTTCTTTCCTAATTTTCAGGATGGACAAAAGGTCGTCACAGCTGGAAGTAGCGTTAAAGCGCTTGAGAGATTCGCGAGTCGGAGGGAGGAAGAAGGCGAACAAGAATGAATCAAAGAAAGCCGGTATAAAAACACACACACCAATACCGACAAGATCACGGACGAGGAAGCACAACACGAAAAGGAAAAAAAAGGATGCACGGAGAGAAAGAGGTGTAAAGGGCGCTGCGATGTTTAGCGGTGGTTAGCGGCTAGGGGCTCCCCCACCTGACCTCAACGGGATTAGCGCCCAGTTCGTGTGTACAACTCTTCTCCGTACCACTTCACTCCTGTCCTTCCTTCATCTGTACCCATTATTCATACCCTGTACCTGTTATTTTCTTTTTCTTCCAGCCACTTAGCATGGAGAACCCAAGCTCCTTGGCTGACCTCTCCACTTTGGTGGAGCGGACTGTACGCGCAACTCCCCAAAAAAGAAACTTAAACGATCCCAGATGGCTGACATGCATATAGCTACTTGACACTGGTCGACTATTTCGAAAGTCAGGGTCTATGCCTACAAGTTCACAGTTACAGCGATCAATTCCATCATATTATGAGAGCTTCCAAGAGGCTTTAGATAATCTGTCGGAACAGATTGTGAGTAATAGCCATTCTTTTCTTCTTTGATTCTTGCTAACGTTGCACAGTTCATCGCTAAAGCGTTCTTGGAAAAGGACTACGAGGCGATCAAGGCTCGCGAATCCGTGTCGGTCACGGAAGATGTGGCTATGGGTGACGTAGATGAGAAGACGGTGCAGGACATCCAACCTCAACCTGTGGACGTGAAGATGGAAATCGGCACAGAGCCGGGGGTCAAAGCCAAGACTGAAGATGAGCCGCCGGTTGCCACCAAACCCATCCCTGGGCCGCAGCCCAGTCAGGATGCAGTGGTGAAAGAGGAAAATCAAACCAGTAACGAGCCGATGGGGCAAGGATTCGGCGATGCCGATGGTATCAACTTTGATTCAGTCCTTAATGAGAATGGCGGGTCCAGTTCCTTTCAACTCAGCCTGGACTTTGGCGACGATGATATGGGGAATCAAGCTTTCCTTTCTGGGACGGCATTCGGGACTAGCGCGCCCGGGGAAACTCCCGGCACTTCCCAGCCGGAGAATTCTGCAGCCATGGCCCCTGCTGGCGGGGGTGCATTCGACATGGAACTCCAGAAGAGTGAAGGCGAACCCCAGACTTTCCCTGACCAAGGCAATGCGATGGATGATCTGATGGGACCCGGAGAATCTAGCTTTGATGATTTATTCATGGAGACCGAGAATATTGACGATGGTACCGGGGATCTCAACCAGCTGGAAGGTGATAGCTTGATGAATCTCAACGAGCTAGAGGATAATTGGTTTAGTTAGTATGTGATTGACAGGCACGGAGGCCTAAATAAAATTAATCTTTCTACGAACAATTAATGGTGGGGATATTGTCTCCCATGATCTACATGCGCTTGCAGTCCGCACTAGTGATTTTAGCTATCACTAGGTCAAGCGATATATCAGCTCACGAGTCATGAGGCCCTAGTGGATTATCGAAAACGAGATCCAATAGTTCCAGTGCGACAATTGGGATGTGGACTGGAATTCTCAATAATGGTGGTAGAGCTTTATCTACTTTCTCCTGTCTGTTCTGCTACTCTATTATCTAGGGACAGAGCTAACCGACATACTCGGAATAGCCCTTCATCACAGCCCTGGAGCTCCATACATCGGGCAATTTACTAAAATCTCGCACCGATCTCCAACATCACAGTCCTAGCCTACACCCTCGGACCTAGGGGGGCGGTAGTACAAGACCTGATTGTGCGACAGACCCAACGACAACTAAAAAGAAAGGAAAGGAAAAGAAATAGCAGCCCAAAAGGACCGAATATAAAATTTCCGAAAACCAGTTCCAACCTCCATTCAATGACGTATGAGCAAGGAACGATTGACGGCAGATCTCTAGGGCTGAACACGCTATAAATACTGATGAAATCAGAGCCACGAGCCCAGACGCACGGACGCACGGACGGGGGTTCTCTCCGGGAAGAAAAACCAAGGATGGAAAATTTTAAAATGAACCTCCACGTCGAACCCTAGCTGTGTCCTATGAACGTGGATGCCGAGATGAGGGGAGACGCGTTGGAATTCTGGGTCCTTGGCCGCGATGAGGTCATCGCCAGCTGTCAGGGCACGGACCCGCTTGGGGAGATGAACAAGCCGTAGCCTCAAGCGCTAGGGTTTGGCTCTGTGGTGTGTCGCAAGACCGTGTGCATACAGAGGACCGGGATGCAATGATCTACCTACAGTAAACATGGAAGCCTCGACACCCAAATTTGGGAAGGTTAATGTTTCCAGCCATTCAGGTTGCCAGGTCCCTTGAGTCGTGCAGTAAAGCAAACTCTGAAGATCGGGGCCTGTTCGCCTGACACGATGTGATCATTATTTTGGCTTGGGGGATCCATGCACGAGGGAGTAAGTTTGGTGTTTAGTCGTTTTGACGCGTACAACGCCGGAAACTGGATGGGCTGATCTGTGTATAGAGATCTTGCTTCAGGTCCGGTTGTCTGGATGTCCCGGGTTTGTCTCGGTGCGATGACCCTCACATGCGACCCAGCAAGTCCCGATGGGAGTATTCTCCCCGCAGCCGAGTGCCGTCGGGCGCGTTCCTAGGGCGTGAGCTTGGCTTGGGGCAGTGCCGGGTTAGCCGTTTCATGATATTCCTCTACTCAGCCGTTTTATCCGAGGGAATTGGGCAAGGTATGTTCTTTATAGTTTTGTCTTATCGGGGGAAGAGCTTAATACACAGCCCTGTCAAATCGTTCTGGGGACCATTCTAGATTGCATGGCGTATCGAAACGCCGGGTCTTAGGTAAGAGCCGGATCGCCGGATGGGAAGTCCCCAATTCGATATCATGCCATCATCGATCGGATTTGAAGACCTCGGATCTGGACCTTTTTTTCCCACCCTAATGTATTATTAGTAAAAGAAAATTTGACTATATATGACTTGACACATAAGCATTGCCATATCCCCATTTAAACAGGTACTGATCATCTTCTCAAATCACCGAGCGCCACCAGAAGCCACAAACCCTGGTAAAACAAGGCCAAGCAAGTTCCCAAACGAACCACAATTAGGCCGCTCCATTAGCCAATCCGATCCACTGGCTTAGAGATCTGCAAGGCGATCATTTGAGGGGAGGAGCCGTGTTATGAAGTCAGCAATCCCGAGGAATTCCTCTTCCTGCAAAAGATCGGTGTGCTCCTTGCATTTCAGTTGATTCCAAGGGGGCGTACAAGGGATTTTTTCTCTCTAACATAACAACCGGTCTCACAAAGATTAAAGCTCAGAGGTAAGTGGATTCTTGTGTCGCCCTTCTTTTCTTCTTTTACTGGAATTTACTTTCCCATTTTGGTGTTTCCTGAGCCCGGCACTTGTCGCATTCCTGGCCTTTCACAAGTCTTTTTTTTTCCTTTTTTCGATCTTGCCAAAAGAAAAAAGCAAAAATCAATAGGCTAGGAAAGAGACAAGAGGCAAAAAAGTTCATTAAAAGGCCAGGCAGAACACCAAAAAAAAAAAAGCCCCCCATTCTATGATGCGCCAGAGGAAAGGCAATGATGGCTCACATTGTCCCCACGCAGGTCTCCTTACAATCGGGTGAGGTTTCCCCGCTTCCCTTATCGATCTCCAATCTCCTACGCAGTCGATCGGCATCAACACGACGCTCGAGTCTGAACGCCGTCGAAGAGCAATTCCCTAAACAAAGCCGCCGCGGCTCCATACTAAGAAAGCTGGCGGGTCCACGTGAGAACGCGAAGAGATTCCTTCGCCTGCGGTCATCCGGAATTTCGGCACCCGCTCCCCCGCAGTCAAGACCCCCACGCCAGCGCATCGCTCGGCCTGTCTCGGAGATCATTCTCTCTCCTAGACTTGCTACAATTCATCCCGACGAAATACTGCCCGATATCATGGCCGACGTGTTGCCTCGGGCGGTCGCTGAACAGCCCAGCGCCGTTCCCGAATTATCCACTCCGTTCCCTCCGCTGCGCAACGAGAAGATCATTGCGACTGGAAGTGGTTTGACGCTCGGTATTGCGCTCACAGAGCCAGTTTTGTATCTCCAGGGATATGATCAGCATGATCCTAGTTCCAAAAAATCGGCTATCTTGCGAGGCCAAATACATCTAAAGGTGACCAAATGTGTTAAAATCAAGAAGATCTCGATCTGTTTTAAGGGTCATGCGCAAACGGATTGGCCAGATGGTATGTCTTAAGTGAAGAGCTAGAGCCCCATTCTCGCACACAGCCTAACATGCCTCTCCAGGTATTCCTCCAAAGAAGATCCACTTCCACGATAAGAAAGATCTCGTTACCCACGGAGTCGTATACTTCAATCACGGTGATACCGCGCTCATGCAGAACGACTACGGTGCACACTACTATCAGCACGCTAAGCCCGTCTCCCCGGTACCCGGAAAAGATGCAGTGATTGCCACAAGTCGAGAGCTCTTCTCCAAGAGTGGTTCAACCAACTCACTCGGTGCCGCAGTGTCTTCCCGAGACACCAGGCGCCTTTCCATACCGGCCGCTCGCGGACACTCCCGGAGCTTCAGCAGGAACGAACCACCTACTAGTTCTCAGGCACAACAGCAGCGCAACTACCGAATGTTCCCCGTGGGTGACTACCTGTACAGTTTCGAGTTCCCAATCGATGGATCATTGCCCGAAACCATCAAAACCGATCTTGGCTCCGTCAGATATGACCTAGAGGCTATTGTGGAACGATCAGGCGCCTTCCGGCCAAATCTGCTCGGCACGATGGAAATTCCCGTGATTCGTACCCCAGCCGAAGGTTCTTTGGAGCAAGTCGAACCGATTGCGATCTCGCGAAATTGGGAGGATCAGCTTCACTACGACATTGTCATCTCTGGCAAATCTTTCCCTCTCGGTTCTCAGATTCCGATTGCATTTAAACTCACTCCGCTCGCAAAGGTCGAATGCCATCGTATCAAAGTGTATGTTACGGAAAATATTCAGCATTGGACGTCAGACAAGAGTGTACATCGTTTGCAGCCGGCCAAGAAGGTGCTTCTTTTCGAGAAACGAGCCGAGTCTGCTAGCACAAGTACTTACCCTGGTAGCTCAATGCGAGTCACTGCGGGCGGTGGTATCGATTGGGACCACCGTGCCGCGGCCGCGCGGGGAGAGGAGATTGTCGATCGGGGCAGAACGAATTTGCTCGGCAATCTGGCAAACGATTCAGGGGTCGGTCCAACTGAAATGGAGTTCAGTGTGCAACTCCCGAGCTGCCATGAAATGAGGGGACGGGACGAGGGACAGCGCCTGCACTTTGATACTACTTATGAAAACATCCAAATCAACCACTGGATCAAGGTAAATACTTCCATCGAGTCAAGCGACCTCCAGTCATGATACTGATCCTTATACAGATTGTGCTCCGGCTATCGAAGATTGATGAGAGAGACCCGACTAAGCGCAGACATTTTGAAATCTCCATCGATTCTCCATTCCATATTCTCTCCTGCAAGGCGACGCAAGCGAACATCTACCTCCCGGCGTATTCGAGACCGGCTACCGATCCAGACCCACCGGCGCAAGAGCATGAGTGTGGCTGCCCCGGTGCACCTTTGGCAGCGAGGGAATACTCCATTGGGCAATCGAATTCTGATCGGGAAGACAGCACAACAAATCTCGCCCGCCCGGATGCGACCGGCCGCGCTGTCACTCGAAGCTTCACAAACGGATCTGGTGGGTTGGCACGTCCACCGCAAGCCCATCTGGCGCATGATGCCCCCGGGCGAGAGATTCCTCGCCCAATGCATCTCCTTCGGACGCCATCCTTCGCTCCTCCTGCCTTCGAAGATGTCCCTCCACCTCCTCCCCTCATCACTCCACCTCCTGAGTACACCACCATTGTTGGTAATGGTGATCGTGAGGCTGTGTTGGAAGATTACTTCTCTCGCCTTTCTTTCTACGAGGAAGGAGACGATGACCGAGGCCTCGGACGGGTGGACGTCCCCTTGACCCCAGGAGGACGTGTTAACCGTAGTATGGATGTACCCCGAGAATGGGTACGCTTGGATGACTTTACTGCTTCATGAGTTTCTTTGGTCGCGCTGTACAGCCGCCTAATGTTTCACGATATCCGAGCCATGAAATTACGACATTGTTCATATCGGAGATTGGTGTATTGGGAAGGGGCAACTTGTTTTGGGTTTGGTATTCTTTCTTTACCCGCCCTGGGTCTTCGTCTATATACTGCATTCAGTTGGTTTGGATCGGGTTTGGATTTTTTTCACTTTTATCATGGCAAACATGCCACATGTAACGTTGAGTCTTGCGCAATGCTAGGCTCTGTTCATATCATCCGGGGCAAAAGGCGTGATTACGGTTCTTCCCAGGAAATTACAAATAGTTCCATGCATACAAAATGTTTATACTGCGAGAAATCGCCTTTTAAATAAATTGAACAAAAATATTACGAACTCGGTAACACGTGGGCACTATCTACATGTTCTGAGAAGCGGTGTCATAGATCCCGATAAGAGTGATAAGCCCGCATCTACATTCCTTCCCCGGTTTAGACGCTCCCCACATCTAAGCGGGGGCTTGGGAGATGACATTTTTCTCTCTTCCTCAAGCTAGTCAATTCTTCTTTTCTCGCGTGGCAGAACACTTTATTTGAGCCTCACTGTGCTCGGAGTCCATACTGACTCACGAAAGACCCCGGCTTAATACCCCTGTCAATACCCCTGTGACCCTATTTGGTGGTCCACCCGTCTCCAACACTAATCAATCCACAAGTAAGTCATGAAACCTCTTCTAGCTTGAGGATAGCATTCGCTTATATGAAATTACAAGTTTCAAATATCGTCTATATACTCAGAAAAACTGGGTCATACTTAACAAGGGTCTGATAGCGCGCTATCTGCTAGAGATCGGCCCCACTAGTAGCGGACATCACCGGTCCACATTAAGATCTTCTCTTCTCTATTCCGGTGTCCATACGCACAATATGGCTATCGAGATTCTGCCCCTAACAGAAGCCGATATCCCAGGTGTAATCCAGGTGATCCAACAAGCTTTCGCCGATGATCCATATTTCAAGTGGGTGTTTGATGGCTCCAAGGTATGTACCAAGCCATATCTACCGCAGTATACACCCCATAACACATATCCCAGTTCAACAAACAACGAAATTACAACTCCCTCGCAGCACGCTGTCGCTGGGGCATAAATAATGCGATCTTCCAAGTTGCGAAAGAGATATCCCCAACCGACTCGTCATCATCATCTCCCGTCCTCGGTGTATCCTGCTGGCTACCACCCCACCCACCCTCAAAACCAGAGAGCTGGTACTCCTGGTACCAAGACTGGAAGCTGTCCGCCACTCAACTCCTCACGAACATATTCTACCTTGGCCGCGGAGGGCTCCGGGCAAACAGGTACTGGATATGGAAGGATCAGCAGCAGAAAGCGCATGCGGAGATATGGGATGATCCGCGTGGTTATTATTTCTGTAATATCGTTGCTGTTAGCCCTGAGGCACAGGGGAAGGGCGTGGGGAGGATGCTTTTTGAGTCTGTGACTAAGATTGCAGATGAGGAGGGGGTAAAGTGTTATCTTGAAAGCTCGAAAAACGTGCCTAACGTGCAGATATATGAGAGGATGGGGTTTGAGATGAGTAGGACTATGGAGTGTCGGGATGGAGAGGATGTTTGTATGGTATGTTTGTTTCTTCCCTTCCTCTGACATGATCGCCTACGTCACCCCTGAGTAGGAAATTCAAGCAAGCTAATTTTTAACAGTTGTACTGCATGATGCGTAACCCGAAAACTGAGTAACGTTTATGTCCGATGGCACGATGAGCCAGTTCATTTCAAAGCCCAACTTCAAATCTTGTTGCTTTATTGCATATTTCGGGACTGTCAGTCTCCAAAGTTAAATCACGAAATTCAATTCATACTTTTTAGCTACCGGATACAAACATGTCCTAATCTCTGCGTTGGCCTGATTATCAATTCGCCCTAACGCTCAGACCCATCATCTGCACGATCTCCGGGGCCACTATTGACCCACAAGCAGACCGAGTCTGCCGCGACGATCTGAACTCTATCGCGACAGACGCTTTAGTACCTAGACCCGGGGGCTGTGGTGCTGGTGCCGGTACCGGTATCTCGTTTGTCAAGATAAACGCGGGTGATATATCACAAAGTATAAGCTATGTTATTTCTAAGGGAGGCTGCATACACCACATTTGGGTTATTGTTAAACTCTAACGGTTTCTTTGATACACCCAGGATTGGTGTGTTGACGTTCGATTTCGGTATAAGCCTCTTTAAGATGGTGCTTTTTATTCCCCGCTGGGTTTCAGGTACAGTCAGATTTTAATGTTGACGACTTTCAGCAGATTTCGTGCGGTGCTTTCTGTTTGCAATGAGGCTGCAGCTTTGACCTTGTTGTGACAAAGGGGTGTTTGTGGATATTCACTTATACAGCCCTAAGGGTCCGGACTGATCTATAGCCTTTCACTCTGTCCATTCAAGGCCGCCTGTGATTCACGTTCTTGCGCCGTTGCTATTCACTTTCTGTCTCTACAGTTAAAACTCAGGGGGCGAGCCAGCCGAAAACAAAAAGAATTGTTGTCTAATCAATCATGTTTGTTTTTGTTCCTCATAGACTTCGTGGTCGTGGGGTGCTGGCCATCCTACGATCATACTTCAGCAGGCGCGGACAGAGCCATTGTAATTCAACATGTCAAGATTCAGCTGCCAGAGACACGGTCGAAGAAGACGACAACAAAGAAAACAATGACAATGACACGGACTTGATCGTCAACCAGCTAGCTGCCCTAGCTTCCACCATCAGTCGAGTATCGACCAACCCTACCACAGCGGACTCGTCTTCCTTGTGCAACATCGATATCCAAGACCACTCAGAAAAAGAGCAAGAAGAATCATTTTATTACCTCCGAAGCCTCATAACCATCTCATATCTCACACCAAACCCTGAGATCACATCCACCAACCAAACTCTTCACGTACCACCGCTCCGTCGCAAAAGGGCTTCCTCCAGACTAAGCCTTCGTCTCGATATTCCCGGCCTCTCATTCGCACCAAAGGCCCACAAACCAAAATCTTCTCCTCGATACACCACCCTACCACCAGTCTTCACACCAAAGACAATCTCCATCCGCCCGGAAGTCCGCTTTTAGGATTATCCCCATTACCCTATTCATCCCGATCACCTCATTTCGTTCCGCATCGAACAAGAAATACGGAAGAACTGTTTCATGCTGGAAAGGGAATTGATGTACAGTACATACAGATACTTATCGCTTACTACATACCTATTATGTCAACGCCTTGCAAATTCCGGCAGTGATATCAAATCAAATGCAGTCATGCTCTAGCCTGCATGATCCAAGCCTATAAAATGACCTCAGTAGGACGCGTAAATTTCGGTTTAAGAGGGCGGTACAGATACCCTGCATGAACCCCTAGTCAACAACGATTAGAAACGCCCGGTGGGGAGGGATCGTCGGGTGCGTTTCAGGGTCAAATCCTTCGCAGATGACGTCGAGGTTTATGCCGGCTTTCCGTCATCATCCACGTTTGTTTTAGTTGACGTATTTCAATTTATCCATATTTTCTTTTTTTAGTTTCCACATTTTGATCGTCGGGAGGTTCAGGAAGCTTCCACGACCTATAGATGTGGATTTCGGGTCTAAAGGATTTACAAGGGTTTGAGAACAATGACGACTCCCGCATATTATTCGGAAATAGGCCGAGTGTAAGTGAATAGGCCGATTATAGGTGGAGAAATTGACAAGTGGCCATTGAAAGGTAGAGAAGAGTATAGAACGATGACGACTGATTGTCCCATGGACACCCCGCTCGGCTAGTCCCGAGATGGTGGAAATCCTTCGCCACGGCATACACCTTGGGAGTTTCACCCTAGCATCTCCACTCGGATATGGTCCCTATTTCGTTTTAACGTATCTTATCCTTCAATGTATACGAATACGTTTCGCTCTTACGGAGCCTACGCGTGTCCGATGGGTAAAGACTACAGTAGTTTGTATCATCTACTGGACACTCTGCCCCTTGTGGAAGGTGGATAACGGCAGTGGCTTCGGTACTCCACCCGAGAAGCTCGATAATCCGCACAGACCGTATGAGTTAAGCTGAGTGGATCTAACAAGGACCATCCGATAGAGCCTGAGGACTTGCATCATGCTGATGTGGAGCCGAGGATGGACTTTGGCTCGGGTTGCGCGGGTTCATAGCTTGTTTGATGATGTCGATCCGGACGGGAATTGCCTGATTTTCCTAGCGAGGCATCGCAAACAAGCTAAGCCAAGGCTTCATGCAGAGCCAGACCATTTTAGGAAAGATGCCGAGGATGCACAAGTTTGTTCGGATAAATGTTCACCTTGCACATGAAAGCGGGACAAAGGTACTAGAAGGGGGCTACTGTTAGCCGAGCATTGGCATTATCGATAATCAACATGGCTTCCAAGGTTGGCATGCCAAATAGTTTCTATAGTAGATTGAAATTAAAGAAATGAGTAAGCGGAATGAGGCGGACCGAGATTAGCGCCTTTAATTGGTCGGGAATAGATCGTTGAGCTTGAATAGAATGGCCTTCAATAAACCAGTTATAGCCCACCTGGGCACCGAATGGTCTAGACTGACCAGGCTAGAGAGAGCCCTTGCAGAAGCAAATACCGCTAGCTCTTGCCAAAGGCCTTATCACATGTACCGGAAGATTCGTGTCCAGTAACTGAGCCTCCTAACGGGGCTGGAAATGCGCCACTATAATATGTTTAGAGAGCACAATATTAATAATCAGAAAATGGCTGATGCAAAACTCTAAGTTCAAGACTCAATTAAAATGTAATCAACCTGCTCATGACAATCCCGTTCCTGCGGGATATGCATTCTAGGCCTTGACAATTACAGATCAGGATGCATGGCGATTACCCGATACGGCCTCCAGCAGTTCCAACCTTCCATAATCTTCACGGGCTAGAAAACCTTGGAAAAGTCCCGACATGCAGTGGGGCCACGCCTTTAAACCCCTGGGGCTACGATACTAAAACAAAGAACCTTTACTTTAGTTTGTTCATCTCAAGACCCAATGAACGACCAACGAGGGATTTCATTCCTTTTTCCAAAGCTTGACCAACCACAAGGCCAGAGTGGAAATTAGAAATAGTTCCGCCGTTTATTTCTCCGTCTCATAGCCCCGCGCCATGACCCTGTTGACGAGTGCATTGTCGTATGCCGGAGACTTATGCGTCCTAGCGGGATAAGAGATAGGGAAAATAGGATTCACGACTTGATGCATTTCCCAACAAAAGCGATGAAAAGTGCAAAGCACATGAAAATCATGGAAAGTAAACTCAAGTGTATTGTGGACCGAGCGCGGGCAAGGCTTGGAAGACAAAGACTGTGTTGACGCTAGCGGCATCAAAGGATTTAGTGTTCCAGACAATGGAACTTGCCCTTGACCCTATTTGACTGTTAAATCCCCTCGTGCATCGGTGCAGATCCCGAAGATGGCCTGGATTCTAAAAATCATAAAGCCCCTTTCCCACAATTCTTCCTTCTTCTCCCCGGTGCTGAATCTGGTATCCGGGATCCGCTCCCCGGCAAGCGCTCGGGTGAGCCCTAATCATCCCATACATAAGCCCCGATTCCTCATTGCATCATGACTTTTAAATCCCTGCTAATCACCTTGCTTGTTTCTGCCGTCCAAGACCCCTGTCTAAAGTACCGGATCCCGGTATCCCGTCCTTCGATGGTGCTGTACTTACCCTTGCTTTACTGTCTGCACATTATACATGGTAGGTCTTCGCCAACACATCTTCCCCAGCAGTTCCACACTCTGAAACCGGGGAAGACCAACCAAGTATAAGACGCAGGTAGAGAGGGGGGCGTCCCACATTCGAAGCTTCGCTTCAACCCGCACCCCCCGAAAGGCTGGGATTGCGTGGAACTGCAGAAACCAGACTTGGCGATTCCTGTTTTCGGGATGGTACAAACGACTTTTTGATTTGATTTGGCTAGGAGCGTCTATAACTGCCTTAAACGGTAGCCTAAATGAGCCGGGGACATATCTAGGACCCCTCTTCCTTTCCCTTTCCCTGCTCATCCTCCTCCACATCTATTCATCATAAAAAATAATAACTAGTCAAGCACGGACTTGATCGGAGAAAAACCAAGCCCCTTATTTCCTTGGCAATGTCGCTAAGAACATAAAATGTGAAAATTGCAACTCAGGGTCATGATGGACATTCATTAGCCGGCTCGGCCGATGCTACGACCCCACCCCTGATCAGTAGAACCACGTTGTCTCCTGCCCGTGCGCCCCTCTTCGTTTCGGAGTCCGTGATGTCCTTAATTTGTCGGCTCTATTGACTGTGATTTCTTTGCTTCGCTTGACTATTTCCTACTGTCTTTCGAATGTTTAATTTTAATTCTCAACGTCATTTCCCAAGGACCCTTGAAGATCAAACTATCTCAAACAACCTACTATCATACACGGCATATCCGGATGCGCGGAATCCACATTATAAACAGCAAAATCAGGAACTTTCACAAAAAGAAACCCAGAATAGTCTAGCACCAAATCCAAATCCAGCTGGAATACCTTTGCATTTCATCCAGGCCCCCGTATTTTCCCTTGACGCCGTGAGTGGACGCCGAACAATAGACCAGGGTGTGTCAAACAAATAAAAATTAAAAACCCAATCGCTGCACACGCTCGAACGAAACGAAAACAAATAATCCAGTAAAGTTTAGTTCAAAATACTCTCAGAGTATAGCCCCCAGGGCAAGACAAACTTTAAATGAGGACGTGGCCCTCGAAGACGCGTAGAAGAAGATAGAAAGTGTCGATGTCGATCAGGACCGTTGCCGAGCCGATACAATACATAGTTTGGGTATGGTTTCAGGTGATCCAGTAATTGGTTCGGGAGAGCGGGCATTTTGACTTTTTGGTGGATAGAGGATGAGGTTGGTTGGGTCCGGATCGAATCGCATCATTGCGGTAAACGGTAATGGCCGAGGATTCGGGGGAATAAGGCAAGAAGGTTTTGAGGTTCCCAATTGTGGAGATGCGGGTGTGGTGGTATGAATGCGCACATTCGAAAAAAAGATCATATCATCTGCTAATGCAGAGTAGACATTTGCCTACTACGATTATGATGCGGTCGTGTGGTCCCTCTGCGCAGTGATACTCGTTTTGACCGTCCATGTCGGTACGGATAAAGTGGACGTTGGGTTGAGTGCAAGAGCTATAGACGTAGAAGTTTTTGAAATAGCTGCACATTTTGGTTCCCATCGAGGGGGGTGGATTTTGAATTAGGCTCGCAGGTGCCTATGGTTGATGTGGGGATCGGGATCAGTAGGTAAATGTAAACATGATTTGAACATGATAAAGCGTGGGAATCGGAGGGGAAAAGTATGGAATGTGAAAAGGAAAAAAAGGTCAATTGCAACTACTTAAATTTTTCTTAACTCCACATATTGATACCTGATGATGGTACCAAGTAGCTACAGTAATTCTGCAAGTAGGTTTGCCCTGGTCCCCACCGGTAAAGAAAAAAATGGAAATTAGAAAAATGCAAAATACAAAATACAAAATACAAATATAATAAAATAAAATATTAAAATCCTTGTCAGGAAGCGGGTCCTGCATGAAAAGTAGCTTTGATCTCTGTAGACGTTTAGAAACCAAGGACCATCGGAAATTTGCCCATTATCAGGGATCGGCCCCCTTTTCCTTCCGATGACGAGACCGCGGCATAGAATGAATCGGGTAATGGGAGATCGACGCGGTTCCTCGCAGCCGTTGATGCTTCTTCCATACACACGTGGCGCTAGTCAGGATCTTCATGCATAATACCTCGTGAGACGTGGCCATACCCTTTACTTTTAACTATAGCAAATGTGGGGGGGTTTTTGGGTAGCGACAAACAACTACCTAGTACCAGGTTTGTCGCAAATAAAGGCCAAGTCAGGCGAGCAGGGATAAATCTCTTTACTGGATTGTCTGGTGACCTTCGTCTGGAGGTTGGGCAACCTTTTCGAAACTGGGGGGCACGTCGCGTTGGGCATTCCTCACGAAGAAAAAAAAAAAAAGGATCCATCAAGCCGATGGCAAAGGGGGGGAAAGTTCCTGAAAAATTCATTAATGGAGTTTTACCGCAGCCTCTGTCCCACTTCTACCGCGAACCCCCTGTCATTGTACCGGTCTCCTGACTGATTGGTGCCCAGATTGAGGGGCAACTTACAATAGGAGCAACATAGAGGAATAAGTCGGCCGGGAAAGGATTGAGCTACGTGGCCAGTCTGAACGAGTCATGAGCCGCGGAGGGAGAAGATGGGGGGGCCAAAATTAAGAATAAAAATAAAAACTCCATCTTTGGAAGGATCTAACAGATCCGTTCTAGGTGATAGATTGACAAATCAGGGTCGTTCAGGGTAGTAACGGCGATGGCAGCAGACTAAAATCTCGGAGAGTTCGTCTCTCCGATCTCTTGCGCCATGCGCCATGCTCTCTGTGCCGCGTCGACGACTCCATTCAGACCTCCGCGAATCAAAAAAACAAGGTTTGAGCTCTTCCCGGCACTCTCCAGATCAAAGAAAAAGGCTCCAGCGAATAATTGCCCCACCAAGTACACTAGTACTAGGCGTTCCCTCTTTTGCCTAGTCGTTCAAGGACAATAGTCACTCGGCCGTGTTAGTCGCCGTTAGTTCACCGTGATGGAGTCTGCAAGTGGCACTGCAAAGGCTCCAATGGCCAACAATTGGCTGGAGCTAAATGCGTGCAGGGTTGCGTTGCGTTACTTGGGGCTTTTGCGGCACAAGTACCAAATAGCCAAGGACGGACTATCCTTGTAAATGATGGAACTGTGCAAGGGGGGAGGGTGGAGAATCTTCATACATATTCGAGACCTTCCCATGGGGCAGAGTCCAAGGGAGAAACACGAGATGGTGCGACAATCGAGTGACGTCCTGCAGGTGGCTCTATCCACATGCTGATCGTGGGTTTTTTTCCGTCATTCTTTTTTTTTTTTTTTTTTTTTTTTCCCTTTATTCTTTGTTTCTTTTCCAGAACAGAGCACACGGGCCATGGGCCCATTTCTTTGCTGTGGCTACTACAGTAGCTTCCAATGGAACGCACCGGAGCCCCCCAGTCCCAAGTTTATCGGCTTGTGGAGCCTTGAGAGATAAGTCTCCAGTAGCTTGCCGTGGCTCCGCCTCGGGTACAGCTCCGGAAGTTGCTATCGGAAGAGGGGTTGTGCATAAATGTCGGCACCGAGGCTCAAGTATTCCGAGGTTACTAAAGGTTAGTGAGCACCTTAGTTCGTCAATATACTTCCTGTGGAGTCAAGCAAGGTACTTTGTGTCGAAGGTAAAATCATCCGGTCAAAGTCAGGTCCGATGCCACGTGATATTTGTGTTACTGGGGAAGTTTGCGCTAAGCTGAATCGGGCTGGCAATCCCGTGACTGCCCCCTCGCTTGAATTAGCAACAATTGAAAGACAAAACTTCTTGGCTTGGGAAAATCTGACACTGTCAACACATATTCGCTCGTTTGCCATCACGGTTGAGGTTGGACAACTGAAGCTCGGGAGATAGGGAAAAGAGACAGCTGGTTTGGGTTGAGTCTTTTGTCGTCACACTTTCTCTCTCCACTGTGCCCACTTCTCCGTCGTTGTGGAGACCAGTTCACTCGCGACCGGCCAACCACAACAGGGAGCCCACCATCTACTGCTACTGTCCCACCGGACTACCACCAAGCATCATGGGTTTCGGAGATTTTAACTCGATATGTGAGAAGACGCCTATGCCGCTATGCCTTCTCGTAGGCCCCGTGTCGACGATATCTGGAACCGGGTCGAGGGGCATAGTTTCGAATTGTTATGCCCGGAATATCGAGGTCGCCAATACAATGATATTTCAAGGCGCCGCCTCGTTCATGCATATCATTGCGCTCCAAATGACAGTGATCATGATCTTACACATTCGCTCCAAGTTCACTGCTGTCGGTTCGTACTTCTTTCCGACTGGTGGGGCGATATACGTTACTAATTCTTAAACAGGACGCAAGGAGATTCTCACATTCTTCTACCTCTATCTAGCTCTAACGATTTTCTCTCTTATCATCGATGCCGGTGTTGTTCCACCAAGGAGCGGGCCGTTCCCCTACTTCGTGGCAATCCAAAACGGATTAGTGTCCGCTCTATGCACTTGCTTACTGGTCAACGGTTTCGTCGGGTTCCAACTATATGAAGATGGCACAGCGTTATCTGTGTGGCTGATTCGGATTCCGTCCGCAATCATGTTTGCTATCACCTTTGTCATCTCCCTGCTGACCTTCAAGTCATGGGCAGGTGGTGCTTTAGGACCCGAGAATACCGTTGGTATGTTCGTGGTACTCTACATCATAAACGCCATCTGTATTGCCATCTACATTGTCATGCAACTGCTACTGGTCGTGAACACCCTGGATGACCGCTGGCCCCTCGGACATATCTGTTTCGGCGTGGCAGTATTGATCATCGGTCAGGTGCTCCTGTACGCTTTCAGCGATCTCATCTGCAACAACGTCCAGCATTACATGGATGGCTTGTTCTTTGCAACCTTCTGCAACCTGCTTGCGGTGATGATGGTTTACAAGGTGAGTTTTATGTTACGCAACTTATCAATGCAAATCATGACTAATTGGCCATGTAGTTCTGGGATTCGATCACGACGGAAGATCTCGAATTCTCCGTCGGCGTCAAGGCGAATACTTGGGAGGTTAAGGACCTTCTTTCAGAAGAAGACAGACGTCAAACCGTTTATCAGGATACCAATTCTGAATATGGGGGCAGCATGCGTGCCAGTGGACACCACCGCTCGTCGCATTACGGCCACCGCAGCTAACCTTTTTTTTTTCGTGATTTGTATACAATACCATTACTTGACGATATTTTCTATTTCTTTGTCTTATCTTCTCATACTGGAATGGTCATTCCTTGTATTTAATCGATTTGCTATACGGCCATTTGTTATACAGTCATTTATTCTAACTTTTGTTAATACTAGCATGGAGCAGCATGTGGGGGCGTTTCGTCCCAAGACTCGGATTGGATTAATCAGGACAATTTCATTCATCACCATTACAAAAACTACTCATTCCTTCGTATTCGGGTCTATAAGCTTCCAAGGTCCTCATCCTTCGGGTTCGGGTCTACCGCTTGCTTCTCAAACTCAATAAATATTCTAGACCGAATAAAACGCATGGAGCCTTGGCTTCACTTTCCGAGAACTGTTTGTTGCACTTATTATCTAGATGTGCGGGGAAGTTATTTCTCATTGGACAGCCCTAATCAGCTCAGCAAGGTACCCAATGGGGAATCTCTTTAATATCGACTATTATTGTTCCGAATCAACTCCGAAATGCAACTAATGATAATCCCAACAGGCCACGGGTGGCTTGTTGGGTGCGCAACTGTTTCTTTACAGCACGAAACCCACGACTCGGGGGTGGTGAACATGGTATGAATTGCCGTTTGATGGGGTTTGAAGATTAGTTCAAGCCATTGAAGATCCCAGGCACCAGAGCCCAACTAGGAAATCCGAATGCCAAGACGTAGGAGTCAAGCGGACTACGCCCGGCCGGAGCACAGCACAGCCTCCCTTACCAGGCATCCCAAGCCAATTTTGGTTCTCGGGGCTCTCTTGCAGTTTTGCCTACCAATCAATGCTTTTCAAGGTCCAAATGAATGTCCCAAAGGATCGACAAAGGATGAAACAGGTAATTGGATCGGTGTGGTTCAATCGGGTAGATTTTAGATTAAAAGCTCCTCTTTGGGATAAGCTTCGGTTTTGGCTGTCTAGATTAGTAATTGAGGCCGTAAAAGGATTTCTAATGCGGAGTATGCTTGAAACTTACCGAGTGTAAGCTGGTTCTCATAAATAGGGTTTCTGATACGACATGCCCGGGCGAAACTTTATAGTGGAAATTGTCGATCAGGAAACGACTGTGTGGAGCATAAGTTTTTCGTGCTTCCCACAAATTTCATGGTAAAGTATGCATTTGTGGATTGGTGGATGACCACCGGCTTTTGAAACTGTTTGATCGACAACGTTTCAATCCACGACGACAACGTCATCGGCGTCCATGAAGTCATCATCGCCTTTGGGCTTTGCTTGCTCTGTTGATAGATCGCCCCCTTCGTCCGGTGCGGTGGACGTATTATACCAACCAACGTCAATGGAGGCTACCAAGGTTTTACCAGCCTCGCTAAGCAGGTCAAAGAATGCCGGGTTGTTCTTGGCAATGAACATGCTGACATGAGCCTGAGTTTCATCAGGAGCTTGGTCATTGACGGCCTTAACCCATCGGAGCCCTGGGGCAGTACTTTGTTGTCCACTCTCGACCTCCGGTGGCAGCGTACAGAACGTCCGGAAATTTGAGCGGATAATCTTTTCACTGAATGATGTCTTGCCTGGTAAGGTCTGGACGAGAGATGATGCTCCTTTGCCGAGACATGTATAGAAGTTAACAGACTTGATGCCCCGCTCATCCTGCACATGAGCCAAGCCTTCAAGACGCTGGCGCAGTTCGGAGGTTCTCGTTAGGCAGCCCACAAACTCAAGATGGGACGATACCCAATTGAAACCGGCGGATAAGTTCTGTCTGTTGGTGTATAAAGCAGCTGCACCGCCCGCAGCAACAGCTCCCGCGGCCCCGGCGAACATGGCGTATCGACCCCATCGCTGCCAAGATGGCGTTGCAGCAGCGTCGGCAGAGGCTGGCAGGGCTTTAGCAGGTTCCTTCGCAATTTCAGCTGCAGCTGCTTCTTTGGGTGCGTCGTTCTTTCCACCGTAGCCGAAAAGTCCAGCAACTTCCGAAATCGTGTTGTAGGCCGTGGTAGCATTTCGATAGTGCCCTTCTGCCCCGTATGACACCACGCCTGGAGCAATGCCTAGGTATGGAGTATCAAACGCGAGGACCCCTTGGATGTGAGGGAACATGAATGTACCAGGTTCCACAACAGGGGGCTGGTCATCTGGTCCAGGCGCCGACTGTACATCCGATGTGGAGTTGTGGGGAATGGGCTGCTCAGCTGCTAGCAATAAAAGTGTCTCTGCTGCAACGATTCCACCCATGGAGTGCCCAACCAGGAAAACGTGGACCGATGGGTCAACTGTGGGTGACGCTGTGTGGTTTGCGACCTCCAGATCAATCACGGTATTCTGCAGCCTGTCATGCACAATGTATTAGACTCGACCTCAAATGTATCAAAAATTGAGATATCATGGCACAGGAGATCTCCTACCATTCTCGGAATCTACCCACGCATTCTTTCAGGTCGCCTTTTGTCTCATACTTGGGGTACACAGCCGTTGTGACCGTGACGGCAGGAAGTGCCTTGCCGACTACGACCTGAAGGTGATTTGGAAAGTTGCCGAAGGTGTCATCACCACCCTAAAGCGATTTAAAAGTGAGCGTGAGTCTCGAAAATTTTCGGTATGTTGTGCCGCAGAGGCCGCATTTTGCGGGGAACTTAACCTGCGGTGAAGTGGGGCATATCATACCTTAAAACCATGGATAAAGACCAGAAGGAGGCTTTTATGCATTTTGGAATGAGTATTAGCGGTCATGAAGCATCATGCAACCGCTGCTGGCACAAAACCGCCTGAGAGAAACGCGCTAAACACAGCTAAGTGAGGCCAGACGATGAGAGTAGAAAAGTGGATCTGGGGCCGGATTACGTCACCGTCACCTAGTATCACGTGAAATCCAATCTATGAAGTCTAGAATTAGATCTCACCGTAAGGTGATTGATGAATCAATTTTATCTACTTCAGCTACGCTGTATAAAGCCTAGAGACATTCCATGCAGTCTGATGGTGACGTTAGGAGTTACTTTGCTCGCGTAACATTCCAAGGTCAGGCTGCTTTCGCGATACATATATTGATGCAGATGGATCCACATTCGGACGAATCTATGTATAAACATTCGATTGACATTCCATGAGTCTCTGCGGGACTGTCACCTCATAATTTACCCTTGCGCCGAGGGCTCTGCAGTCGAAGCATGCTATCCTGCATCGAAGTCCCAATTAATGTGCCATCTGGACCCCATAAGTTGCTTTCGTGCACGGCTCTGTTCTCCGCCGATTGAGGTGTCCACCCTTCCTGAATAAACCACTTCATGATTATTTCCGAATCACCACTCTTGGAAACTGAATCCCAATCAATCATTCGTAATGCTTCGCCATGACGATGGATAACCACCATCAAAGTGAGACTGGACATGGCCGTCCAACGTTCAAGACTCAAAGCACGTGGGATCAGCAGGAGAGAGTTCCTGTCACTGGAGTACATGTGTGCACAAATATAAAGATTGTCATATTCTCCAGCTTCCTCTCTCTCCTTGATCTGTGCAAGTGTTGCGGTGGGATCTGCATCCGGTGATCCCTTAAGGCGGTACTGTGACAATTGGCGATATTTCTCCGGACTTGCTTTTATTTCCTTGCTTTCATTGAAACCCTGCATATCGGTCTTGCGCACGTCGAGTCCAGGAAACTCTCGCTCGGTGATATCGCCCTGCTGGAGACCCTTAATCCACCAGTCTGCATCAATGCTAGGGCTGACAGATTGGTCTTCGGGCCGCTTGGCGGAAAGGATATCTTTGAAGCGTTCTTGAACCGCTGGGGGTTGGTGGCTGAAAGTTTTCTCTCCCTCGTCACGCTTAAATGAGCAAAGGCATGAAAAGCAAATTCGGCCGTCTTGCCGGGCATCAACAGAGCGCGTGCAATACATGAATCCATCCCGTACATGTCGAACCGTATATGTGTACGGGACATCCAGCCGGCCACCAAGAATAAATGAGCCGGCCATATCCTGCTGAAGTGTCAGTTGAACTCTATTTTGAGGTTAAAGAGCTCCATAAGACTGACATAAATCACAAATCCCTTCTCGACTGTCTTTGATGCCGCATAGGCAGATTGGGCATATGCGTGCCCCCCAAAGGCTCGGTTACCCTCACCGGGAGGATAAGGGGCAGATAGAGATCGGAAATGCTCAAGCTTCTCAAGCTCGTTGGGATTGGTGTGGGACTCCTTATCGTCCAGTCGCTCCAGTGCCATTAGTCCCACGAAGGAAAGCGGGGAAGGCATCTCATTCGGGTCAATGTTTGCATCATGGGATGACATGATTAATTGCGCACAAACAGACAGGAGATAAATGCATATAAAAAGGCGTAAACAATGTAGTTTCGATATGAATCACAACTCCCAGTTGGATTCGACCCCGACGATAAACCCCTGCTGAAGCGACAATGCCGGATAAGCTCTAGTTCACAAGACAAGAACGCGACGAAAACGAAAAGCCCAATCTATAATTAGTTAAAAGACCATTATAGATGGGATAAAAGGAGGAAAATAAAAGCACTGGGATTCCGGGGTTGACAGTTCACAGCTGGGGAACCTCGGCAAATATACCTCTTGACTGGAGGCCTAGACAGATCACGTGGCAAGAATTGCCGATAGACTAGAATTCTATATAACCGGGAGAGCCATGAACATATTGAAGTAGAAAAAGATATCAGATTGTAATTTTGTACAAGATGCGCCGATTGTGCTGACAGTGCTGAGTAATGTCAAATCCCCATGCCATAATGATACACAAGATAAATAAGGAAAGATGCTGAAGACCAATCACCGAACCCCGAAATGTCATCGCAACGATGGAACATTGAAACGGCATTTCGAGTTTGATCGCAGTGTAAGCCAATTAGATGGAGTCGCTAATGTTGCGGGTGTTGTTCCACTGGACCTTGCCCTCGACATCCTTAACCTCCGCGAGCTTGTCACCCAGCTTGACGACCGAGAAGTTGATCATACGCGGATCAAGACCGAGAGTGCGGCGGATAGATGATTGAACGGGACCGGAGGAGTCGAAACGCATAATGAAGTGGTGGCCCTCGCTGTATCGAGCCTGGTGCTTGGTGGTGACTTTGGGAAGGCGGAAAGTGCCCCAGTTGGTGAAGCCGCGAACGACACCGCCGGAGCGGATAACTTGGGCACCGGCGTTACGGGCAATCCTATTGATGACATTAGTCGACCGATTGATGGTGAAAGAGCCGAAATCTGATGGTAACACATACTCCCGAACCTCGCTGAGGCTGCCCGGGCGGACCTGTGAAGAACACGCATTAGCCTATTGCCATCCCAAATTTCCCATCTCAACGATGGCGCAAGATTCCATCAAAACATACAATGGCAATTAGCTCGTACAACATGGCATCGAGTGGTGGTGCAATAATTTGATAAGATTGACGATGGGAAACCGTGAGTTTCTCCTATGGACGCGCAAAATCCTATCGAAGTTCAGAATCCTTATCGCGCAGTCTTGGCAAATGCGGATTCCCTTATCAATGCACCACCATCTCCGCCGGGGAAGCACGTATTCCTTTCCCTTCTTAAACTCTCCCCTCCTCCCTCTTCACTTCTTCTTTTTCCTCCAATCCTCCCTCCACAACTTCTAAAATGGCCTCCGTTGCTCGCGCTTTCCGTCCCCTTACCTCCCGGGCCCTTGCCCAGAAGCCTCTGGCTTCTAGCTGCCGTGCTACACCTGCTTTCCGCTTCCCGCGGGGAACTCGGAGCTTCTCGCAGAGCCCTCTTGGTGAGTAAATCCGCTCTCCTAAGCTGGTCATTGAGTCACGAAGGGCTTTTTACAATGGAATTGGTCTTCCTTAGACCTTACCGGAGCTAGACCAAGCTTCTTATGGAAACATATCGCTGACGTAGCCATGCATTGGCATCTGCAGCTCAGGTGAAGAAGTACACCGAGTCGCACGAGTGGATTGAGCTCGTTGACGGCACCAACACTGGTGAGTATCTACTTTGTTGTCATCTGTCATTACTTCGATAGTTTGGAGACGTTGCGAACAATATACTGATCCGCTCCGTTTACAGCCAAGATCGGTATCACCAAGTACGCCGCCAACTCCCTCGGTGACGTCGTCTTCGTTGAGCTCCCAGAGGCCGACCTCGAGGTCTCCGCCGGTGAGCCCGTCGGTGCTGTCGAGTCCGTCAAGTCGGCTTCCGATGTCCTCTCCCCTGTCGCCGGCAAGGTCATCCAGGGTAACGCCGTTCTGGAGGACAACGCCAAGACCATCAACTCCAGCCCTGAGCAGGATGGGTGGATTGCTGAGATTGAGATTAGCGATGCTGCTGAGATCGAGACTCTCCTGAGCGAGGAGGCCTACCTCGAGACTCTTGAGGGTGACCACTAGATTATGAGGTCATAGAGTTAAGTGGTGGAATTAGATGTGCGGGGCGGATTGCTACGAAGAATCCCTCTCGATTCTATTTCAAGTGTGATTTTATATTATTTATGTGTTCCAACGAAGACGAGTTGTCTTTTTTTTCAACAATGGCGTTTAGAACTAGTCGGGCCCTCCACGGCTTTGGCTCAATCAATGAAAGAAGTATGTGCTGAATCCGGTTAAGTATGTAACTACGAAATTTAAAGTTTGAATTGAATCAAGACCTTGCGCATAATCATAATCGGAATTTTCACATTAAGTCAATCTAAGTATATGTACAGGCCGGATATCCATAGAACCAAACAAAATCTATACAGGAGGGATAGTATCACGACAAATAGGGCATTGAAGACGAAGTCTCATCCAACTTTCCAAGCAGGCCGTATGGAAAATATGTCGACACGGTGTCACCATGTAATTGCGGCGACTCAAGATGCTTGAAGCCCCCTCAGAAACACTACTTCCGCCAGCAGAAGCAAGTGCAGGAAGAACAGGAACCTCAATATCCTGCATGCAAATTGCACAGTCAAACACCACTTTCTTGCGATCCTTCGGTCGCTGTTTGTCGTCATCTTTGGAGTCGCTGACCAAATCCTGTTTATCGGCCCGAAGAGATGCAATAGATAACGTGCCACCGGCTTCCAGATCATCATCAGGCCCGGCAGTATCCCGCAAGGTTGGGTGGTAATCGTAGGCCGGGGGAGCCCACCCACGTGGTACGAAGAAACGGGGACCCAAGATGTCTTGACTCGCCAGCATCCAAGCTTGAACCCACATCCACCCCGCCATAATGAATGCGGTCGTCCAGTCGGGTCGAATGAATAGTACGTTGCCCCGCGCTGTAAGGAAGTACAGGAAGGGGAACAATCGAAGAATGCTCTGACCAATCACAAAATCCCACCGCAGTGCTTTGCGACAGTTGCGCATGACATTGCGGTGTATCTGTGGGATCCAGAAAGAAAGATAAACACCTGACAACAGACGCGCATAAATGGACCCTAAGCGCCGAGGCAAAAGGAACGCCCAAATTGAAAGTATGAGCATACCAAAAAGAGCGAGATAGAAACGCGCATACATGGCGCCTACGTCACTGCGCATTTGTCCAGCGGTTGGCGCAGCGGTACGGTTGGCAGGCGGGGTATCCGTTTCATTCTCGGGAGGATCTTGGTCAGGCGTGAGGATGATGGGAGTTGCACCGGAGTCCCGAGGTGCAGTTGCAGGTAAAGGTAAAGTCCCCGGGCGTGTAGCGGGGGCCGGTGGATTAGCCGGCTGTTCTTCGCGTCGTTCTGGCTCCTGTACAGCCCAGATCTCCATCATAAATTTCATTCCAATGTAACTGACAGACAGGAATGCCAAAAAGGAAGCAGTTGCTAAGACCAAAAATGACACAGCCTCGTAGAGTTCCAAGACAATGAAAGTGAGGACGAAAGCGTCACCAAGCGCCATCAATGCGATTGTATAGAAACTGACCCGACTTCGAGTCGAAGGGGTTGAAGCCTCTTTGATTTGGCGCAGAAGCAAAGTGATCTGTGCAACAAAGGCTCCAGAAACCACGAATATAAGGCGAGCTGCGTATTTACTGTACTCTTCATGCTTGGGACCAGAGAGGTAGAGCGTGTCTGTTGGTGGGAACTCCGGAGTACCTTTCGTTTCAAGCACGTAACCGCAGTCCGGAGAGAAGATGACGGCGGACATGGTCATCAAAGGAGGATCTGGGATAGGTGCACCTATGGGGTACCTGAGCTCCGCCTCGATCTTTTCTAGGGTCAAGCGGTCGGCAAGAACACCATCGATCACGACTGGATGTTGTTGCAGGAAGATGATATGTTCACATTTGGGTGCTGGGAATTCCATTTGCTCATTGCCTGCCAAAGAAGCCCATGGAAACAGCGTAGGGGGTCGATTCGGCTTATTGGACATGCTGTCTATGAGTGACTTGAGTAGAAGCCGTTGGGATAATTCGTAAGTATCGGCAGATAATGCAAAGTGCGGCAAGGAAAAAATGCCACCGAACTTCTCACTCGAAGTAGTCAATATGATCTCTCCAGTTTCTGGAAAGTGCATTCCGAACAATGAGAGGTACCAGGTGCTGCCCCAGAAGTCATCGCTCTCAACAGTCACGCTCGATCGAATCTCGCGTACAAGCCCCTCACCAAGTCGGAGCTCCTCTCCGCCCCCCTCTTCCAAGTTAAAGTATAGTGTGCCTCCGGTACCCGTGATATTTGAGCTGAATTCGTGGGTAAAGTATTCGTGTTCGCGGGCAATGGCCGTTGTATTGAGAGGCACCTGGCGCTGGGGATCTCCAGTCCGACGGACCCAGTCACCTCGTAATTTCCCCGTCGCATTGCGATACACCGGTAGGGATAAGTCGGTCAGATTAAACGGAGAAGCCCCAGTCGGATCGTCTAAACCTTTTGGTGGTTCGAGGCCGGCATTGGTGAGAACGGACTTGAGCTGATTTCGCGCACGGCCTTGAACGTGCGAAAACAAATCCCATGCATAGCTGTCGTTCTTCCGCACTCCTGGAAAGGGGAGCCATCGATCTTCTGGCGGATTAAAGTCCCCATACTTCGATTCGTTCAGGAGCTTGAGTGCATGTTCCGAGCGAGCGAGCTCACGCTGACGCTGGCGGTTCTCATCGATCAAAGGTGGACGCGACTGTGAACTAAGCAGGAGGTAGAATATCAACATAAGAAAGAAAAAGGAGCCGCGGTTATCCATTGACGCCACGGGGTGTCCGAGTCGGACGTCTCTCTCCACTTCAGAACGGCACGATAAGCATCGCGGGGAGAGCGGGGAGGTAAGCACGGGGATGCGCGCTTCTTAAAGTAGGATCAAGAAAAAATCAAACTTCCAGCCCTCGAAGAATAATGAATGACGAGGATGAAGTGGTAACATGAAGAGTATGAAGAGTGGATGATGTACACGACAAGGCCTCGTCCCCGCCCCTTCCGCTAGCATCGACACCTTGGAAATCGGGTGTGAATCTCTAATCTTAACCCCGTTAGCTAAGGATGATAGGAGATCGATCTCCTATTCCAGATTCAGCTCCCCCCGCAACCACACTTCACGGTGGAAACGCGTTTACGGAAAGCCATCATGATGGCTTCCAACATGCCTCTCCCTATTCCTCCACGCACTCCTACTCCGCCGGCGGACGATTCATCCTACAATGCATTTACAAATCCTAGAGTTACTGTTGATCGCGACGCCTTGTCGCCACTGCGGGAAAGTTTCTCCCAAAGCTTCTCGTTAGAGTCAGGCAGTCGAGACCATCTAAGCCCTACAAAGGGGTCGTTCAATTTGAGCCCCGGGCCTGCAGAATCGAAATCTGAGCAAAATGGCTCGACCGACTCTACCCCAGCGGGCCCCTTCAATTTCAATACCACAGTGATGGCAAAGAGCCCAGTGGTGAAATCGGTAAGCATTGATTGTGAAGGACTTGCGAATCATTGCTGATGAATGTTTTCTGTCAGAACATCGGACAACGTCGTGGTCACAAATATAAGCACAGTAGTATTTCGCATCAAATATTCCTTGAGCCACCCCCTCGCGCGCCCTTGGCTCTCCCCAATTCACTTCCTATTCCAACCCTCAGTGAATGCCGTGCCAGCATGTCCAAGGAGCAGAAAACACGGTTTTGGTGGAGCGTGTGCCATATGTTCGTGGCTGCATATACACTATGGACGGCGCATGGATCGCTGGCGATGACTGCGTTGTCTCATTTGATTTTGTTTGACTCCTTGGGAGCTCTTCTATGTGTTGCTGTGGATGTTCTGGGCAATTTCGAAGTCTGGAAAAGATCCAGTATCCGCCACCCGTTTGGCCTGGAGCGGGCGGAAGTTCTCGCTGGGTTCGCCATGTGTGTCCTGCTTCTCTTCATGGGTCTCGACTTGATATCCCACAATCTGCAGCATTTCTTAGAGAAGTCGGGCCATGAGCCTCACCATCCGCACCCCCACGATCGCGTTCCTTTAGGCAGCGTTGACGTGACTGCCGTTCTGGCTATTACTTCAACCCTTGTCTCTGCAATTGGCTTGAAGAACCATGCGCGGATTGGAAAAGCCATGCGTTTTGCATATATCGACTCTCTTCCTTCTGTCCTGAGTAACCCAACTCACTTTTTGACTCTCTCATGCTCTGTTCTCCTCCTTGTGCTCCCATTGGTGTCGATCCAGATTTACAACTGGCTAGATAAGCTCCTGTCGGGTACCATCGCCCTCTCAATGTGCTTCCTCGGAGTTCGATTAGTAAAGACATTGGGCTCAATGCTTCTGATGTCGTACTCGGGCCCAGGTGTCGCCGAGGTTATCAAGGATATTGAAGCAGAGCCTTCGGTATTTGGTGTTGACGACGCACGGTTCTGGCAGGTTCATTATGGCCTATGCATGGCCAACGTCAAGCTACGTGTCTCGGGCAGTGAGGATAACATCTCTCGTCTGCGAGAGAAGATATCCAGCCTGATTCGAAATCGGCTTGGCGGGGGCTATGGTACTGGAGGACAGAAATGGGAGGTCTCCCTTCAGTTCACTATTGAGCGGACTTGAATTCTACTAGATGGTGCATGCTAAAGTAAATGTGCGGACATACTTGGATATACTCTTCTTGTACACTACCAATTCAAGCATTGATTGTATTATTTGTATAGATCTTTCTCTTCGTCATAGACTTGAAACCTGTATTGCACCATTAAAAAAGTACGTTTCTGATGTAGATTCGAGGTGGGGTAAATTGAAATGATAAACTACTTGGGTAAAAAACCTAGGTAAAAGGAAATAATCTAGTTGACGAAAAGCCTTCTTCATATTCAATAGCACACATCGCTGTCGGATACAATGCCCGCGCGAAGACTTCCCAGATAGGATGTCGATATCAAACCGTGGAATTTTGGTACATGCAACAAAAGAAACAAGAAGATAAAATAAAAGGGAATACACGTCGCGATGCTCAATCTCTACCACCCATAGACACATTTGGACTCTTTTATGATGCGGTAGAAAGAATAGCACCCTCCTCGACCTTGGTCAGGCCTTCACGCTGGTCCCGTCGTCGGCGCTTCTCCAAAATAGCCTCGCGGCGCTGTGCAAGCATCTTGAGCTGTCGGTTCTCAACACCCTGGAGCCAGTAGCCGAAGCTTCCACCGACACCGGCGAAGAGAGGGTAGACCCAGAGGGATTCCCGGGCGAGGATGGGACGCATTTCGATTCCGAGTTGCCAAAGGCGGACGGCAATGCCTGAATAGCATAAATTAGCTTCAATATTCTATTCAGAGGCCTGATATCACAATAACTAGGCAATTGGGCTAGTTCCGATATGTAGAGACCAATTGAGGAGGATATCGTCACGTACCGAAGCCGCTCCAGAAGAGGACTTTGTGGACCATGATCGCGACCGGCTGGGGGCGGATAGGGGAATGTAAAAGACAGGCGAGTAGTTCCAACAGGTATGGAAGAGGTAGACTCTGCGCGCTCGCAGTGTAATGTCGCCCGGGGTTGGAGTTGAATTCGGGGGCTTGGAGTCGTACTGGGCCGGCAGGAGTGTGGTTGGAAGCAAATCAGACACCCGCAGTATCCAAGCACGGAACAACCGTTTCTCCGCTTCTTACAACCCCCATCTGTTATCGCTTATCACCCTTACGCGCGACTTCCGAACTTCGAAACTTTGGTCATTAATTCTATTGCCCGTTGCTCTGTCCAACAATGGCCGATCCGGAGGCCATGGAAGACGTGCAGCTGGGCGCCAAAAGGCCAGCGCTCGATATTGAGAGTCTCAAATCAAAGAAATTCAAAGCAGATGATCTGCCTTTATCTTCGGCGCAGCATGCGAGCATCGATAAACTCCTGCTTTCGTTCAAGAAGAAGGGTGGATTCGACAGCATTCGCAAGAAAATCTGGGCCGACTTTAATGATGGAGTATGTTGAAATCACCACCATTTCATATCGCCTGTGATCGCTTTGTTCTATTTTTTTGATTGATATCTAACACATCCCTACAGGAGTCGAAAACCAAGTTCACCGACGAGTTGTTTGCATTGGCCGAGTCAGAAATCGAGCGCGAGCCAGCCCTCCTTTCACGCGAGAGAGGAAAAGCTGCAACTCTGATCGAGGGGGCCGTCGACCGAAGCGATGTCTACAAGAACGCCGAATTATCCATCGACACGCTAGCATCCAACCATTTGCAGTCCATACTTGATTCCGTGCGCGAGATTCGTCGACAAGAAATTGGCGACGAAGCAGCGACGAAAGAAGAGGAGGCTGGGAACAAAACGGATGCAGACTACGAAGCCCATGTGCGAGCCAAGCGAGAGGAACGGGAAAAGGTCTGGCGCGAGGAAATGCGCAAGCAAAAAGAAATCGACGACGAGCAAAAACGCATCAGGGACGAGGAGCGCCGCAAAAAACGTGAATTGGAACGGAAGAAGGAAGAAGAAGAATTGGCGAGGAGGAAGGAGATCGATGACCAACGGCGAGCCGAGCGTGAGCGTGAGCGCGAAGAGCAAAGGGCTATTGATGACCGGGAGCGAGAGGAGAGACGCGAACGGCGGAGACGAGAGGATCGGGACCGGTATCGCGACTACGATCGATTTAACGATTGGTCGCCAGCCTATCGCTCTGATCGTGGTGTGTCACGCACCGGGGATACAAAACGAGAGAAGTCTGCCGTATCGAAAGATGCAACTCCTGCACCAGCTGGCCCTGTAGATGAGGAGTCACTCGAGGAAGCTGCTTTGAAGCTGCTGCTGAAAGAGGGAGAGGAGCTTGCAGCTAAGGCGCGCCAAAAGCCAGATTTTGACTTTGAAAAGGCCGAGGCCCTCGAGAGCGGACTGAAACCAGACAATAAAAATGGCGACTCAAAGTTGGGCAATGCCTTGACCAGGACGACTAGCGCATCGCGCGACTCCAGGCCCCGCGATTCCATATCCGACCGAAGAGATCGGACTCGACACCACACCCGAGACCGGAGCCGAAGCCGCTCTCGCCGACGCGGATCTAGGTATAGCCCTGACCGTCGTCGTGATCGGTCTAGGGATGCTTCAGTGAGATCACGTGATGAACGACGTGGCTTCCGTGATTTCCGTGATTCCCGCGATGATCGAAGCTATCGACCAAGCCTTCGCACTCGTAGTCGATCAGTAGCTAGGGAACGAGATCGTGATAGAGACAGACCTCGACCACGTTCTAAATCCCGAGACCGAGACCCTGACCGCCGTCGCGACAGAAGCCGAGACCGTGATCGTGACCGTGATGATTACCGCCCCCGCCGCAGGTCTCCTTCACGCCGACGTTCACGTTCTCGATCTCGATCTCGTCAACGTGTTCCCCGAGAACCACGCTCTCGTTCTCGGTCTGCCGGCGCGCGACGAAGGTCACGATCCCGACGTGCGTCACGCACTCGACGCCCTTCTCCCGCCAGACGGGCCTCTCCTACCAGAAAAGCCTCACCTTCACTTGATATCGACCGTTATGTGCCGTCGACTAGCAACCGAAGCAAATCACCCCGTCGTCGAGCCCGCTCCCCGGATCGCGAACAAAGACCGCGACTTGGCGAAATTGATCGCTACGTTCCTGGCTCTGAGCGAGAGACTGGCAAAGAAAGAGAGATCAAACCTGCAGCAGAGCCGATTAAAGACACGGATGACCGAAATACTCGTCGGCGGAGTCGTAGTCGACGAAGAAGCCCAAGCCGACGTCGAAGTCGTTCTCGTCGACGAAGCCGTTCTCGCAGACGAAGCCGAGGATAGCTACGAGGGATATAGGAGAATCTTAGTATTCCAATGTAATAATAGTATGCATGTACGACTAGCAGAAATGCAAAAGCGATTAAGATTTTAGTCTGGTTCTCGATCTATAGATTTAGCCTTTTTCCTTATCGTTATCGGGGATCCACTCCACCCAAAAAGTTGAAATCGACTGCGACTAAACTTTCTTCAACCACATTGATCCACTCGCAAAAGGCCTCAGTCGTGCCTTGAAGTCGACAAATTGTTAATAATTACAAGCATTATCACTCTGATATATTAGCGCCCTCAATATTTCTCTACAACACACTATAGCCCCACGCGGCAGCCAACCACATCATCTCAGCGCAGCGCATATTTCATTCCACCTTCAACGAACGCAACTTCAAACACACCCTCGATAACCACACCTCAAAATGGGTTCAACAAATCGCAAAACAACTCTTCCAATGCGGCCCTCAGCGCCGGTCCCTGAGAACGAAGACTCAGACCCAACTTCCTCCTCCGGCTCCTCATCCTCAGAAAGCGACAGCGAAGACTCAGAAGATGAGAACGAGTCCATTCACCACGAACCCAAGGCTACACCTGCGAACACATCATCAATACCTAATATCTCTGGTCGTCCCAAGCCGCAAATACATAGGATTCAGGGGAACTCAGAATTGCTGGCGCGGTTGTCTGCGTTTCTGCCGCAGATGAAGAGTGCGAATGAAGAGTTGGAGAAGGATATTGCTGCCGGAAAGGACGTTGTTATGGATGATGAGGATGAGAATAAGGATTACATTGAGATGGTATGTATTCCCCATGTACTGGTCAGGAGTTTGTTCTGTTGGATGGTTGCTGACTTGACCTGTTTAGAATCTTGGACTAGGAGTTTTGGAGGAAAAGCGTGACAATGGGGATGCTAGCGGTGATGGGGCTGAGGATGAGGCTATGGGTGGGATGGAGTTTGATAAGAAGGCTAAGGCTGGCTTTGATGATGATATTTTAGAGAAATTGATGGGGGGGAAGGATTTAGATGCTGATAAGCCATCTATTGAGGAGCTTGGTCAGTAGAACATGCATTGTCCAGTTCTTTGTCAGGAATCTCTTCAAGTATACAACTACAATGAACACAATTCAAGGACAAAAAGTCAAATAGGCATAATATAGTTTCGTACATTTTATGCAATAGCATCGCCAATATCCTGTGAACCCAACCAAGAAAGTCTATAAAGACACCCGTGAAGAGAAGAAAAAGAAAATAAAAACAAAAACAAGCATGTCAAGTGTCTATTTATATGCATGATCCCATCACACTATGGCAGAGCCATATGATTAAAATTTGATTAAAGTTGAACATGGCGTCGTATCAAGGCTTATGAGACCTCCTTGATGCGGCATGTCCAGCCAGATTCCTGGCTGAGAAGAGGCAAGCTAGCGCCAAGGCACCAGCCCAGCTCGTTGTCCTTGATCTTCTTGGCAATCTTGACCTCGCGAGACAAGGGCATCTCGTAACCGGTGTGGAGAAGACCAAGCATGAAGTTCAGGTCCAGGCACCACTCCGGACGATCACGGAGCTCTGCCATCGCGCCTTCGACGCTCTCAAAGACACCCCAGCTGTCCTCACCACCACAGACGGTAGAGGTGAGGTCGTGGAGCTCACCCAGAGTGAAGGAGGAAGGCATACCAAGAGGGGCAGTGCGGTCGTAGAAGTAGGAGAAAATGTAGACATCCTCGCGAGAGAAGGTCTTCTCGAGAGACGGCTGGTGAACACCGTTGAACGAGCAAGGGGCCAGCTTGCAGTCGTTATCCTTCTTCAAGGTCTTTTCGGCAATAGCACGGCACTGAGGAGCAGCAGTCGAGTCCTTGGGACCCACCATGTTCACAGTGACGGAGGGGCTAAGGGGGTGGGGCTCGGCGAACTTGACGGTAACCTCCCGCTCCATATCAGGACCGATACAAGGGTTGGAGATGGGGCGCTTCAGCCAGGACAGGTCCTTCGGGCTGTTGGCCAACATAGCCTCCAAAACAACTTTGTGCATGGCCTCACGAGCCGACATCAGACCGTAGCCAAGGTGAGAGTGCTGGTAGAGTTCGAACTGGCGACCACCGAAGTTGAGCTCGTATTTGTGGTCACCAGCAGCCATATGCTCGGGCATACCGCCAGCCTTGCTCTGCTCAAAGGTGGGCTGGAAAACGATCTGAGTGGAACCACCACCCAAGTCGAAGACGGCAGCGGTGGGGGTCTGATCGGGGCCACCAATCTTGCCGAGGAGGTAGTTAGTGGTAATCCAGGCGTAGACACCCTCATCCTTGCCGTCCATGATCTCCACACCACCCTTCTCTTTGGATACAACGGGGAAGGGGTAGGCAGTTTCCAGACGGTGGCGCACAGCATCCAGAATGTTGCCACTCAACTCGGGGCCCAATAGACGCAGACCGGCGGTGGCCTTGACCGCAACCGGAGTGCAAGACCGGTACTCCGCGGGGACGTTCTGCATAGCAACCTCCATAAGAGGATCTAAGCTGAGAGCAGCACCCTCGGCATCTTCCTTGTAGGAGCTGAGACCAGAGCCGGCGCCCTCCTTCTTAGCAGTCTGCTCGAAGACCTCGTTCTCCAATTCCGGAGTAGAGCCACAGTTGTTGAATCGATAGACGTGGATTCGGGAGCCAGTGCTACCGGCGTCAATCATGAGTGCATACTGAATCAGGGGCTTGGAAGAATCGAAAGGTTTGGTGCACTTTCCGGAACCGGAGGTCGCAGGGGTTTGTTCTATAAAAAGGATGATCAGTCTCCTTGTTCGCTTGAAACAGCGGGGTGAAACTCACCTTGGGTGTAGCTAGAAACAGTTGAACGGGACGGGGACAGCCACAAAAGGACCATAAACACAAACGCGATGATGGCGCCAGTCTTTACGTAGCGCGTTCTTTGGGTCTGTGCCATGGTGGCGGTTTGTTTATCAAATACTCGACCGGACTCGACAGCTGACGCGAAGAAAGAACCGTTGCTCCGGGAGAAAGAGCGCTGACGGACAGATGTGCTCTGATCTAGAGGTTGATTAGGGGCTGGTTGATCGTCGACTCCAGTCGACATGCGAGCAATCGTGGAGGCGATAAGCAAAAAAGGCAGGCGCTGTTGCCACCGGGAAAGAGAAAAGAATGACAAAGATTGAAAAAGGCGAAACTAGACGCAAGAAATCATTGAGCCTCCAGGAACATCAAACAGCCCAGAAAGGAAACTGGGGAAGTAAATATGGTGAAAGTCGGGGAAGAAAAACAGGAGAACAAGAGAAAGGAGATCCAGGGTTTCAGGGTTGTGGCGCATGCTGTGGCGTGGAATTACTCGATCCGGTCAACTCCATACTCTTCTCCTCATTTGACACGCGAGCCATTGTCTTGGCTTGGAGCCGCTTAAACCACTTTGATCCCTACAAACCACCAAGATTTCCTCATTATCGTGATCGATCGCTCGAAATCCTACGTTCCCTTCCTTCCCTGTCGAATTCACCATGAATCATACGCGTGGTCTTATATCCACCGCGCAGGCTTTGCGCCAAACCTTCTTTACACCTCTCCAGAGCTCCAGAGTCAGCTTCCTACAGCCATTTGTCCTTCAGAATGGTTTACAAATCAGAAACTTCCAACACTCCCGCTGCCTCGCCCTCAATAAACCTCGAGCCCCTGTTAAGGGGCCCATCAAAGACGAAGAGATTCGCTCTCAGCTGGTGCAGGTAGTCAATTCTGAGGGAGATCTCGATCCACCCGAGCATCTTGCCGATGTTCTTGAATCATTCGACCGCAAAAAATACTTTCTGATCCAAGTGTCTCCGGGTGCTTTCAAGAAGCCACCGGTATGCAAAGTTATGAACAAATTGGAGTATCGCAATGCCGAGAAAGCGAAGGAAAAGGCAGCCAAGGCAGCCGTAAAAGCCGTCAAGCAAATTGAACTGAACTGGGCCATCGATGCTCACGATCTTGAACACCGCTTGAAGCAGTTGGCTGCATTTTTGGAGAAAGGTCGAAAGGTCGAGGTCATCTTGACTCGGAAGAAGCACAAGCGACCCCCAACGGTCGATGAGATCAAGCATGTCATGCAGACTGTGCTGGACACCACACGAGAGGCAGGAGGCACACAAGTCAAACCAATGGAGGGAGAACCAGGCAAGCGCGTTCTGCTCACTGTGAAGAAGGGTGACAATTGAACTGGATAGAAATAACTTGCATTTTGCATCACTGTGGACTTTGTGGTATATGTATATTATGTATATTTCTGCAGGTGTTGGCACCTCAATGGATTGGTTTAGAAATTTCATCATTCTGGAACTTGGAAGCCAATTACCCTTAATCCTTCTACTCCTATACCTGGGGGGCTTACTTCGGGGTTATACATAGCTTCATCCCCTCACTACCTAGGCATTTGGCAATTCATAGTCCAAGGGCTGCTGAACTTGGGACAAAGTACTTAGATGCCCATAGCCTGGAACACGCCATGTTCCAGGGTCAGCTAATCCTGTCAATATCTACTCCGTACCGCCTGCTTTATCGTACCAATTGATGACAGCCGTGAACCTCCGCAATTCGTAGCTTCTGATTGGTGGAAGCATGACTAAGCCTCTGGGCCCAGAAAAATTGGGTGTTGATTCTCCCCGTTTCCTCTCATCGATTGCTCTTCTTGCTACCGTGTTCTATCGTTTTTGCTTCCCAATTGCAAGATGTCGGGTCTCTCTCGTTCCTTCAACATCCTGGCGCGCTCCAGCCGGGCTTCCATCCTCCGCCCCAGCGCCGTCAACCCCATCCACCATGTCTTTGCCAACAACAAGATGGCTGCTCGTGGCCTGGCCACTGCTTTCGAGCGCACCAAGCCCCATGTGAACATTGGTACTATTGGTCACGTTGATCACGGCAAGGTGAGATGATTGAAATGCTATCCCAGATGTTCGCGCGCGTCTAACCTGATATCCATAGACCAGTTTGACTGCTGCCATCACCAAGTGCCAGGCTGCTAAGGGTCTGGCCGACTTCTCGGATTACGCTTCCATCGATAAGGCCCCTGAGGAGCGCAAGCGTGGTATTACCATCTCGTCTGCCCACATTGAATTCCAGACCAACGACCGCCACTACGCCCACGTTGACTGCCCCGGTCACGCCGATTACATTAAGAACATGATTACTGGTGCCGCCAACATGGACGGTGCTATTGTTGTCGTTGCTGCCTCTGATGGTCAGATGTAAGGATCGAATGGTTTCCTTTTGATACCGGCGCAGTAAAGGATTTGCGCTGACATTTTTTTTTTTGACAACTAGGCCCCAGACCCGTGAGCACTTGCTGCTTGCCCGCCAGGTCGGTGTCCAGAAGATTGTCGTTTTCGTGAACAAGGTCGACGTTGTCGAGGACCCCGAGATGCTTGAGCTTGTCGAGCTTGAGATGCGTGAGCTCCTCACCACCTACGGATTCGAGGGTGAGGAAACCCCTATCATCTTCGGTTCCGCCCTTTGCGCCCTCGAGGACCGCCGCCCCGAGATCGGTGCTGAGCAAATCGACAAGCTTATGGAGGCTGTCGACACTTGGATCCCCACCCCTGCTCGTGACATGGACAAGCCTTTCCTTATGTCCGTTGAGGAGGTGTTCTCCATCCCCGGCCGTGGTACTGTCGTCTCTGGCCGTGTCGAGCGCGGTCTCCTGAAGAAGGATACTGAGGTCGAGATTGTTGGTGGTAGCGAGGCTCCCATCAAGACCAAGGTCACCGACATTGAGACCTTCAAGAAGACCTGTGACGAGTCCCGCGCTGGTGACAACTCCGGTCTGCTTCTCCGTGGTATTAAGCGTGAGGACATCCGCCGTGGTATGGTTGTTGCCGCTCCCGGCTCCACTAAGGCTGCCCAGAAGTTCCTGGTCTCCATGTACGTTTTGACTGAGGCTGAGGGTGGTCGCCGCACTGGTTTCGGCAGCAACTACCGCCCCCAGGTCTACCTCCGCACTGCTGATGAGCCCGGTGACCTCACCTTCCCCGGTGAGGACCAGTCCGGCCGTGTCCAGCCCGGTGACAACGTCGAGATGGTTCTTGCCACCCACCGCCCCGTCGCTGCCGAGGCCGGTCAGCGCTTCAACATCCGTGAGGGTGGCCGTACCGTTGCCACTGGTCTGATCACCCGTGTTCTTGAGGAGTAAATGGTTCCCTTCGATGTGAGCCTATGACCGGACTGCTGTTGCGGTCCAGTTTTGTATTATGACACCCCTTTTCTTTTACTGTTTGTCTGCCACTTTATATTCACAGCGTGGGAATCATCGATCAGCACAAGGGATCCGGGAGGAAGCCGGAGTTTTCGCTTGACATCTCATTCATGTACCTTCTCCCCTCATTGTGTGGAAATGTATTAAAATTTAAGATCAAATCAATTCTCTTTAATAATCCCCATATTCATGTAAAATAACATCTTAAACACTTGGGTACAATAGAGCTGCCATAATGGTCGTTATTCTTCTATCTGCGCCATGGACCTGGTCCCATGGTTCGGCCGAAAGTCACGGACGAAAGTCAGAATTTTCGGACCAATTTGGTCCGGGTCGTGAATATAGCTCATGATGTGCGTGGACCTAAGCACTATACCTTCACAATATGCTTCCCGCAGCCATGCAACTAGCTGCACTTTATCAATTAGCGGGACATTCCTGATATGACTTCTGTAGTCTCCTTACTAAACTCAGCTGTCTGTCACTTATAATTATTGCCACCCCCAGACAACGCCGTTGCGGTAGGTTACCGGTATCTTCATGCTGGTAAGCAAATAGCCAAAGGATAGATAATGCATGGCGCTTTCTCTTTCTCCAAGCTAGAGCTGCTTAGACTGGACTGTAAATATCAGCTGTAAGTAACCTCTTTGCTACAAGAATCCTCAAGCATGATTCAAGAAAAAGACTTACAAGCATGCTCCAGGTCTTATATCCAAGATGTCACGGTTGTCTGGCAGATGTGGATATCATATCACCACGCACTCTGACCCACAATGAATCGCCCAAGCCTTCCATAGTATGGCACCACGAAGCCGCTTACTTTCAACTTGTTCTTTCCTTTCTAATCTGACACTGCTCAGAAGGACACGACTTTCTCGCAGAGCCTGATATCTATTCTATTCTATCCATTCATTACTGCCGGGCACGGGCATCGCAGTGCTCTATGGGGAACTGACATCACGCCATTGCTTATCTTTGAACCAGCTTCTCCTTTCAGCCAACTCCATTCCTTCGCGAGATAGTGCACATGATTGATAGCATGAATGACTCTTTGACCGATGCCCACGGCCCACCCCGCAAAAGGATGCGGAAGGGCACCAGAAGCTGCATGGAATGTATGTGACGGCGATCGCCTCTTCGCCTTGTGAACTTGCTGAGTTGAAAGACAGGCCGACGTCGAAAGATTCGCTGCACATACGATTCTGATCGCTGCGAGATCTGTAACGAATGTCGTTTAAGAGGCTCGAAATGTTTTGATCAGGAACATGTCTCGGACGACCCAAGCGCTGGTCCTGGCTCTGGCCCGTCGGAGCGATATAGCCTCCGGGAGCGAGTCGCATATTTGGAGACTGTAGTACAAGACTTGGCAAAAAAATTGGATCAGACTAATGCTTCTATTTCAAAATGTGAGATTAGGTCAAGCACTCTTGCCGACTGGCATGGATCTTCTTGGAAACTGACATGTTGCTAACGATCATTATAGGTCAAACTTCACCGGGGAACTTGACGCCTGTATCTACGGAACCTGATAGACTAGGCCCGTCAAGTGAAAAGATTGAAAATGCACCTGTGTTGCAGCTATTTGACAACTACCTTGTCAGTCGCCGCGACGACCCATCCAGCAACGATCAGTTTATGGGCGTGAAAGATACGTCAGCTAAGGCCCGAGCAGTCAGACTCGAGCTCATTTCAATGTTTCCTTGCGACCGGGACATTCAAAGAATCTTATCTCAAGCTTCCCACTTATGGTGCATGTGGGAAGAGGATATTCCGGCGCTGCACAAGGTCTTCGCTGCAAGATATGATGTCCCAGAGACCCTGGTTGCACCAGCTGATCTAGCGAAAGCGCTAGTGTGTCTCTCTGTCAGCATGCTTCAGTCTCCTCCTCATTTTGACTTTAACACGCTGCAAAATTCGATGAATCCACAAGAATTCGCCTCTCGATGCTGTGAAGCGGTTGATAGGCTGGTTATTCGTGATGATGATTTCTCGGCAACCCTTCCGGGGATAGAATGTCACTTGCTGCTGTCCAAATTTCACATGAATGAAGGCCGACTACGCAAAGCATGGCTAATCAATCGTCGAGCTATTGAATTGGCTCACCTGGCGGGAATGCATTTGTCAACCCGAAGTCCCCAGCCATCAGACACTTTGTTTGAGAGGCGACTCAAAATTTGGTGTTCCTTGGCTACGTCAGATCGATCCATCAGTCTCATACTTGGTCTTCCATATGTCATTTCCGATACATTCTTCTTACCACAAGTGGAGCGACGTTTGAAGTCTGCGGAGTCTGCTGCTGAACAATACATGCTCCGACTTGGTGTTATAACAGGCCACATGATCGATCGCAATCAAAATCCCACCGAAATGTGTCTTGAGACTACCTTGAAGCTCGATCAAGAACTCGTGGATGCTTACAATTCCATGCCGAATACATACTTCGGTTCAGAGCGTGGCTCGAACGAAAGTAGAGAGCAGTACTTGGAACGGGTTCCGCTTCAGTTTATGCCCAAGGTTGTGCGGGCTCTTCTCCATTTGCCTTTTATGTTGAAATATCCTCATGATCCAAGGTTCAGATACTGCCATAAAATGGCCATTCAATCTGCTCGGGAGGCACAGGTCTTATACAAAATCCTTCGATCAAATGCTCGTTCCTATCTGTGCAAGATCATCGATTTCATGGCTTTTACCATGGGTATGCTGCTGATAGTTCACTTATATGGCTATTCTGAAGAGCAGCCAGATCACAGCAAAGACGAAGATGAACGAGACTGGGCTCTGATCGGAGAACTCGTCGGGATTCTCCGTCAAGCCGCCTCCGAAAGTGGGGGATCCGTTGCTGCCGAGTCAGCTAATATACTTGGTGAGATGTATAACTGTCGATTAGAAAGTGAAAAGGGTGACTGGGATATAGCGGCTCATTGCAAGATTACCGTGCCTTACTTTGGGACAATTACTGTGGGTGCCGGTGCCAAGTTTGCTGGTATGAGGAAGAAGGGACAGTTTCCTGCAGCGCCTACTCCAGATCTTAGCATCTCGTCCTCTCAGAGGACTCCCGGTCAGCTTTATACTCCGCCTTCGTCTGATCAGGATGGTGTACCGACTGTGGCAAACACCAACATCAATGATCATACCCCGGTTGCCGATGCTGCAGGGTGTGACTCGAACCAGTCGCTTCCTACAAACGATGATGTCTCAAACAACGCTATTGCGGGCTTAGAGGGTAATGCCTTCAGTGCACTGTTTGATGATATTGGACAGTATATCTTTCCGAACACCACCAATGTCGACCTGGGACTAGATCAGGGTTGGAACTTGAATTGGTTTGACGGCAACATGCTACCACAGTAATCTTGGTGAGAAGTAGTCGGCGATAGAGAGGATATACCTTTCTGTACATATATGTTTATAACATTTGGACTTGCTTGTTTGCCTTTTTTCCATTTTATGTTTGATGCCATTAATACTACTTTCGAAAGCCAGACAGGTATATAAGCTGGGTATGCTATTTGGATACTAAATGCGGACCTTTGAATGACGATATCTGGTTATTTCGTCGTTTTTAGTTTAGCATCCGCCATATGTACGTCGTTCTGTAACGCCTTATCTACTTAATTTACATGTTCGTGACACACATATAAAACTCCACCGAGGTATGAACATTATGGTAGGCTTCTGGGAATGAGAAATGAGGGGATGGCGAGCGAGCATCATAACAAGGCTGATTAGAATAAACCCCTTTAACAAACACGCGCCCACCTCTTAGGCTTGAGAGATGGGGTGATTGAGCTATCTTGGTACTTTTACCAATACACTCAGAGAGAATCGGCGTTGTCTCAGGAGCTTTAAAACTCTTCTCCTACCTTTACCACCGAGTTTCAGTTTCAGATATACTGAAACTTCCAAATAATCCTATGGTTAATTTTGAACTCTTGCCAGGAACCCATTTTCACCTATGCTATGTGATTAGCGCCCTAGATCACTCCACTGGCACTAGACTATCTCGAACAGATGTCATCATGGAAATTGATTGGATGATGAGAACCGCCAACACCGGTGCCCAGATGACGCCGTTGGCTGATTGGTCAAAAGAGAAACTCATCCGCGGAATGCGCATGAAAAGCCGAGCCAATGCACTTTCAGTCGTGTGGCTTAGACCATTTAGGCGGCTAATTGTTTGAGGACACAGATCGGAAGCAATCTCTTATAACTATCACCACACGCATCTCAAGTCAGTCATCACGGCCACCAATCTTGATTCGTTTTCACCAGTTTCCTACGATTATCTTGATATCAGCAAGAACAGGCCCAGGGCTTTTCCATAATCAACGGCGTCCTGAAAATGCTGTGCACATCTTGTCGCGAAATATTCAACGGTCATTTTGACCAGAGGGATTATACACACCATCTCCATGTCCATGACCTTGAACATGCAGCTTCTCGTAAATGCCAGATATGCCGGGTTCTGTGGAATGCGGTATCTGATTATCCACAACAGTCTGAATTGCCTGTAGGGTCTAAAAAGCGACGCCTCGACCCAATTTCAAGATATACTATTCGTCCTGCATCTGTCGCAGGAAAGTCTATCATGGAGCTTGGCTTCACTGTGAACAAGAACGGTACTGACCAGGGGGTTGTCTATTACCTTCTGTTTGCAAAGCATTTATGGTAAGAAGTAAAACCATGCTGCCGCTATTAGAAACCAATATTCACGCTTCTTCCTTAGATGCTAGCAGCCACATTGACACCGACGTGACGTATAATCCAAGTACATGGGCTCCTAGTATGTCAGGCGCGTTGAAATGGTTGTCTAGATGCTTAAATACGCATGCCAAATGCCGGTCATCTTCAGTATCTGGCTACACCCCCACGCGCCTTCTCCAGATTGGGCAACCAAGCTCCCAAAAAATTCAATTGTCCCTTCGTTCCCAAAGAGAAGGAGCTGCGGTTCAATACGCGACTCTGAGTCATTGTTGGGGGACCTCAAAGCTCTCTGACTTATCGATATTAAATTCAACCTCGCTGAAATTTCTACGTGAAGGAGTTCTGATCTCAGAGATGGACCAGGTGTATCAGGACGCTGTATATACAGCTCGTGCACTAGGATTTGGTTTCCTCTGGATAGATTCCTTGTGCATATTTCAAGACTCCAGGGATGACTGGCAACGAGAGGCGTTACTTATGAGCCAAGTTTATTCGAACGCGACAATCAACATCGTTGCAAGTGCTGCAGCAGGACATGATGCTCACTGCTTCCCAGAAAGGGACTTGTCATTGATTCAGCCATGCATCATAAAATCCGCCTGGGACAATTATGAAAATTGCGAATTCAATCTTTATCACAATGACTTCGTGGATGCCACTCTCAAATGTTTGCCTTTGATGAAACGAGCATGGGTTGTTCAGGAGCTTTTATTGGCGCCAAGGATCATTCACTTAACAGGAACACAGCTTTTCTGGGAATGCTATGAGTTGAACGCGTGTGAAACATATCCAAGAGGTTTACCGCCAAACATTCACGAGCAGTGGTTGACCAGAGATGTCTTATGGGACTTAATTTTTGGCTCCAGAAGCAATCCTGACATGCTGATACGGAATACGGTAAATCAGGGAACTGATAGGCTGAAGAAGCTGTGGAAAGCAATCGTGGAACTCTATACGACAGCACGATTGACGTATGGGACAGACAAACTCATAGGTCTCTCCGGAATTTCGAGGATTGTGGAGCGTTCTCTCGGTGACAAGTACTGTGCTGGATTATGGAGAACATCTCTCATTACTGATTTGTTCTGGTTTAGCTCTTCAATTAAAGGGGGAGGATGGACAAGACCTACCCCCTATCGTGCACCTTCATGGTCTTGGGCTAGTGTGGATGGCCGAGTCTCTTTGCCAATGGTCTTCGATAAACAATCCCAATATATAGAGCCATTGATTGATATACTTAATTGTGAAGTTGAGACCGCTACAGGCGACCCCTTTGGGTCCGTCACAGGAGGCTTTCTGAAGCTTTCTGGGCTTCTCGCTACAATCCAAATTGAGTCCGAACCTGACGGTTCTTGGCATGTTCTGTTTGGTGGTATTTGGTCGCATGATAAAGAACTCCTTTGGATCCGATTCGACGGCACACCCTCAACATATAAACTTCACTGTCTTCCGTTATACCTTGATGTTCATCAGCCGCCAGAATGGAGTATGTCGTGTCTTTTGCTTGAACCTACTGGGAAGAAGCAAGGCCAATTCAAACGGGCTGGCACTCTGCACGCCATCTCTGGAGCAATGGGAATGCATGCCTGGACCAATCTTGAAGACAACAAGAATGAGAACTGGCTCGAATATGAGAGCAGGTGTGATGGTGGTGGATATGTCATCATTATTGTGTGAATGTTATATGTGCGAGAGACAATGACCATCCTCTATTGATTACCAGCTGAAATCTCGGTCCAGATTGCTGTAAGAGCCAAAGCGGGGACGCTAGTTAAATTGGGCGTGGTGTCAAGCCTCGATCCTGCGCAATTCGTCGCCAAGTTACTCTGACTTGTGCTCGTCGGTAGTTCTGGCTCTTTCTGCTCTACTTGGGGCTATTGATTTATATTAACCCCACTGAGATTTAATCAACTTTTCATTTCGTCATGCGAAAGTTATAGGTATCTCTAAGGAATTCTTGTATGCGGAGGATACAAATACTAGCAAGCAAATTGTTCCACGTCAGCTTCAGACCAAATATATTAGCCATCGACTAACTACATTCAACAATAACTGCAATAAGGAAACCAGTAGCGGCTTCACCGCTATTCATTGAGGTACAAAATCCACAACCGGAGTGGACTCAAGCATAGTCCCGGTAGGCATTTGATAGAATGCCCTAGTGGCGGCAATATCCGAGGGCTGAAGCTTGGGCGGTTCACGGCGATAATTCATAACGGAGAGCGGGTTGGCCTCGCCAAACTGCACCGCCTTGTGGCGCTCCAGTCGACGCGGATCCATCGCGAACTCGTGGCGCAAGCCCAGAACGTGGCCAAGCTCATGGACGAACACCGACCAGAGACTGTCCTTCCAATCAGGCGCCAGGCCCCGAGTATAGACATAGACAAAGTTCAGGTCTTTTTGGTTAGGGAAGTAGGCGCTGGCCAGGACATCACCTTTGTATCCGCCGTGGCAGACGACGAAATTGGCGTCCTTGGCCAGCGGCACGAACTCGAAGCGTACGCCTACTTCTGCCTCGTTCCAGATATTGGCGGCTATGCTCAGGTGCAGTGCCGCAAAGTCGGCATCCTCCTGCGACTCGTATCCCATCCGCCATGCAGACCATCTGATGACGGATCCAGGTGTCCACCGCGGGATGCTGCTCCCCCTCCCGATCATGATGGCATGATGGTTCGCAAGATTCTGTGGCGTCGAATCCTGGGTGATGCAAACAGGCAAACAGGGGCGCTGGGCAAGTCTTCAACGGTATGGATGGCAGGTCTCACTATTTTGGGTTCCGCCACTGTTTCCAAGGCTTCGGTTCCCAGCTCCTGGGCAGTCGACTGGAGAAGGATCTCCTTCAAGCTAGGTGGCTCCGTAGACATGTCGGAAGAGGTACCACACCAGTCTTCTGGTAATTGAGCCAGCGTGAATATTATTACAATGTTAGGTTTGACCCGAGACAGGACTTTGCAATTGGTAGATTGAGAGGCATAAATGAAAAAGAGGGAGATTTGAAAGAGAAAGACAATACCAAAGGGGCATTGATGGCGCAGGTGGTTTATATAACCCTGAGTCACAAGTCACAGCCACCTCTCTCTTATCAAGCTCACTGGAAAGAGGTACAAGACAAGGCAAAAGTTCGCGGGCGAGGCGTGTCTATCCGTTCGAGGCTGGCTGATTATCTACCTACATCAAGAATATTAGGGAAGAATACGCGAGCTGAAAATGGGGAGACGTAATGGCAAGAAATGCTGGAGTCATATATCTACGTATACATAGATTCAGCTTCAATCTAGTTTGTCACGTATGAATAGTGGAACTATTCAATTCGATGGTCTTTGTAGATGTGAATATGTGGATGTTCTGACCATACAATCTCAGATGGCTTCCTACCGCCAAAAGCTCGCACAATTAGTTCCGCGCCGCAAACCGTTTCTTTTTTCCCTCGGGCTCTCGATAGTTGAGAGACACTGACTGTGAGGTACTCTCTCTATCATCTGCCATCATCTGCCATCTGCAGCGACAGGGCAGCGGTGGTTGAGAATAGTATTATCGTCTTGGGTAAGGACGGTACTATTGATGTGTACTTAAAATGAGTACCGTGCACGTGACATGGGGGCCGAATAAACCTTCTCTTAGGCAGCTGGGATTCAAAATCACCTCGATCTTTTGAGATAAAAGACACAGTAGTAATCATGGAACAGCCTACAATGAATGCTGGCGCCAAAGACGGAGTGGATTCTGGACAAGCTGCTCAAAGTTTTGAGCTCATACGCCCCGCTGGTCAGTATCATCTTTTATTTTCGACTCCAACAAACACTGATATCAACACAAGGTGTATTCGAGAGCCTGTTCAAAGTACATCATGATCTCGGTGTCTTCTCGAACACCATTATCTGTGCGACATATAAGCGAGCAGAGAACATGCCTCTAACTCCAGGCCTTTTATACAAAGCCCTTCGCCTAGTACTTTCGGAGCACCCCGCCTTGGCAACGATTCTGATAGATCAACCATCAACAAAGAAGATGGGAAGGACTAGGACTTGGCAGGCACACTTGAGACATATTTGTCTCGAAGACTGCGTCCGTTTTATGGACCATGTCGCTGAGAAGGAGGAATTCATTCGATTGCTGCAGGAAGAACATGACATTCGGTTCAATACTAAGGATGAGACCAAACCGCTGTGGAGGGTTGTGGTCAATGGTTCGACGATATTATTCATCTCTCACCATTCAATCTGTGACGGTAGGTCAGGGATGATATTTCACCGCAGCTTGCTCGCCGCACTTAATAAAGTGACCAGGCAGCAATGGGAGAATGGGCCAGAGGAACATATATCAATTGATTATGATGTCGCAAAAAAGGATTTGAAGCCCGACTTGCTAGCCCTTCTCAAGCTTCTCGGTATGAAATTCAGCATATGGGTAGCTCTACTGAGTTACCTCTCCTCCCTTCTGATCAAAGTCTTCCTACGGAAGAATTATACCTTCTTCAACGACATCACATATGAAGTTCGTTTGCCCTCCAAAGAACACCCTGTGCCTCTCGCGGAGCGGCCGGTCACCAAGCTTGAAAGGATGTCTCTCAATTCATCACAGCTCGCAGCAATCCTTAAAGCCTGCAAGAAACATGGCACGTCAATCACCACTCTCGTCGAAACACTCATTCACGTCACGCTGGCATCCGAACTTTACCCAAGCGCAAAAATAGGTCTATCATATTTTGCAGTTGACCTACGGCGTTTTTTGCCAGCCGAGTATTCCAACACCATGGGAAACTATGTGTCCAGTCACCAATGCAATCATTGGCTGGGCAACTACCGTAAAGCCGGAGCTACATCGACAGCAAATGAAAGACAAATTGCGCTCATATGGCAGCTAAGTCAAAAGGCTAAAGCTAGCCTTGACTCTGCGCTATTCACCCATCAGACACCACTCCCAGTGTCAAATGCTTTGGGCTTGAAAGCTATTGGTGAAGATGACGAGGCCATCGCAGCGGGTATATATAATGTTTTGGATGTTGCTGTTGGGAAGACATTTTGTGTGTCAAGCTTGGTCGAATCAGAAAGTCAATCCTCTGGGCCTTGGCAGATGAAAGGCATTGAGTTTTCTGTGTCGGCACAAAAGTCACAGGTGGGACCGATGTTTTATCTCGCAATGGCAAGTATTAAGAATGGCCAGTGTACTATCAATGTCAGTTATGAAGAGGGTGTGCTCCAGAGTGAAGTTGTTTCCAAAACCCTTGAGGGGGTTGAGAGACGATTGACTATGTTGCTAGAAGCTGAAAAGGATAGCTAGAAACTTGAACCTCGGAATTTGATAGAATAGAGATGACGTGTGACTCGGTGTTGATTCTGACTACTTTTATCGTGAACCCTAAGCTTTTCATGTCGTGCTCGTCTGTTGCTTTTGTGCATTAGGGCTGGTATTTAGTGCGCATATGAACAGACCTGCAATGCAAGCTTGCACTATCGATGTCTAATTATGTGTCCTACTTGTGCATTCCAACATACCTCCTGTAGTCATACCAACAGTTGGTATAGGTCTTCGTGTCGCAGGAAGTCTCTGAATTCTGGGTACAAATTATGTGCCACTCTTGTGCAGAAGACAAGATCGCGAGCAGCAGTAAATTCCCATACAACCTACACGGCTATCCCCCCTTACTCACGTTCACATTCCAGGAAAGTCTACGGAGCAGTGAAATCGAGTAGGCACCGGGTATAATTTCCACAATATTACATCAATATAAATAGCACCTGAGTACAAGCCTGTTCTTACCGTCGTCATGGTGTTCAGTCAGTAAGACCGCGCCGCGCCGCGCCTACTCTTTTCGAGGAGTACAAGGCTATATTGTAAACAGTCTTCTCTGGAGATGACTGATTATGGTGATTAAGTTCCTCTGGAAGTTGGATAGTAATATTCTTGATGCACTGCCCGGATATAAGTTATATAAGCTGCATGTTCACTGCATGTTCACTGCATACTTATTCTTCTTGGCCTGTAGTTAATCTTTGTTTCTTACGTCATCGCTCGAGGCAGTTGTCGAGCTTCAATGAAGACACTTGGGAAGCCCAAATAACTTTGCAGGAGCTGTCAGAAACCCAAGTCATACATGCCTCCAGCACGTTGCACAGCGGGATAGTTGTATTGGTTTGAACCTTGGAAGACAAAGACACTAGTGACGGATACGTATAGCTAAACTGTGGAACGGCCGAGGTCGTCATAGTGCATACATTCTTGCAGCCCGAGCCTCATGAATAATTTCCTATCGCTCAGAATACATCGGATGAACCTAGATCTCTAAAAACATTCTGATGGCATAGATATTCAAATGATTATTTGCGCTTTTAAAGTCTGCTTTGAAGTTTAGGGATTCAGGAGACCAGGTACTATGTAGTCATTCGCACAGGTCACAAACACATGGTTATGTAATTAAGTGACCTCAACAATTCAACCTACGATCACCACGAGTTACCGAGCTCAAGGTTATTACTGACGACCTCGGACTTTTTTAATTGTACTTGTGCATCGGCCTTGTGATAGACCCGCTGTATTGGCGCAGGTGTTTACTTGATCCACCTTCCTCCCCCCCAACCTCCTAGTTCCCGCTCTCCTTGTTCTCGCCACTTCTCATCGGCGATCTGTCCCCACAACACCACAACCTCAAGGGAACGCTTTGAAGATGTCTGAACGCCCGTCGGGACTGGGCAGAACCCCAACGGCACCTCCTATAATGGCAAACGGTCATTTTGCTACGATCGGTAACAATGCGGACGCCGCCGCCGCCTACGAGCATGGTGTGCAGGTCATTGATGGTGATAAGGAGTTCAAGTACGACCCCTCGTTTTCTCTGCGCTTTACCTGCGCCTACATCTGCTAATGAAAACACATAGTCCGAACCTAGCGAAGTACCTATCCCTCGAGCATGTCACCCCAGCCGGCTTCAATTACCACCTCATCTCCGTGTTTGGTTCGCAGTCCACCGGAAAGTCTACTCTGCTGAACCAGCTCTTCGGCACCCAGTTCTCTGTAATGTCGGAGCTGGAGCGCAGACAGACCACCAAGGGTATCTGGCTGTCGAAGAATAAAAAGCAGGAGGAAAGCGCCACGGCCGATGGATCGCGCATGGCGGACAATATTTTGGTGATGGATGTTGAGGGTACCGATGGTCGCGAACGAGGAGAGGACCAGGACTTCGAGCGCAAGAGTGCTCTTTTTGCGCTTGCGACAAGTGAGGTACTCATTGTCAACATTTGGGAGCACCAGGTGGGGCTGTACCAGGGAGCCAACATGGGTCTCCTGAAGACCGTCTTTGAGGTGAACCTGCAATTATTCCTGAAAGACAAGAAGTAAGTACATTGTCGATTGCACTCACTTGACACTTGATCAGTGCACTAACAGCTTTTCTTAGTACTACGCACCGATCCCTCCTGTTCTTTGTTATCCGTGACTTTATCGGCACCACCCCACTTAAGAACCTCCAGAAGACATTATTGGAAGATTTGTCTCGTCTTTGGGATACGATCTCAAAGCCAGCTGGCTTGGAAAAGTCGACGATCCATGACTACTTCGATTTCCAATTCTACGGACTTCCGCACAAGGGCTACCAGCCGGATCAATTCGTGGCGGAGACCAAGAAGCTTGCTCTGCGGTTCCGCGACGGCTTCCGTGATCCCAAGAGAGATGCGCTCAGAGGCGAGTTCTCTGAGGAAGGAGTCTTCTTGCCCGAGTACCACCGGCGCATTCCGGCTGATGGATTTTCGCATTATGCTGAGGGCATTTGGGACCAGATTGTCAACAATAAAGACTTGGATCTTCCCACACAACAAGAACTGCTCGCCCAGTTCCGTTGCGATGAAATTTTGCGTGAAGTTATGATTGGATTCGATGAGGCCATCACCGCCTTTGAAGACAAGCAGGCCGAGGCTATTCGTTTGGGAGCCCCAGAGGTGCTCGGAGGTTTGGGTGCGGCCATGCGGGCAGCCCGCTCCAAGACTATCAAGGGCTTCGAGGTCGAGGCCAGTCGGTACCACAAGGGCGTTTACCAGCGTAAAAAAGCTGAACTGGAGGGCAAGGTCGACACCCGATTGAAGGCTCTATTCCACGGCCAGCTCTCGGCTGCGCACAAGTCCGGTATCCGCGATTTCAGTGAGACCGTCACTGAATCTGTCAAGTCTGGCCAGAAGAAGGGCGGCAACTATGATTTCGCTGAGATCGTGAACAAAGAGACTAAGATCTCGCTGGAGAAGTTCCTCGAGGTCGCCAAATCCACCGTGGTGGAAAACACATCTTGGAGTAATTACAAGCAGGAGCTGAAGCTATACGAGAAGGAGCTCTCTGAGGCCAGCGCACGCTTGCGACGGGATGAGATGAGACGCCTGGCCAGCCGTGTCGAGCGTTGGGTGCAGTCTCGTCTGGGTGAATCCGTTGGACTTGAATTCAACAACCTTGGCTCCGGTCGTGCTGGCAGTGGCGCTCCAGAGAATGGAGAAAAGCCCACCGAGAAGGCATTCTGGGATCGGGTTTGGAATGTGTTCGTGGAAACTGTTCTTGATGCGGAACGGAGATTCACGGACCGGGCCAGCAGCTTCGATGCCAGCCTTGAAGAGGTTGACGTTGGACTGTGGCGACTGCGTCGCAAATCATGGGGCGTTTTGCGTGCCAAGATTGACGAGGAAATGACCGAGGGCAACTTGTTGCTGAAGCTGCGTGAGAACTTTGAGGACAAGTTCCGATATGACGATGAAGGTGTCCCGCGCATCTGGCGCCCGACGGATGATATTGAGGGTATATACACTCGTGCTCGCGAATCCACCTTGACATTGATTCCTCTCCTTTCTCGCTTCCGTCTTGTCGAAACATCTGCCCTGCCGCCACTCGACCGATGGATTGGACACACCCCAAGCTCGGCAACAGCTGCTGATGAGGAGGACTTGCCTCCTATTGGAGGTGTGGATGAGGATGAAGGCAAGAGCCTGGAGGAGGAGATGACAATCCTTGGCGATGCCAAGCGCCAGGAGCTCACCGTTCGCTTCAAGAAAACCGCCGATGGCGTGTATGTCGAGGCCAAGCGGAGTGCCATTGGTGGCATTACCCAGGTACCGCTCTATTTCTATGGCCTGCTGATTGCCTTAGGATGGAACGAGATTGTTGCGGGTAAGTTTACATCTCTTTTCGTCCCATGCTACATTGATTAACCTGAATTTTTAGTTCTTCGCAACCCCGCCTACTTCTTCCTGCTGTTTGTGTGTGCTGTAGGCGCCTACATCACGTACCAGCTTAACCTGTGGGGACCTATTCTGAAGATGACCGAAGCAGCATCGCAGCAGGCCCTTGTGGAGGGCAAACGCCGCCTTCGCGACTTCCTCGAGTCCTCTGATACCGGTCGACAGGCTATGGCCATGTCGGCTGAGCGGACGGGTTCCTCAAGCCGCAAGGAAGAGTATGAGATGTCCGACATGCAAAAGCCTAGCTCGAAGGCCGATGATGACCTGGATGATTTGTAAATTTATTCCTACTTGCTGATTTGCAACGAATACATCTTGTATTTTTCCCCCTGGAGGTAGATTTATTATAGCGGCATTGGATACCAAACAGCCCAGCGAATATGTACTAAACAATGAACCTATGCATTTGAAATTTTATTACAATTGAGTTTGCACATATAAATGAGGCTACGTAAACCGAGGTAAAGCTTGGTGAATGCTTAGGATGAGAACTATGCATTCCACTCGCCTCATTCTCCGATAAAGTTGCGGGGTCATCCCCACGTCAACCCGGACTTGTTCCGACTCGGGGGCCTTATTTACCGCTTTTATCAGCTTAGTACCCGTCGCAGGGCTTCTTCTCGTTCTCATTTTTGATTCCTTTCAAGTTTCTAGAGCTATTTAGAGATATAGTGGAGATTGTTCGCGCCTCTGTCTAACCCCGCATTTACACCATCTGTGCTACAGCAACCGTCTACCAACATGGCTGCACCACTACCAGAGAAATTCGATGACCTGCCCGACAAGCGCCGGTATTGGCCTGGCGCGCCTGGCTCTGAAGAAGAAGGCCTGGGCATGCTACGCCTACTTACACCCGAGGTAGTAGCAGATGCCGCACGAACACAGATTCAGACCGGCGAGCGCGTGTGCCTCAACTGGGATATCGAGAATTTGACACCACCAGGTATCTATACTCCAAACATGCCTGAAACAAACAGAAATCAAACTCAAAATGAGGCTCAGCTACTCAAATAATCCCACACTAACAACACTTCCAGGATTCGGCCGCAAGCCATTCGAACACAACATCAAATGGGTAGCCGAAGGCATTGCCCTCGACGACGAATACCACTTCAACCCCCAACAATCCTCCCAGTGGGATGGATTCCGACACCACAACGCCCCAGCTCCAACTGACACAAACCCAACCCGCCGCCTCTTCCATGGCGGCACCACAGCAAGCGAAATCAAAGACACCGATTCCCCCCGCATCGGCATCGGCTTCTGGGCCAAGAAAGGCATAGCAGGCCGCGGCGTCCTAATAGACTATGTCTCCTACGCTAAAAAGCGAGGAATTCCTCTTAACGCACTTACCCGCCAAATGATCACTCTGGACGAAGTGAAAGAGATAGCCGCTGAATGCAACATCACCTTCCAGCGCGGCGATATCTTTTTCCTTCGTGTCGGGCTCCCGGATACATGGGCGGCTATGTCTGCTGAGCAACGGATGGAGTATAGTGAGCAGCCTATGCCAAATCATGCGGGCATTGAGCAGAGTGAGAGGGTTGTGAGGTTTATGTGGGATAATCATTTTGCGGCTGTTGCGTCGGATGCGGTTAGTTTTGAGGTTTTCCCGGCTTTGAATGAGGAGTTTGATTTGCATCATTGGCTTTTGGCGGGTTGGGGCATTCCTATTGGGGAGATGTTTGACTTGGATGTTCTTGCTGAGACTTGTCAGAGGCTTGGAAGATGGAGCTTCTTTGTTTCGAGTAGTCCGTTGAACTGTGCGCGGGGCGTTTCTAGTCCTCCTAATTGTATGGCTATTTTCTAGCTTAGCAGGTTAATTGTGCTGGCTCTTAATATTGACTTTCATTTCGGATATTGGGCGATTCGATCGTAAAAGAATATTGTTGTTCGTGATGATGCACTTTATCTGCATAGGTAATAGAAGATTTCTAGATGCATCTCCACCAGGTACTTCTGAGACAAGAATAGATTTCTCGCCGTTAAAATAAGCTATTACATAAATGCAATCGAGAACATGAGTCCCGTTTTCAATCATATTTGAAAGCTAAATAGTCAATCGAACTTTGACCATATCGGGATAGAGGTACCATGGAGCAACCAGTCTCCACTCGCCACCTCCACAAGAAGCTCTCACAATCCTCCAATAACATCGAATCCCCCATTTTCCTAGAACAATAGCTTCGGAATCTAGAACCCAATTCACAAGAACGATTGGTCAGTCCAGCTCTTTTATACGGAGTCAGATGACGAACGTCATCATCATGACCATGTGAAATAGCCATAAATAACCAAGAGCTCCTCCGTTATTTCATTTAACAAACATCATTTTGTCCAAAATGTATGCAGTACTAGCCAAACGTCATCTCCTTAGGCCCTCCACGGCCCGAATCACCCAGTTATCACAGGCCTCCGTCCACAATAAAGCCACCACATATACGAAAGTCGAAGAAGAATGTATGTTTCATTTATCTCCATATTGAGAATTGATTACTAATGATGCATTCTCCCCTAGTCTTCGTTAACACTACATTCCCTGATGACTTCGAAAACTCGTCATTGCTGAAGCAGGAGTTAGAGCAGAGGAAGGCTGAAGCTGACGCTGCTACTGGCCCATGGGATAATGTAAGAGACGTTAAGCTCTGGATTATTTTGATGAGAGACTGACTATTGCAGGCTACCGTTGAGGCTCATAAGAAGGATATCTTCGAAAGTCTCTATAATCGTGAGGCGGCAGGTGGCAAAGGTGGTGCTAAAACCTCGAAGAAAAAGACTGAGCCTGAGGCGGAGAGGGCTCCTGAGTTGGATGAAATGTGATTCTATGAGAATGGATTGTGACATCAGTAATTGCTTGTTTGCTTGAATATGTGGAATATGAGTACTTTCTAAGCAATATTCCAGGAATGGTAAATCTCCGAAGTGGAGCTGTTCACAGCTTTAGCTCCATCTAGAGCCTAGTAGGTGGAGTACACTATCTTTGCAATCACCCCTACATAGTCCTAGACAGGCTCTGCACGCTCCACGCTAAGTACGGAGTAGCTCGTCTCCACGGCACCGCCAAGAGCCTTTTTTTCTTCTACCTCTCCTTTACCCCTCTGACTCACAATACGCAGCTGTTCTATCACCTCGTTGTGACATGCCTGTCACTCGCTCTGCCACACGCGAAGGGACAAGAAGCACGAGATCAGATCACATTCAGGCCAAACCCACTAAGTTCATCAAGGCCAGCAAGGCAAAAGCTGTCAAGGTAAAGATCAAGCAGCCAAACACGTTACCCACCACAATAGTTGTTGGCTTGAATTACGAATCTCCACGAAGTAGATTGCTAGAATGGATATCGCTAAGAGACATAGCCGGCGCGGTCACTCCTGACAGTGGCAGACTTTTCTGTCTTCTACAAGACCTATGTCGACAAAAGTGATGCCAGGTTGTTGCTGCTGACATATTGGCGAAAGGGGATCAACATGAGGAAGAATTAATAAGTCAAGCATTCTCAATTTCAGATCTATATGACTCAAGGGTAACCCTATGATACCAAGGTAAATTTACTAGCAGAGTCCAGGTTGGAAATAAGGAAGGCCAGGGGCCTGGAAAGCTGGTCATTCCTGGCGTCACTGTCTCAAGTCATCAGAATTTAGGTGTAATTGGCGGATAATTTCTATTTTTAAATGACAAATAATTCAGTCTAAACAAAGCAGCAAGATACAGAAAGAAAAAGTAACATAGGGACTCAGATCACTGTGGCAGTGGGATCTACAATCTGCTCGAGACGATTTGGGGAATGTCCTTCACGTCATAAAGATCCTTGTGAGCGGATTTGATGATGTCGGCACCCTATGCATGTGTTAGCATTGTCGTAAAGTAATAAAGATGAGAAGTACTGCTTACCTTCTCGCCAATCATGTAAACAGAGTTCTGAATACGGCAGTCAGGAATCACAGGAATGACAGAAGCATCCGCAATTCTCAGGTTGCGCACTCCATGAACCCGAAGCTTCGAATCAACAACACCTTGGTGGATGCTCTTTGAGAGACGTGCTGTACCACAGGGGTCTTGGAAAATGTTAGTACTGTTATAGTTCTGCATTAAAGGGTAACAGGTTACTCACGGAATCCAGTCTGGCTTCGATCCAGGACAGCATGGTTCATCGCCTCATCAGACTCAAGAGGCATCTTCCACGGGTACTCGCTCAAAACGATATCCTTGAATCCAGCACCGCTAGTCAAGACATCGTAGGTCCAGCGAACACCTTCCCGCATAGCCAAGATATCCAAGTCATTGCCGAAGAAGTTCAGGTTGATGTTTGGCTGCACAAGAGGGTTGGAGCTGTTTAGGGTAACTTCACCCTCGGATAGGGGTCGCAGCAGGTCAACGATGACAGTCATGAAGCTTCCCTTCTCGGGAACAGGGTAGTGCCATTGGAAGGCTGTGCTGAACATGCCGACGAAATCAAGCTCGAAATGAGGTTGGCCGGCTGGTCCGAAGGGGTCCAGTCCACCGTTTGCTGCCTTGGCCTCGCGGTATGCGGGGTACTTCTCTAGACGCTGGTCGATACGTGGGAATCCCACTAGCTCGAGGAGTCCGGAGCTGATAGGGCCTGTCTTGTCGCGCTTGTATGTGCTCACTGCCTGGTCGTTCAAAGGACCGGGTCGGAGGATGTGATCGTCAAGACCCATTCCATCTTTGATTTGGAGCACGAAGGGCACGATGGGGTGATCCAGGAGATGTTGACCGACATGGGGAGAGTCCACGATAGGAGTGATGCCGTGTTTAGCGAGCTCTGCTGCTGGGCCGATACCGCTCAGCATGAGCAGCTTGGGGGTCTCGAATACACCTTGAGACAGGATCACTTCCCGGCTAGCGTAGACGCTAATCTCGGTGCCCGTGGCTGAACTGATGACAGCAACACCAGAGCAAATGCCAGTTGCTTGGTCAATGATCAGATGCTTTGATTGGACCCCATAGAGAATTGACACGTTGGGCTTGTCCTTGAGGTACAAAAAGCTGCCCTGGCGCTGACCTCCGTAGATGGTATCCACACAGTGCGTAAGACCCCTCATCTCGCCCGAGTAGATATCTTCCGTCAATACCTCGCCCTTAGAGACCCACGCCTGCGTTAGGGCATCCCGGAATGGCTGCATCTCCGGCACTAAGTCTGCATGGGCAATGTTTACCGGACCACCGGTTCCAATCTTACTCAAATCATTGGGATACAGTTTCTCATCGTCGTGATAAGTCGCACATTTGCGCAAGTAATCCACGCAGTTGTCCCAGGTCCAGTCCCGGCCACCAAATTGCTCCCAGTCGTCAAAGGTCGGCTTGGAACCTGGGATCCAGGTGAAGTAGTTGGCGCATGAACTTCCACCCAGGGTCTTTCCGCGGGTGTTGGGCTTTTCGACTCGCTCGTAGTCGTCGCGCTTGATCATTGTCGTTTTGTAGGCCCAATCATATTTACTTCCACGGAGGTTGAAAGCTTTGGCTGGGGTGGTGATTTCCTCGATTTGATCTGGGTTTGGGATACCAGCTTCAACTACCAGAATGCGGACATTGGGGTTTTCGGCGAGGCGGCCAGCTACTGCGTTGCCAGCTGTACCACCTCCCACGATGATGAAGTCGTACTCAGACCCGTTGGAAACAAATGCCATTTTGTGGGATTGATTGTAGTAATGGGAGAAGGAATAAAGGTGTGTGACTTGTGAAGTCTTTATTGTTTTGAATTGTTCTGAACCAAAAACAGACGAGAATTCATATTGGCTTTATATCTTTTGTTTTGAAAACACAATAATCTTTTAGACAGCTGCTCCATTGCCGGTATTCCGGCATGGCCAGCAAGGTACCGAGTGAAGTCCGACGGTGCTTACGAGCACTGCTTAATCTAGAACGGCGGGATACCAATCGAGGACGACCACAACGGATGTCTCATATGCGAGTAAAGACGAGCTAAAACCTCCAGCCTTACAGGGCTTACAGGACCCCTCATGCGGAGAAGCGAGAACTTTCCAAATTGGGATGTAGTAAGTGGCCAATCAGCAAATAGAGTCGATCCCGTTATCAGCGTGCCGAGCTCGGCAGCTTCGGGAATCAGGCGGTAATAACTCGGATCGGGTTTTGGCGTCTGCGGTCAGCGTCTCGCTCTTAATTAATTCGCGCAACTTCACTGTTTGAAGGAGCGGTAAGCTGTGCTCCAACACGTCATGTCCTTACTTATTTTTGACATATTTTTATACATTGAAGTCTTTCTACCCCTCACGCACTGAACTTGCAACTCCAATTATAACGGACTTAACTCGGGCACGTTCTCGATGTATACAGCCATTAGTTGACATGGCTCACTCATGCAAACCATCTCAATGCCCAGGAAGCACGAATATGACATATCAGTTCTATGCCTAGTTTAGGCTAATCACCTATGCACGGTGGTTCATGATACGGGACATAATCGCTCCATCTGAAACCTCATCAGGTGACTAAGACCCCGCGCTAATGCATTCGGAGGTGCTAAGGCCCATCATCGGTAAAAATCTTTACTCATTGAAGTAACCATGGCCGACCCAGTGAGTATCACCGCAAGCATCGTAGGTATCGTTGGACCCGCTTTGCACGGCGTCCGGCTTCTTTCCGAGGACCTGAAGCAGATTAAAGACGCCCCAGATAATGTTGCCGCTCTTCGAGGAAGCATAGGCTCAGTCGAGCGGTCTCTTGTCTCTCTTGATACAATTGGTGACAAAGCCTGGGAGTCCCTCGGCGTTGCTGAGAGTACCAAGAGGACCATCAAAATGTGTGGTGAAACATGCGACGAATTCAGACTCGATCTGCAGCGCTGGACCAAACACTCGAAAGGCGATTCTCTGTCCTTATTGGACCGATCCAAGATCGGATTCTGGAAGCAGCATCATATAGACTCTATGGAAAAGAAACTTCTCAACTGCCAAGTTACTATTACCGAAGTAGTCAGTATAGCGACACTGTACGTGGAACTAAGATGAGATCTCGAGAGCAGGACTTGTATACTCACGTATTATCCTTACAGCATAGGTACCTTGCAAAACTCCCACATCACGGAGGAAAGTCGAGAAAGGAAACAGCAAGAGGTCACATTGGCGATCCATAGAGGAGACGCGGAAGATACAGACATTGCCCAGCGGAAAAAGGACATCAAGGCACGGCGGGATGACTTCGATGATGACGAGCTTGAAGACGCGTATCATGATGCATATCATCAGCTCAGAGAACAGAAGAAAGCGTTGGATATGTCACAGGCACTGTTGAAGGAATTGTTGGCGAAAATCCAGGAGCCAGCCATTTCACAAATGGCAGCGAAGATGAAAGAGCAGCCGGTAAACGTGACCTTTGGGAACAACAATAGAAACTATGGATTACAGCTTGGTGTCTCTTATGGTGACATAAACAATGCGACTTTCGGGGGGCCAAATCATTATGGAGAGAAGCGTGGTAGACAGTCTTGATACATGCTGTGTTACCATGCAGGGTCATCCGCACCGCGCTTTCTATCTATCATGGCGTTGATATATGAATACATAAGCTCTTATGCATCCATAATATCTAAATGTAGTCATGCAAACTCAAGTCTCCAGATATCTCCAAGCCGGTCATTCGTTTCTCCCAATCCACCGTGAACGACAACTGCATCCGAGGCCGCAACATCAGCATCGAACCAGCCCCGCGCAAGTGGAAGCTCACTGCCCTGCAGATCCACCTGGTCCCATGTCTTGTTTCCAATATCAAAGGCCCACACATCACTCAACATCTTCCCCGCACCCTGATGGCCCAGCGAACTAGGATCCCGCTCTCCAAACATGGTGACCAAATAAGACCGACCACCAAGGGAAATCGGCAACAAGACACTGACACTTCGAGGCGTCGGGCCACCTTTTCCATCTGCGGAATAGGTATGCGAGTCCCAAGAATTAGTCACCGGCGCATAGATATCCAAGTTCCCACCCTGCTCGGTTTTCCCATCAAAGCCATTCATACGGTACAATTTTCCATCCGCAAATGCAATCGATGTACCACCACGAGGGGGATCGAATGCTGGTGCAAGCTCAGTCCACTCTTTGCTTGAAATACTGAATGCCCACAAGTCTCCGAGTCTTCCCTTTTCGGGACATCCTGCGTGGAGATAGAGGGTGTCTTTGCCATCGCTGGTCATGCAGTGGTAGCTGCGGGCAGCGGGATAATTTTTTGATCTCACCTCCGAGGGCTGGATAAGAGTCCAGCTTGTTGAATTTGAATCGTATTCCCAGATCGCGCCGTTCTCTTCAATGGGTGCCATTGCGATGCCTCCTCGGCCGGAGAAGAGATAAAGTTTTCCGTTCAGAGCTGCGGAGGCGGTGCCGACGCGTGCAGAGGGGGATTCGGATGTTGCGGGTTGGGGGTTTATGCATGCAGACGCTAAAACATGACCTTATTAGAATGGATTTCAATGGGGCTTTAGTAGATTCCTGCAACTTACCACTGCCCAAGGATATGGTGTGGACATCATTATCGCGGGGCTCGCGAGGCTGCAGCTCTCCTCCAAAGACCACTGCTTGACCACCGACTACAGAGACAATGTGCGAAGACCGTTGCAGGATCTCGGCCTCTAGAAGCTTGTGACATTGAGCGGTGATCGCCATTGAGGAAGAAGTGAAGTGGGGTGTTTAGATTCGTACTGTTGGTGGTTGTGTATTATTGAAAGATCTAAGTAGAAATTAAGAGGTGAGCTATATTTAAAGGCTGAGTTCGAGGGGTTTAGCTCGACAGGCACCTGATAAGTTGTTATGTCCTCTCTGATGATTCACGGAGATTTAGAGGTTCCGAATACGCCGCCACGCTCCATAGCTACAAGAGGCCCGCTGGAGTGGCCAATGCGATGGGTTTGCTGCCCCACATAGTGTGGGCTACCAAGAAGACGGCCTCCGAAAACGCCGATATATACTACCTTCTAAGAATTGAGTACCTTAAACAGCCTAGGGTTGTTCTCATGAAGTACCGTGACGAGGGCGTCACCCCGAATCTCATATACTGGAAAGGTTGCCTTGAAGCAACGGAAGTATAGAGCCCAGGCAGCGATCAGAATCATGATCCGACCTCGAGATGATCTGCTCGTGGCCCCGGGTTAACGATCTATCCATGCTTAGGTCCAAATGTAGCTCAAAGATAGAAATTTCACTAAATTTCGGCCTTGCTATATATCTTGAGGTGCCTACAGTAGCGCTCAGTATACCCCCAGGGTATTGGACGTTATATAAAATGCACGAACAAGCCTAGCCCAATTCAGAAACTATGCCCGTTGAGTTGATCTCTCTTTCAGCCTTCGTCACGGCACAGCTGCCAAGCCACACCAACCTCATCACACAGCTCGCAGTTTCTTGGATTACGTTAGTCTCTCTCTGCGTCAAAGTCACCATAGGCATATTTCGTATCATGTTTGCTGCAGACATCAACAGTTCCAAATCACGCTGCGCTTGTTTATCGAGTGGATGTATCACAATATTGAGAAAGAGTGAGGTGGCAGCAGTTGTGGAATAGGCAGTGATGAATCTATGATCAAGTTAGTACATTTAAGAATTCAGAGAAAAGAGGGGAATAGTTACCGGAATGCATCTTCTGCAATAATTTCGATGAGAACCCGTAAACACCAGAAACTTGAGCGGCTGGCTTCCAACGATAGATCGAAGCTTGAATGAACCACGTCATGAAGATCTCGAACCCCATCACTTGAATCGACGGTGCATTTGCGCACCGTTGTGTGAATTATCGTCACGAGGTGGTGGTAATCTAGTTGTAGAGACATGCATCGAACTATATATGGGAAGCATTGTTCTGACGGATTCGGTGGTGTGTTTTGAGACACAGAGAGAGCTGGGCGAAAGTTGAGAGGTATTGATGAACGCCAGCATTCAATCTGATCATCTAGCTCCCGGATATGGAGAAGAAGCTGGTTATCGTCGTCTTTCATTGCTCGAGCAGAATATAGTTGCAAGTAAACTTTCTCCTTCAAATGACTCAGATGAGGGTCTGCTGGCAAAAATGGAATAATGTCCTCGTATCTTTCTTCGGTTGTGGGAGATACAGACAGGCTTGAAAGGTAGTTGAAGTAATCCGTGGAGGTATCGAGAGGATCGAGGTCACAATAACCATCAATAAGAAGAGGAGGGTTGCCAGTGCGTAGAGAAATTTCCTTGTCTAGCATGTAGCATAGCCAAAATAGCACCCGAATATGATGGCTCTCTCCCGCTTTTACATGCGAACCATCAGATCCCAATTGTGCGGCTGGTTGAGTGATGTGCCCATTCAAGGAGCAGACTATTCGACATGCAATAGAATGAAAGGACGCAGCATCTTGCCAATGGCCATGGAATGTGCGTTGTAGTCCCTAGTACACGATTCAGCCCAGTTGCCCTGCATGGAAATTTCCACGGTCAGTAAACGTATCAAACTCACCAACAATAAAGCCGTTTGAAGAGTATCCAAACCCATATCTCCTGTGATATTCAGAATGAGACGATGTGCTTCAGCTGCACATGCTTCCACATCCACAGAAAGTGGTATCTGTCCCCTTGTGTGCTGACAAGATGCGAAGGAGATAGCACTTAGAACACAGGCCCTTGCTGAAATCTGGCCGGGTGAGATCAAGTTCTTATCCACGGGCTCATACGCATTTTCAATAGTCTTCTCAAACAAGTCCTGGTTTAAAACAGGAAACTCGAGTCTAAATGACGAGCCAAAAAAAGGTGTCAAGATCCTTCGGGTAACTTCCTGTTCAGGCAATTCGCACAGTTTTGGTGAGATCGATGACCGAAGTGCCTTTGAAAAGGCACATTTGAGATCAGAAATCCTAAACTCAGTCCCAGTGACAGGCTGACCGGTTCTTGTCGAGATCCATTGGAGTCCCGCTTCCGATGAGACGGGTATCCCTTCAAAATACCAATTGGGGCCCAACTGGCTTACAGACACTGAATTCTTCGCAGAATCACTGTTTGTGGGCGAATTGCAGTCATTTGTGGGCTCTAAAGCAGATTCAGGCGAAGAGCGGTGCCCAGATAAGCCGGTGCAATTCGTATCAATCGTTTCTATTGAATCCTGCGTAGAGGCCCCATGCGAAAGAATAGCCAGTGACTGAGCATGAGCCAAGGCCTTTTCCAGCTGGTCAACACGTCGGGAGAGAGTTTCGAGATCACGTGTATTCAGACTAGAGGGAGATGGGCCGTATCAAATAAGTACTGACATGGAACTTGAGCGACTTCTGGAAGTGTAGCTTACCTGTTCCGCCGCTTCTTCCGTGGCCTTTCCCTGTTAAAGGTACATTCAAGGTCACGATGAATACACCATTCACACGGGCCATCTGGGTCTGAGAATATACATTGGATCTTAATCAGAGTGAGAATTCAGTACAGCTAGGATGATGATAGGAAATGGTTGTCTCTTCAAGTGAAATATTGGAGCGTGAAGCTCACCTTTCGTTGGTAGCAAACGTCACAAGCTCTTTTTTGAGGCAACGGTCTTTTCGGGGGCATGGTTGATGTCCAGTTGACAGGGCTCACATGGGGTTTCGGAGATTTCGGAGGCCGCGGTGATGGTTAAGAAAGATGATTGGTTGGGGTCGAGCGGCCCACGTCCAAGGTACAGTACTTTGCCAAACATTTTTATGGTATAAAGCTTTATATTGAGCACGATTCAGTCACCTTTAAGATGCTCTATTCCAAGGTTGTACGTCAGACTCCAGGGTCTCTTCCAAGATTTCATAAAAGGGAGTCTTGCTGGTCTAATTATTGTTCCCTTAATGCCACTGTGACGGCCTGAAATGTACAGATTATCCATTGGTTGCTGCCATCTGTCATGAAAGTTCACTGGTACTAGATAATGTCCCACCATTCATGTAGAACACAGCACCCTCCCATCTTAAGAGATAAGATCTACGTTATCTTGACAAATCAGGAGCAGAATGGGGAATCTGGCACTTGTGCTACTTACTCGATTCAGCATCACGTGCAGATGTTGGGCCGAGGCTGCATTGATAGGCGGCGCAACTTGCAGCTGAAGAGATCGGCCGTGAGAGTGTCACGAACCATTTCGTCATTCGCTACTCTATCTCGTGATTATAAAAGGCCCTGTCACTCCTTAGATCAAACCAGGGGCTCCGATCTGTAGTACCCCTTGCACGGCAGTACCGGAATATAGTTTTCGTTATCGCTTATCGGTAAGTGATAGACCACAATGGTTTGCTTCGTACAAAACATTGTCTATGCGAACCATTACCCCTTTCCAGCCCATGTTCTTAACAATGTCTGTGATACCAGAGGCTCTTCAATCTGAAGACATGCGGTCAGCCGCGGCGTCCCTCGTCTCATGGCGAACTCTAGCCTTGATCTTGGCCATCATCAATCTCAAAAATCTCCCGTTCGCCTGGCATGTACGTGTAACCGAGCTACCCTTTGACTGCGCCCGCTGGATTTGGCTTGAACAAGATCCGGCGCGCCTCGCTTCCATGTCACGCGCTAACCGCGTTTCCAGTTCCGATTATTGTACCACTTCCTGGGCAACCTGCGCTGGAAGCCGACTGACCCATTCTTCCCCAAGGGAATGGCTATCGTCGATGCACATGGCAACCCGACACATCCGCTTTTCGTCCCAGTCACCATCACGTCACGAACCCCGTTACTAGAGACCGATTATAACCTGCACAAGTCCAACAGCACATATTTCAGCGACCTGGACGTAGCGCGTACGGCGCTCGTGACCCGGATCTACAGCCCTGGTGTTGGTATTACCAGCAAGGAATTGGACGAGGAATTTTTGGCTGCGAGTCAGAAGGAGGGAAAGAAACCCCCAAGACGACTACCTATCATGATTGTCCTCGGGTCTGTTTACTGTACCTATAAGCGCGAGATCAAGCCGTTCGAACGGTATGAGATGCAGACCAAGGTTATTTCATGGGATAAGAAATGGCTTTACACGCTCACAGTGTTCCTGCGACCTGCCAAGAAAGCGGGCGGCGAGAAGACCCTTCTGGCTATCGGCGTGAGCAAGTATGTGGTGAAGAAGGGTCGACTGACCGTGGCACCTGAGCGAATTCTACGTGCTGGCGGTTTCCTCCCTGCTCGCCCGGCTGGGATCCAGCCACTTAGTACACCGATAGATTCCTCTGCGGAAGCCTCTGCCATCGGCACGCCTGCAAGTGGGGAAGGGATTACTGCTGGAGGTGTGGATGGCTCTTTGGTGCGAGAAGTTCTCAAGATCAGCGAAGACCAACTTCCCAATCAAGAGACCCTTGAGCAGGAGAAGAAGGCCAACTCGGAGTCTTGGAATCCAGAAGCATGGTCATGGGAGCGAATTGAGCAGGAAAGACTCCGAGGATTGGAGGTGGTGGAACCATACATCAACATTGACAGTAAATTAGAGCATGAGGTACATGGTAAATAGACTTACATACATATGATAATATAGTTAATACAATGCAGTGGCGGGATAATCATACTTGTTATTATCCTGAAATTTAGCCGGGAACCATGGCTTGAGGAATGGGCCCAGCTAGATGCTTTAGGTGCGTGGATCTAAGGTTGGTGGACTGATCTGTAGATCTACACACGGACGCGATCGACGAGCGATGTCGGACTAGAAATTTTGTGAAAACTCCATGCACATGTGAATTATACAAGGCTGAATCTGGGATTCTAAGGGCTATGATTGATTGATTGACCCCTTATCATGTAGCTTTTGAAGACTCTGACGCAATGGGGATATAGGGCAATGACATATTTCCACAATCTATCCCTTGATCACTAATCACGGGCCCGGTGGTATCCGAGAGCTGCGCACAGCCCCTTTGGGTATTACTTACAACATTGCTTACACACTCACGAGTTTTCAGTGTGATAAACTCTCAAATTTACCGTAATACATATACAGCTCCACGATACACACGTGATTCATTCACTTTCCGCTTGGACCAAGCTCATGGAGTGAAGCAATCGTACTCTGTCGCGCCTTCCATTGTTCTGGATCAACTCAACTCTTTTTGAATCAGGGCTGATAACCCTCCCCTATCTTTTGTTCCCTTGAATCTTCCATCAATCCAAGGAGAGGCTGCCCATATCATCCGAGAACCGGAAATAAATCAGGTACGTTGTACGGTATCATACACATCCACTTTTTTTGTTGGCGGCTCCTAAGGCGCCAACAGTCCACTTTGTCCACCTTTCCCGCCTGATTTAGCATTGCCCACTTGTGCTGCTCATCCACTTCTGATTCGTCCAATCTCCCAAATCATCATTCTCAGTTCTTTAGCGTAATTCCCCGTCTGCCCCTGCCTCCCAGTGTCAGACCATCGTGCTCTGGTCCACCCTCGAGCGTCTCCGGCGCCTGCATGATTGGCCCACCCTGGTATTATTTGCTCATCTTTGCTCCCCATTCCCAGTCTAGCGCCATTTCTTTTATGTGGAACTTGTCTGCAACTTGACGATTTCTGCTGCAACGACAGTCTTATTGCTTGGGCCTCTAGAGTCCTTTTTACCTCATCGGACACGGACCTCCTTTGCTCGTTCTAATTGGCGATCTAAACTAAACCACTTTTCTTTTTCCCGCTCCAGGAAAAAAGAGCCTCCGAACAGAGCTTATCGCGCCATCGAACCATACATCCCTCTACTTCCTGATACTCCTCCTGAACCAACCTTGAATCCCAACCCTTGACTTATCTCCCGAATCACTTTGCGCCCCGGTTTGATTTTCTCTACAACTTCCCCGACCGCTGGGAACCACCACTTTCGCCGTCGATCAGCGGTCGCTCTATCCGACGACGGCACCCCCGTATCGAACAGCCTCCCTTCCCCCAACAGCTACCTCGTGCTGTCAACGATGACCGCTGTATTCGAACACTCGAACCGCGACCCGCTCGCAGGTCCTCCGGTGAACTCTGCATCCATCACACCACCGCAGAGTGCCAACGGGAAGAAAGATGCACCTGAAGGGGTACCTTCGGAATTATCAGACCTTGAGTTAGATGCCAAATCAGCAACCGCTCAGGACGATATCCCTATAAAGATGGAAGAAAAGGAAGAGCTGGAACCCGAAGAAGAAATCGAACCCGACCATTACTATGGTGGTGGAAAAATTCCTGTGTTCAAGCCAGTGAGTTGACTCCTCCACCTGTTCAGTAGATAAAGTCCAGGACGGCCTGCAAACAAATCGAGGACCTGCATATTCCCACGAGTGATGATGGCATGGCTAATGAGACTTCTCAGACAATGGACCAATTTCGCGACTTCCAATCCTACGTCAGCAAGATTGACAAGTACGGAATGAAAGCTGGCATTGTGAAAGTGGTTCCCCCAAAGGAATGGTTAGTCTGCAGAGCATTCCCAGTGACTTGAACGGTTGTGCTCATCCCCTTCTCCTCCTTAGGATCGACGCTCAAAAGCCGCTGGACGAGCAAGTGAAGTCGATTCGAGTGAAGAACCCTATCATGCAAGAATTCCATGGGTCGCATGGTACCTACACCCAAGCCAATATTGAACGCCAACGAACCTATAACCTGCCCCAATGGAAGGGCTTATGTGAGGAAAGTAGCCACCAACCGCCCGCTCGCCGTGGAGAACGACGTCGCAACCAGGAACGGGCAAGAGTGACCGCAACACCGCGACCTCAGTCTGGTCCAGAGGGCCAGAAGCGCCGACCGGGCCGTCCTCCAAAGCGTACCAACCAAGTCCAAATCAAAGAAGAACCTACAGATGAGGCGGAAAAGTCCAAGTCTGAAGGCCCTCCCACGCCCGTGTCGCCTGAATCAAACCCTGTCGAGGCTAAGAGCGAAGACCTGAGTGATGGAGAGTCGCTCCCAGCCACGAAACCCAAGGGAAGACAACCCAAGTCTGTCACATCACGACGCAAGAATAACCGCGGAGAAACAGTCGATCACATTGATGAGGCCGCGTTTGAAGGCTTCGATTACCGCATTCATGACCATGAAGATTACACTGCTGAAAGATGCGAGGAACTTGAGACCGCTTACTGGAAGTCGCTCATGTACAACAACCCAATGTACGGTGCGGACATGCCTGGCTCCCTCTTCGATGATGAGACCACATCCTGGAACGTCGCCAAATTGCCAAATTTGTTGGATGTCCTTGGACAGAATGTGCCTGGTGTCAACACAGCCTACCTCTACCTAGGAATGTGGAAGGCCACCTTTGCTTGGCACTTAGAGGATGTGGATCTTTACAGTATCAACTACATCCATTTCGGTGCGCCCAAGCAATGGTACAGCATCTCCCAGGAAGATGCCCCGCGCTTTGAGGCTGCGATGCGGAGTATTTGGTCGAGTGATGCCAAGAACTGTGATCAATTCCTGCGACACAAGACTTACCTTGTCTCACCGAGTCTGCTCAAGTCACAGTACGGGATCACCGTGAACCGATTGGTCCACTACGAAGGGGAGTTTGTCATTACTTTCCCCTACGGATACCATTCTGGCTACAACATCGGGTACAACTGTGCCGAGTCTGTCAACTTCGCAACAGAAAGATGGCTGGACTATGGTCGGATTGCGAAGAAGTGCAATTGTGAAGCAGACAGCGTCTGGATTGACGTGGATGAGGTTGAACGCAAACTGCGTGGCGAAGCCACTCCCGAATACTATGTGGACTACGACAGCGGCTTCGAGAGATTCGAGGGTGCTTCGGATCTTTTGACCCCTCCACGCAGCGTACCTGAGAAAACCTCCACACGTGGCCGAAAGAGGAAAGATGCGGGTGACGGGCCGAGGACCAAACGACCCAAGCTCCACACCGAAGGCCCGCGGAAGATCCCGTGTCTCCTATGCCCTAATGACCTTGACTACGAAGATCTGTTGCCCACCGAGGATGGCAAATACCATGTGCATCGGCGATGCGCGGCGTTTATCGAAGAAACCAGCATCCTTCGGGATGCCTCGGGCAATGAGGTGGTCTGCGACATTGACAAGATTCCCAAGGCTCGCCTGGGACTTAAATGCCTCTTCTGCCGCGAAGTTCGTGGTGCCTGCTTCCAGTGTAACTTTGGAAAGTGTACTCGTGCCTACCATCCTACTTGTGCTCTTCTCGCGGGTGTTCAGGTCGAGCATGGTTTTATTGCCGTGAATGCCGATGATGGAAAGCAGTATGCGCTACCCAGTGTGGACCTGAAGTGCAAATTCCATCGTCAGAAGCGTCCCTCCGGCTTGCTGAGAGAATCGTTTGATTTGGATCGTGGTGTAATTGAGGTGGCTCGTCGCCTGGTTCAAGGCGAATTGATCCAACTCCAAGCGGACAAAGAGATTACTGGTGCTATCGTTCTGCAGAATCGATTCGATGAACGAACATTGTTGGTTAAGATTCTCCCGAGAGGGTAAGTGTTTGCTTTTTTCCTTTTTTCCTCTCTGCCCCTCTAACCCCACCGGAGGTTTCTTCTCCCGAAATCTTCCCGACTACCCGAACCGAAAAAAAGGAAATCCTTGGCTTGGACCTGTCCCAATACTGATAATTGTCAACAGAGATGTAATTGAGATGCCATATCGCTGGTTACTAGTGGTGCGCAAGAGCAATTTCGCACCCCTTGCGCCGGGAATTCAGGCCCTACCGGCCCACTTGGCGCGAAAGCCTGAACAACGAAAGGACCTGGAGGTTGCGGTACCGGTCGCCGGTAGTGCGTTTGGCGACGGCCGATCTGCTTACCAGTGGGCCGAATTTCAGACAGTGGATGCAGCTAAGATTCAATTTGCCCCACTGTCCAAGGTCGATTTGGCCAAACCGGAACAGGTGTGGCATTACCTGGGCGCGCAGTCCACCGAGAGTAGGGCACAGTATACGCACAACCCTAGCGTACTCATCCACAACCCGCGGGCCAATTTCCTGGACAGCGTCAAGTCGCTTGGCGTGGCCGGAGTCGGTGCTCGTGCATTGAAGATCTCACCCCACTACCATTCCCATGCTGTTACCGCCCCTGCCCCTCTTTACCAGCAAAATCTTTACGCCCAACACCGACCGCAAAAACAACATAAACACGAACCTCTCCCACACGCCAACCAAACCCCTCACCTACAATCCCGACCGCCCACCTCTGCCGCCTCCCTGCAGAACCTTGCCCCTCCCCCTCATTCTGCTCCTTCCACCGGTGCTGCTGCTGCTGGTCCTGCGATGCCGTCGGCCTTTCGAACTTTGCCGAATTCAACTGCCCGCCATGCCCCCTACCCTTCGGTCACCAAGTCGCACGTTCAGCAGCAGCACCACCTTCCCGCCACCAATACCTTTGCTAATGTTCGGGAACTCATTGCCCGTCGGCGCCTCGCCCAGATCACCGACCACGCCAATGTCTTCGCCGGGTATACGATCGTTAGCCCCGAATTGGTGGTAGAAACTTTGTTGGGTCCTATGGGATCCATTCCCCCACCCAATGGGCTCGAGAAACTCGAGCTGGCCATGGCCCAGCAGCGGGTGCAGCCACGGGCGGCCGATGGTACTTTGTTACCGCCTCAGACCCTGAACATGCGGTCTGAAGAGGTAACACGGCTCCTCAACATGCTTCGGTTCTCATTAGTCAGCCATCGCGAGCGTCTGGATGTCATCCAAAGGAAGGAGTCGGAAGGCGTCAAGTTGGAGACCATTGATCGAGGAAGTGTGGCCGCCGCCAGAATGCCCGGTAAATACGCTTTTCTCGACCAGCAGCGGGAAATGGCCCCCAATGTTTATCAATCTCCGTACAACATGCCGTCGGGCCTATCCGAGTACGCCAAGACCACGTACGAGTTGATTCCATCGCCGGACGAACCGCCCAAGTCGTCGCTGGCCAATGATTTCTTTGCTCGTCTCTCCCCAGAGGACCAAGAGAAGATCATGAAGACTTGCGGTAGCTTTGTGCAGCGTGCCATCGATCGCTCGACCAGCCATAGCCGGCACAGCTCAGCATCAAATCTTCGACTGCAGTCGGCACTTGCTCAGCAGACGGAAAATCCGACGATCGACATTACCACCGTTGATGACCCACCCCTGTCCGGTCTGGATCTGCCTCTTCATGCCGATTCACCGTGCTCTAGTTTCGGTCGGTCGCATCTGCGGCTCCAGTCACCAAACGACTTCCCAATCCATGGTCCCGATCCCCACCCTGATCACCATGATCTTTTTGGGGACCAACAGGCCAATACCCGCTTCTGGCAGAACGGGCCGTGGGTTGCTGGCGATGGCAATACCCCCAACGACGAGAATCGACCCTTCTTTGGTCCTCATGAGCGACTCAAGCACGACTATGCATCTTCTGACATCTCCTTGGGCAAGGGACCGGGCTCGTTACACTCCGTCGATATGGCCGGCTTCGGCTTTGACGGACCTGATGATCTCATTGGCGGACTCAGTCCCTAAACCCTTTGTCCGCACTTTTTGCCTTCATTTGCGATTTCACTTGCATCTCTCCTGTAACGACTTCACCGGACTGACGACTGCATGATTGGGCGTTTTCTCGTTCCCCCATCCCTTCGACCTCGATTTACGATCGTTCCGCAAGACGGGCTATGTTTCTTTTTTATCTTTTTATCATCTTCGGAGTTGACACTAGCTGGCTGGTTTCCGACTCAGCGTTCTTGTTTTTTTCCCCCTGTCTCATTCCCATTACCTACCCCTTCACCTCTTTCTCTCTCCCCATCCTACCTTCCCTCACACATGCCTACCCGTTTCTGGTTGGTCCTTTCCCCCGGTGTGGCCGTATAGACTGGAGTCTGGATGTTTCTGCTTCATTTCTTGCCCTCCCAAAAATCCACCTCCCCCAAAATCCTTCCCTCCTCTTCTTGCCGTTCCTCTTCCCCCATCTCCTTGTTCTTCTACCCCCTTGACTGCTCCTCCACCATTTAGGGCCTACTTCCGCCCACAAGACCATCTCTTCGCCCCATGTCCGATTAGATATTCCAAACAAGAAAAAAATTCCTTTCAAAAGACCCAGCGAGCCCACTGGAATTTGTGTGCCCCCTGTTTGATACCCCCCTCGCACTCCCCCGGGGCGCTGTCGTGGATGGAAGTTGAAGCCTTGGCATGGCCCAAGCTCTCTCCAGTTCTCGGCTTCATTTCCCCCTTTTTGTGTTTCTTTTCATTATCATTAATATTTGTACCTGGCGCTCATCTTCGGAGCCTTTACCGAGGTCACTCTGAAAACCACGATGTGGCAGCCGTCACCTTGGTGACAACTTTCATGTAACTAACTGCAAAATGATAAATGATCTCAGAAACTTAAGGATTGTAATGTAGACTACTTATCTTTTCTGATTAATGTTTAGGCGGCTAGGATTGCCCAATCTTGGATATGGGTCCACAGTTTGACTGCAACCGAAGATAGCTTATCGGGCTAGTGACTAATTGGCCCCGGACATATGCTGAACCCTGATAAGCTATGTCTCGGAGACGTTGCCTCAGAATCCACGCCTCTGATTTGCTCTCCGATTCGTTCCCTTTTCTACAAGAAAACCTTCTTTCCCACCGCGGTCCCGGACCGCGTTGATTCCACCTTTAATGTCTATCATGCGGGGTTAAAGATATCATCGCTCCATCGCTATCTACACTAATCGCTTCTTAAATAAGTCAAGCTTCTCCTCTCATGCCGGTCTCCATCAATTAAATCGTCTCCACTCAACATGCGCTCCTCCGTCGACGCCGCCGATGAGGCGCTGGCGCGTATGGGCTACCAAAGCGAACTGCCCAGGAATCTCAGCATGCTCAGTATTCTGGGTCTATCCTTTGCCATTATGGCCGCGCCCTACGGTCTCAGCACTACCTTATACATCACTCTTTATGATGGCCTGTCAGTCACAATTATCTGGGGTTGGGTATTTGTTACCCTCATTTCCCTCGCTATCGCAGCCTCGCTCGCTGAAATCTGCGCTGTGTATCCTACCGCTGGCGGTGTGTACTATTGGAGCGCTATGCTGTCCACCCCCAGGTGGGCCCCTCTGATGTCATTCATCGATGGATGGCTCACTCTAGTAGGCAATTGGACCGTTACTCTGAGTATCATATTTGGAGGAGGTCAATTGATCCTCAGCGCAATCAACCTATGGAATGATGATTTCGTCGCCACGCCATGGCAGACCGTCCTGATGTTTTGGGCCGTCTTGCTAGTCTGCGTCCTCATCAATGTCTTCTGCTCGCGTTGGCTCGACCTGATCAACAAGGTCTGTATCTTCTGGACAGCTGCCAGTGTGATTATCATTCTCGTTGTCTTGTTGACTATGGCCGAAGACGGCCGCAACTCGGGTGAATTCGTGTTCGCCCACTATGACGCCTCCGAAAGTGGATGGCCCGCTGGCTGGGCTTTCTTCGTCGGTTTGCTGCAGGCAGCTTACACACTGACGGGATACGGCATGGTCGCTTCCATGTGTGAGGAGGTTCAGAACCCGGAACGCGAGGTGCCAAAGGCTATTGTGCTTTCTGTCGCTGCGGCGGGTATCACTGGCCTGCTATACTTGATTCCGGTCCTGTTCGTCATGCCCAGTGATTCGGCAGGCTTGCAGATGCTGCGCAGTGTGGCCAGCGGACAGCCGATCGGAACGATTTTCAAGATCGCCACCGGGTCAGCAGCAGGTGGCTTCGGACTGCTCTTCTTGATTTTGGGAATCATGATGTTTGCCGGCGTTGGATCTCTCACGGCCGCGAGTCGTTGCACCTATGCTTTTGCACGTGATGGTGCCATCCCGGGATTCAAGCTTTGGCGCCGCGTTAACAAGAGGCTTGACGTGCCTGTCTGGGCTATTATCCTGTCGGCTATTGTTATTGGCCTCTTGGGACTGATCTATTTCGGTTCCACGGCTGCTTTCAACTCCTTCACAGGCGTGGCTACTATTTGTTTGTCCACATCATATGGTTTGCCCATTCTGATCTCCATGATTCGGGGTCGGAAGGATGTACGCAACTCGGGCTTCCCTCTGGGCGCCTTTGGTTATGCTATTAATGCGGTCACTATTGCTTGGATCGTGTTGGCCGTTGTCCTCTTCTGCATGCCCTATACTCTGCCCACCACTGCCGCATCGATGAACTATGCGAGCGTGGTATTTGCTGGATTTGCTAGTATTAGTATCGCGTGGTACTTTGCATATGCTCGCAAGCATTTCACTGGACCCCCAGTTGCGGGAGAGGGTAGCCAAGCTGTGGGGGTTATCTCGGGCGCTGCGGTGGATACGGAAAACGCGATGGACATCTCGGACTTGAAGAAGATTCCGAGTAGCCATTAGTTAACGCCTATGTTATCCTTGCACATAGTGACTTTGTACAGTAGCTTTGTTGAATTTATCGCATGAATATATTTATGAAATTCCTATCAAATGTCTAGATAGAGTAGATTACACTTACTGGGGAATGGATGGATCACAAGTTTGCCCTGACGATCTTTCTCCGAGAGCCGCGGTCCAGCGCCATCAAATCAAACACACGCCACTTTCTCGGTCTTCACGCACGAGACGGCCTATCCACTTCTAATTTCCTGGATAGGCCCCATCTCCCACATCCCCAACCCACTTCAAAAACTGGGGAAAGAAGAAACCCTATCGCGCGAATCGGGAGTTTCCCCATTGAACCAACTTTCCCGGATACCAGGGAGATAAACCTCGGAACGAACACGAGAGGCGCAATCCGATCCAGCAACACAACCACCCCTGTATCATTCCATCCTGCGTTTGGCATCTTCTCCCTGGTTTTGTCAATATTCCGCTCTCCATGAGGCTCGTCCGCGCCTGCCGATGCCCGACCCCGCTTCCAGGACGACAGGGCTGATTACCGGACTGCTTTTCTTCGCGTCAGGATGTCGGATTCTGTAGGTACGTTTTGGATCTGTGGAAATAGTCTAGTCCTTTGCGCTTGGGTGCTTTGATATTGACGTTTCTTACTGAATAGATCGCGTCTTCGTCCATGCCCTGAATACCGTTAAGAGGATTCCCCGGACGGGCACCGCGCGCCCTCCGGCGGCGGAACGGTTGAAGCTTTATGGATTATACAAGCAGAGCATGGGTGAGTACGGTCCTCGGATATATTCCGTAACGGTCACGGACGAGTATGGACTGATCTTTGTGCAGAGGGGGACGTTGAAGGAGTGATGGATCGACCGATCGGGAATACACCAGAGGTGCATGCGGAGTGCGAGAAATGGTACGTCAATGCCGCATAACGAACTTTGAACTTTTATCGCAGCGTCGCCTCACATACTTTAGCTTCTTGCTCGACACATAAAGCTAACCCTTGGCGCTATGACAGGGACGCCTGGTATGCCCAGCGCGGCAACACGCGCACCGAAGCCAAACGCCGCTACATCTCTACTTTAATCGATACCATGCACGAATACGCATCACAGACACCCGAGGCGCGTGAACTTGTCGCCGAACTCGAATTTGTCTGGGACCAAATCAAATATAATGCATCCTCATCTTCATCGTCAGGTCCGTTAAACGCCGTCGGCGTCCCTCCGTTATCACGACATACTGGCAGCGCATACGGGAGTATAGGAGATCGATTAGCAGGTTCTGTGGAGGACTATGATCGTCCGAATATGCGAGCCGATGACCGAAATTCAAGACTCCGCGTTCTCAGTCCCGTTAGTCAACCCGAAGAAGATGAATACTATCACCGATCACCAGATGGGGGTGTTATCGATGACCAGGACCAGGACGAGCTGGATGACGACGACGATGATGAGTACGAGGAAGCTCGTGATAGTCTTTACGAAGACCAGGAACATGATGACCATGAAAGCACAAATGCAGATACAAGGTCTGTTACGGATCATACCTCACATGATGACCGTTCTTCACATCGGAATCGCCATCATCCTAATAAGTCTATCGACGGGGCAAGTAGCAGCAACTCTCATGCGCGTGCTTCCGATCCACATAACCTGAGAAATAGCCCCTGGCGCCGCAGAGTCGAGCAGGCCTTGACTAAAATGACGGCTGAAATCGCTGCCGTGCGTGAGCAAATGGAAGCTCGGACATTAGCTTCTCGTCGTCGGAACGGTGTTTTATCATGGCTGAGATGGATTTTGTGGACAGTTTTGCGTCAGGTTCTTTGGGATCTGGCTATGCTGGGTGCATTACTGATCTTTATGCGGCTGCGAGGTGATCGCCGGGTTGAGAACCGGTTGCGCTCGGGCTGGTCTGAGTTGAAGGCTAAGTTGGGTCAGATTAAGCTGCTTAGAAAGGCGGGCGATATGCCTGTTTTGCCTTGATTGGTGGTTTGGCTCTTTGGCTTTTCCTTTGACGTTATGTTTTACTCTGTACACTCTAATAGAGTGTTTCTGACACGCTTGTTGCATATTCCTGTCCATATTCATCTGGAGTTCCGGCCTTTTGGCTGTCTTTTCTTTTGTCAAGTACATATGGGTTTCAATTGAGGTTCTTGCCCAGGTGGGGTTTTCTTACTCTCTTATTCTCTTTGGTCCTCTTGGTTCTTTCTTGACTTGAGTGGTATATCATTCTAGAGGTTGGATCAATTCTTAGAAGGGCTTGTGAAGTTAGACTTAAATAGAAGCAGTAGATCTATTGAACTCTCCTCATTCGAACGCTTAGGTTAGCCAAATGCAGTCCTAATATGTCTCTGGTCTTCACAAAAAGGGTATCCCAAAGCCCCCAGCCCAGCACCTCGGCTTGAATACAGAGATATATAAGGACTTGATATTAAACGCAAACCAAGCAGAAATCATGTAACCATTCCTGATGCCAATAGATATTTACACAAACATACAACAGACTGAGACAGACACAGATAGACCAGACACAAGGGTTACTTATGTATCAATCCACTTAAAACGGACAGGAAAGCCGGGCCCTGGACGGCAATAGAAGAAGGCGAGCGGGTGTTATCGAGGTTAAACAGGGTAAAATAGGAATAAGGCATGCAATTCCCATTTGCTTTTTTTTTCTTTTCTTTCGTTTCTTAGTACTGCCGACCTGGGAACTGGGCGTACTTCTGTTTCGGGCGCAGGTGCACGGGGACCTCGCCTTCGGGGGCACCGGGGATGGTCTTCTTGAGGCCCTGTTGAAATATATCGGTTAGCAGGGTATTCTCTAAATTTAGGGGAGACTCCGAATGCCAGTGACAGTGCCAATGCCAATGCGAACAGGCATGACAAGCATGTCACCCGACTCGAAGAGTCCCGTGAAAGAAAGGGCGTACCAATTTGTCGAAAACACAGCTGTTCAGCGCCTGCTCGGGCTTACGGCACTCGAAGAGGTAGTGGTTGTTGTTCTCGAGACACTCCCAGTGCTCCTTAAACTGCTTTAGGCAGTGGGTGTTGATATCCTTGATGCTGTTGAACCGGTCAATGAAACCACTCGCGATGTTTCCGGGCTAGTATGCTTCAACGCAGATAGCACACTGGGGTAAAAACATACACGCTAGCAGCACAGCGCGTAACCTTGCGTCCCTCCTTCAAGCACTCAATCTCGCCGCGACCGTTCGCCTCTTCCTTGCACTTCATGTAGTCGTCGTTGAAGGCCTTGCACCGGTCGCCGATGAAGTAGGCTGCACTGAACAGGGGTGCAGATGTGGCGCCAATCTCCTCGACCTTGGGGATGTGGTCCGGCATGGGGGTGGTGTCCACCAGGACATGCTGGTTGAAACTGGAGGGATGGTTAGTCCGGGATCATTCTGGCGCGGCAGGGGGGTCGGGATGGGTCGGTTTGGAGGGACAATTAAGAGGTAGGGGGTCCTACCGAGCATCTCTTTGGGCCATGGTGACGGTGTTGTGTGGAGGGACTGGGGGAGGTGCAATTGACGGATCTGGTCGAGAGCTACGGGTTGCGGTGGAATGAAAGGTCGGTTTCTTTGTCTCGACTCTGATTGGCTGGTGGTACTGTGCTTACCTAATCATTCATATCTACTCTGCATACTACATGACTTGCATTCTACTACGAAGCCAATTCAATTCTTTGTGTTTTGTCTCTCCAATTGTTTATTTCCTTCTTTATAATAATTTCAAGAAGCTGGCATTGGAATTTCTTGGGATAATGAAGGTCATCGCATATTGGGTTGTATTGTATTTCGTCGAGTTATATAAGGATGAAGTTGAAGCAACAAATAAATGTTTTTGATCGAGTGAGAGAAAGTCATGGAGTTTGATCTAAAATTGATGGATATATGAGTCCCAAACAGTCTTGACTATCCCTGGGGGAAGCCTTGATGATTTCTGATCTGGAACGGGGATATGAATCTCATCATGTTCCAGGGTTGCAAAGGTTATGTAGATTCATCATGATTTGCAAGGTTGACGTTGAGATATGCAATATTCTTCTTTCCTCTGGTTTGCGTAGATCATAAGCATTGTCGATGTGATAAAGTAAAGTACATCCAGTGTGTTGACTTGGTTAAGGAAAATATATGTATATCCACTTTCCATATGCTTCTAGGATAAGATTAAAAGTGGTTCTGGATAGCTTCAGGCTTTAGAGCATGAAGGAATGTCGGTCACATCAAACGCCAAAATAAGTAGCCCAAGAAATAAATGGCAAAAAGAGTATCAATAAGTGCAGAAGTGGGGGCGATGTTTGGTGCATTGAATAGTCGTAATGCATGAAGCTAGCTTGCAGGGTCTCTATATGACAAGACAGCCATTGCAGCTAAATACAACTTGTAAAGGAATTAATATCTATGGAACCATGTCAATCTATTCTGATAAAAGAATAGCTCTTGTAATATTATATACTTTTTCCAAGTTCAGGTCAAGTGAATAGGTCCATCAATTCACTTCAGAGGATTGAAGCGTCCTCACGTGATCCTAAACAAACCAGCTCCGATCACTTCTTTCTTCCGAGCTCTAGCACCCCTCAGCTCATCCTCAACCAACCAGGTCCCTGGCTGTTGTGGAATTGATTGCGCCTATACTGGTGTTTCTTCGACTGGCTATATCTCTACACGTCCCAATTCCACCGACACGTTGCTCGATCATTGACCGATCGCGCCTTTTTTAAACGATACCCTTCAGCCAATTTTTTTGCGACACATCATGTTTGGAGCTGCCTCGAACCCAAACCAGGGCAGCCTATTCGGCAACACCGCAAATAAGCCCAGTGCCTTTGGAGGTTTAGGCCAAAATACAAACACCGCTGCCCCAGCTACTGGTGGAGGATTGTTCGGTCAGCCACAGAACCAGCCTCAGCAGGCCTCGACAGGGGGACTTTTCGGCAATGCCACAGCATCCCAGCCACAACAGCAGACAGGGGGCTTATTTGGGTCGAGTGCTGCTCAGAAGCCGGCGGGCGGCTTGTTTGGTGGTGGGCTAGGACAGCAACCGCAGCAACAGCAACAGCAACAGCAACAGCCCCAACAAACTGGAGGCCTGTTTGGCACTGCGCCAAAGCCCGCTGGTAGTCTTTTTGGTGGCGGCTTAGGGCAGTCAACGCAAGCGCAGCAGCCCGCGGCTGGCGGGGGACTTTTCGGCGGTGGTCTTGGTGCCAGCACACAGCAACAGCAGCCCCAGCAACAACAGAGCAACCTCTTCGGTGGATCACTGCTTGGAGGGCAGCAACAACAGGGACAGCAGCCCCAGCAATCACAATTTGGACAAACTACTATGGTCCAGCCACAGGGACAACAGCAAGAACAATCGCTTTCGTCGAGTTTGTGGTCCCCTGGTCGTGCTATTACAGGAGGTAAGCTCGGTTTTCATCTGATATTTGCTCTGTCCTGAGTCCGTCATATTAATTTGGTTCCTTATTGCCTAGTTCACCGGACCGTTCCTATGCAGATGTCTATTGTGAAGGACAAGTGGGATGCTCCTAATCGTGATTCCCCATTCCGCGCCTACCTCTACAATAGTGTTGGAGAGGAGGCTGCGCCATTCTACCAGCCGGGCCCGGAAGATGATGCGACTAAGTGGGAGGCGGCTCTGCGTCAGCGCCCAGATCCAAGTTATGTCCCAGTCCTTGTCAAGGGCTTCTGGGAGCTTGGTAAGCGTGCGCAGCGACAGAAGGATTTCCTCTGCATGATGCAGTCACGCCTTCACGAAATCAACACCTGCTTGACCGACCTTCTCTCGCGCCATGATCTTAAGATTTCCCTCAAAATTGCCGACTGTCGGCGAAAGCACATGGTTCTCAGTAAGCGTTGTCTCGCTTTAGCGGCTAAGACCCAGGTGTTGCGCAACCGAGGCTATGCGATGGATGAGGCTGAAGAGGAATTGAAGAAAAAGCTGGCCCTTCTTGAACGCTCTGTCTTTGATCCATCTCTCAATGGCCGAGGCGAGGAGATCTGGGCCCGCATGCTGGCTATTCATGAGCAAGGCAAGCGCTTGCAGGCCGAAATTGACCGTGCCGGAGGTAGTGCGGTCGTGAACTCTGAAGATGAGATTGATGAGCATACCATGAAGACGGCCAAGAAGGTAAGCACCACTCCTGTACTCTGATTTTACGTTCGCCAACTAATCATCTTCCAGATCCTCGATGATTACCACGCGCAGATCCAGCATTTGCAGAAGGAATTGACATCGGTCAAGAAGGAATTCGAAGAGGCCCAGAAAGCGAACGGGAACTGAACTCATTCCTAAGCTTTTGCTATGCGATCCTTATTTCATAACGTAAAGATGTTCAAGGGCATGGGAGCACCGGCGTTATCTTGGGTGGAGCAAAGTTCCGTAATGCATAGTACAATATGATTTCATCTACCATACTTGCTTTTCCACTAGCTATGAGCTTTATTATTATGCCTACTATCGGGATCTGATTGTCAAGTGGCATCCTGCCATTAAGTCCTCTTTACCATTCTCTATTTCCAGAAAAACCCATAAGAAAGATAACCAGACATGTACAAATAATAATACATCAACGAATGCTCCTCTGGAATAGCCTCAAGTGATCATGAATAGCGGTTGGATCAGTTATAGGCGCGTCGCAATCGAAGGGAAAGGGTGAAGGGCGAATCGTTTAGAGGAACTTCTTGGCGAAGTCAACGGCGAAGGGAGCTATCGGTTTTGATAAACGTTAGATCAAGACCACTGAGTAGACGAGATGTTGTATCTGTGGTGAAGTTGCGCAGCCCATTGACGACGTCACTTACACAGGTAGAGGAGGACACCGCCGATGACGGCGTTGCGGACGGTCTGGCAGGCCTCGACCTCGGCGACCTGTATTCGATTTAGCAACTAATCGGTGATCACAGATTGTTCAGATGGTCTTACCTTGAGGTCCTGCTGGGAAAGCTGTTCCTGGCCTGGCCGAACGAAGAGTCGTGTTAATTCTGGCTGCATACTGCGTCGAAAATACTGGAAAAGACGAGATTGATGGAAGTCAGAGAATTGAATGGATCATACCTGGGGCGAACATTTTGTATTAGAATGGATAAAGATGGGATAAAACGAGATGGAGAGTGAGATGGATTGAATGAAGTGAATTGTTATCGACGAAGTTCGGCGAGGAAGAAATCACGGGAGCACAGACCACCTTCTCCTTCTCTCATCTACTCGACCTTTCGCCTCTTTCCCCCTCCATTACTTTGATCTCTTTTCTTCACGCTTAATCCTACCATTCTGCATACCGTGCAGCTCTCCTTCTATTCGGCTCTACTCGACTGATCTGTGCAGTTCCTACCTGCCCAGCGAAGAGGCATCGGTCCGGGTCCACGAAATACCAGCCGCGCCTTTTCGCCGTACCTCGTTGACGAGCTACCTCCATTCAATTACCCGGCCATTCCAATTCTAAGAAGAAAGAAACACATCGCTTGCTATGTCTGCCTCACCAGAGCCCCAAGCCGGCTCGCGCGCCGCGTCTCCCGATCACGAGGAACCTGAAAAGGCCCCGACCCCGATTGCTGCAGACGATGACGAGGGCGACAAGCCTGCCGAATCTGTTGCCGAGGATCAGGAAGATAACGACGATGAAGATGACGACGATTCTATTTTGTCCGAGGTCGACGAGGCGCAGTTCGATGACTTTGATCCGGAGAATGTCGATGTTGAAGACCGCCCACAGCTGGCGATTGATGAGGATAACCTAAAACTGATTGGTCGGCACAAGCGCAAGCGTGCCGATGGCGAGGAGGCCCGTCCACGTCGTAAGGAGGGTCGTCGTGAGAAGAAGAGCCGTCATGCGCGCGATGAGGAGGAGGCGGGAGGCGATGAAGGATCTGCTCGCCGACAGAAGAAGAAGAAGGAGGCAGAGCCTGATACGGACGAGGAGACTTTGGACCCCGAGACACGTCGCCGCCGAGCTCTTGACCGTGCCATGGACGAAGCTATGAAGAAGCCTACCAAGAGACGGGCCCGTAAGCAGGATGGTATTGTACGTGGCTGCTTGCGCTATATCTCCCCTTAAACGTCTACTGACTATTCTCACAGGATCTTGAGGCTATGGCCGATGCTGAAATCGAGGAAATGCGAAAGCAAATGACCCAGGCAGCTCAAATGGACGCTATCAATCGCCAGCAAGGCAAGCCGGCCATGCACAAGCTCAAGCTTCTTCCCGATGTCCTTAAACTTCTCAACCGCAACCAATATGCGAACAGCTTGGTAGACCCGGAGATCAATCTCTTGGAGGCCGTTCGATTCTTCCTTGAGCCCTTGGATGACGGATCCATGCCCGCTTACAACATTCAGCGCGACCTGCTGACCGCCCTGACCAAGCTCCCCATTCAAAAAGATGCCCTGATTGCTAGTGGAGTTGGCAAGGTCGTTGTGTTTTACACCAAGAGCAAGCGGACCGAGAACAGCATCAAGATGATGGCGGAGAAGTTATTGGCCGAGTGGACCCGCCCCATCCTCCAGCGCAGCGATGATTATTCAAAGCGTGTGTTCCAGCAGGCCGACTATGACCCTACGTACGTATTTGATCATGTATCTGTATATGCATCTTCTAACGATTGTTTAGCAAAATCACCAAGCGCACATCCACCACCGCCGAGATTGTTGCCGCCGATGCTCGCGCTCGCGACAAGCTTCCCCCTCGTCTCGCCAACCGTGCCCGTGTTGACCGTACCCAAGTCAGCTATACTGTTGTTCCCCGACAAACCGCGGTGCAAGAAAGTCGGTTTGCCCGACCATTGGGTGCCAGTGGAGAGGATCGTTTCCGCAAGATGCAGGCCCGGCAGAATGCGGCATCCAAGGCGTCCCGTCGATAAATTATATTCGGCCTGTTCTGTCTTAGCTTGTTTCGTTGAAGGCAGTTATTTCCTTTTCTTTTTCTAGGGTGTTTAGGGCGTTCGGGATTGATCGGGAACTTTGATATCTGGCATGGGCATGTAACAAAGATCGCATTCGGCAAATGCTAGCCGTAGAAAGTGAATAAGCATTGTAATTTGATATAAGGCGCATACTCCGACCAGTCAGAGTTCATGTAAATCTCTTTCGTATTTGCAGAGTTTCCAGGTCTGAATCAAGTAATAGGTCTTGACCGAGCTAATACCGAGCGAGACCCGGCCGAGATAGGACCAGACGGAAAGAAAAGCAGATCCCGCACACGTCATGTCATCGGGCTTCCGGTATTTGACCTCCAACTTTTTTATATAACTCCATTGCTTCCCATTCCCCTCATCTCATCTCATCTCACTTTATATCTTCATATCTCATACACATCATCACAATGAAGCTTCTCACTAAAGAGGAAGAGGCAGCTCACTACAGGTATGATTCCCTTTTCCAATAGCTCAGCTTCCCGCATCAGGCCATACTAACACAAACTCACCACAGCACCGTTCTCAAGTATGGCACACTGGGCGGTTTCGCCGGTCTCGCCGCTGGAGCAGCTGGAGTCGTCCTCGCCTCAAAACGCTACCACACAATCCGCCACCTGACCATCCCCATGAAAGCCTTCCTGGTGACCTCATCGGGTACCTTCGTTGGCATCATCGCGGCTGACCACGGATCCCGCGAATTCGAAAAGCAAAACAATGCCGAACGAATGTGGTACGAGAACCGCGAGCAGCGCCTCCGTATGGAAGAGTCCAAGGGCCTAAGCATCGCCGACCGCGTCTTCGGATTCGCCCGCCGCGAGAAATACAAGATCGTCGGCGCCACCTGGGTTGCATCCATAGTCGGTTCTTTCATGCTTGTCAACCGCAACCCCTTCCTATCAGGCCAGCAGAAGCTCGTGCAGGCTCGTGTCTATGCTCAGTTTTTGACACTGGGTGTTCTGTGCGCGTCTGCTGGGTTTGAGATCTCGGATCAGCGTCGCGGTCGCGGTTTGCTTGACGCGAAGAAGGGTGATAAGGCGGACGAGCGGGCCGAGGCTGCCGAGTCGGTTCCTGCGCACCATGATTCTAAGGATCAGGGTGATCTCTGGAAGGAGATGGTTGATGCTGAGGAGCAGCGGTTGAAGTCTAAGCATCAGACTCTTAGTGTGAAGGGTGAACTTGAAGCTGCGGAGAAGAGGAAGAATGGCCACAATGCTAAGGCTGAGAAGCCCAAGCAGGAAAACCAGGAGGATGAGAAGACCAGTGAGCAGCCAAAGGAGGAATCCGAGTCTGAAGAGACTAAGGCTGAGTCTGAAGACGAGAAGAAGGGTGGTCAGAAGAAGGCTTAATTGAATCAAAGTTCATGCGCATTGGTCGCATGATATTTCCGACAGATCTTGGTTGGTCAGATCTGATAGATTCCAAAATTCCAAGGAGCAGGCTTTCTTTGAGGTTGGACTATTTGAATTTCCATGTTGACCTCTACATATGCCCAGGTGTTTGCATCTCTTTTTGCCGGCGTCATGTTTAGGGTTCCAAAAATCTGCTTGATGTGGTGTATGATACTCTCTATCTCTCTTCTCTAATGAATGACTCTCCATATATTTTTTGAAGTTTCATCTGCTATACTCCGTAAGTTGGAGACGTGATACTCCACCAATCGCTTAAATGGTCAGATTACCCCTATAAATAAAACGTGGCTATGGGGGCCAAAAATAGTACACCTGCATTTAAGGACACGAAGATCCTACAACTGACCCCATAATTGTGTATCCAAAAGAGAGAAGTGGGGTTCTAGGGTAATAATTGTTCACTAGAGAAATATTTAAAGCGAAAAAAACGGGTTCGGGGCTAAAAGGGAAACCGCGTCTATGACGCTAACAGTGCACTAACATTTACCCCTGTTCATCCTTGGCAGCCCATCCGGTGGAGACGACCAAATCTGCAAAAGGCAATGCCTAGATTCAATTCTATTGGCGATCGGCTATCGTCTCTGTAACTCTTCCAAGGTTGTTGGCACCTGGGAAGACTTCTATTCTGCATTCTCTTCCCCCACTACGGTTACCGGCCAAACCTGACCGATCCGGGAAACCATGGCACGAGGTCTTTCTTTCGCGTTAATATGCGGGCTGTCGACTCTCGCGAACGCAGTGTTACCGAATTCAGCAACATGGTCCAGCACATGTTATGGCCCTGATGGTCCCTGGAACGCAGTCCTCGCCGAACTCGGAGACAATAAGCAACTCGTTGCGCTTTATCCTGGTGATCGCTGGGCGAGCACCATCCTCCTCGATTCCGTATGCTCAACGCCCAATCTTACCGGATCCTCCTGCCTCGCCGATAATGCTGGGACTTACAATATTGGGACGTCTCGCACCGTTTATATTCCCTCCGATAACTCCAACGACACCAGTGATATGACATGGATCTCCGGTGCGGATAATGCCTTTGTGAACAAATTTAGCGGCAATGCGTATGTCAAGCAAGGTCAGCTTGGGGAGGAAATCTACTTCGCTGGGATGTCGATACCCAATGTTAGCGTCACGGGTATCTACGAAGCCTATCAGACTTATCCGAATGGCCAGAAATATCCGGTTGAGGTTGGCACGTTGGCACTTGGTGCGCCTGCGCTCAACCAGACAGTGGGCAACGCTACCTATCAACTGCTGGAGTCCAATCTCTGGACGAACGAACAGATCCCCTCATATTCGTGGGGTATGCATATCGGCGCGGCGATGCCAGCGATTGCTGGATCGCTGGTAATGGGAGGCTATGACCAGGCTCGGGTTGTTGGCAACGTCAGTAGCCAGCCGGTGAATTCTACGAATGGTCTCGGCACTCTGGATATCGACTTGCACGATATTGGACTCGGTGTCGCTGAGGGGGCATCGCCGTGGACGAAATTCAGCAGCATGAATGGGCTGTTCAGGAGAGATAATAGTTCCGGGGATAGCTCGGCCTCTGTGCAGATTGACCCCACCAGGCCATATCTCTATCTTCCAAAGGATACCTGCGATGCTATTGCGGAGCAGCTTCCTGTAACTTACAATGAAGGGCTGGGCCTTTACTTTTGGAACACCTCCGTCGACCAGTTCAACCACATCACCAATTCCCCAGCATTCCTTTCTTTCACATTTGAGAACAACGCAGGCGCAGATTCATCCACGCCAAACATCACCATCAAAGTGCCATTCAATATTCTTAAGCTTACACTGCAAGCACCACTTGTGGATCAAAACACGACCTACTTCCCCTGTCACCCATCGGACGAATACGTACTCGGCAGAGCTTTCCTACAAGCAGCCTTCCTAGGCACGAATTGGCAAAACGGAACAGGGGGAGGCTACTGGTTTTTCGCTCAAGCTCCCGGCCCAAACCTGCAGGGCGAGACTATAACAACAATTCAGGTCACTGACACTACTGTCGTGCCTGGCACGGGTGCTTGGGAAGATTCCTGGTCCGGCTGGTGGAACGTTATCCCAAAAAATGGCGGTGGTTTATCGCAGGGTGCAAAGATAGGCATTGGTATCGGCTGTGGTGTTGCCGGTGCACTTGCTATCTGCCTCATTGGACTTTTGGTTGTCCGTTGTATGCGAAAGAAGAAGAACATTGACCCTTCAGAAGATGACGAAGCTACAGAGTTGGCTACTGCAAATAATGCTACGGAGGTGGCTGGACCACCTCCCGACACACCGGAGGTTCCGGACACCCCAGATCACCCAGGCCACGCTGGTGGTGCATTCGAGCAAGCCAATGCTATATCCTATGTATCCAATGTGCCCCAGCAAGCTGACGGCGATGCTGACGTGCACGGGCTCTATGGAGATAAACCACCCCCGTGGTCTCCGCCGCTACAACCATTACCCGGACAGGCGCAACCAGTGCATGGGAATGGTCAACCAGTATCGGGGCATGATCGATCACTACCCGGGCAGGATCCGATAATCCCTTCGTACGATAACCCCATGCCGGGACACCCTCAATCCATATCAGAACATGACCCGACAATCCCTTCGTACGATAACCCCATGCCGGGACACCCTCAATCCATATCAGAACATGACCCGACAATCCCTTCGTATGACAATCCTATGCCGGGACACCCTCAATCCATATCAGAACATGACCCGACAATCCCTTCGTATGACAATCCTATGCCGGGACACCCTCAATCTATATCAGAACATGACCCGACAATTCCGTCCTATGACAACCCTATGCCGGGACTTGATCCATCTATATTGGAACATGATCCGACAATACCGTCCTACGACAACCCCATGCCGGGTCATCTTCAATCCACATCGGAACATGATCCGACAATCCCTTCGTATGACAACCCCATGCCGGGACACCCTCAATCCACATTTGAACACGATATGACAATCCCGTCCTACGACAATCCCATGCCGGGACATCCTCAATCCACATCGGAACATGATCCAACAATACCGTCATATGACAATCCCATGCCGGGCCATGACCAAAGCACCGATCATCTTCACGATGATTATGAAGATCATTACAATGATTACATTGCGCATATACCCTAATCACCTGTCTATATTCTTCTTGTCCAAAATTCTTTATATCATGTTTTAGCGAAAACCAGGAGTTTATGAACGGAGTGTACATTTTTTGGAACTCTTGTATATACATATAATATACTACAGGATAATTTTGTCGCATTCTTCAACAGGTCTAAGCCCAAAGCTCTTCATCCCACCCTTCCAACTCAAACCAATCGCCATCTTAGCAAACGCTCTCAAACTATCTTCATACTCCCCAATGACCTCCTCACCCACCTTCTCAACCCCAACATCAGCAATCCGTCTCGCCAAATCAGCCGCATCCCGCAAAGCAGTATTTGCACCCATAGCCCCGGTCGGAGGCATAACATGAACAGCATCCCCAAGAAGCGTAACCCTTGCTGAAGATTTCCAAGCCCCAATATCAATCTCCGCAGACAAAAGCGACCGAACAGACGACTGACTCTCATCCTGAAAATCGATCAAACTCCGCACAGAAGGCATCCAAGACTTCGTCAGCTTGCGCGCTAAATCAGCCGCTTGGCTAGACTCAATACGCCCCTTCTCGTCCGAGAACGGGAGATGCGAGCGATGAAAAACAAGAACCCAGTACATATACGGACTAGGCAAATCTATCTTCTCAACCGTACACGGAAACCTGATAGCCTCCCACAAAAGCGTCGGCTGTATCTTATCATCCGGATCCGAAGCAAGACTCAGCCCAATCTGATAACTCTCAGGAACAGAGTCCAGGAACTCATCTGTGATGGGTGTTTTTCCGAAAACGATCCGCATCCCCGTATCGACAATGGGAAATTTGGGAAGATATTGTCTCCGAACTCTGGAGTGAACACCATCTGCGCCGACGAGGAGCGATCCTTCTACTGCAGACCCATCACGGAAATAAGCCGTGATACCGTCGTCCGAAAGCTCGTAAGACTCGAACCCCTTTCCGAAGAAGGTATGTTCTTCGATTCCGGTGAGTAGTGCTTCGCGGAATGTACTTCGATCCACTGTGTATGCTTCACCTGAGAGCGTTCCGGGCGGTGGTTTTGGTGGGCTGCTCGGACCGAATGGAATGGGCGTCCCATCTGGTTTCACGTGTACGCCAAACCCAGCTGTTGTGGCGCAGGTTTTTTGGAAGAGGGTGAAGAGGTCGGGTGTTAGGCTCTCTTTTAGAGCGTTGACACCGTGCTCAGTGATTCTGAGACGGTAACCTTGTGTTCGGAGGTTGTGATGCTTGTCTTGTTCGAACAGTTTGAAGGGGATGTTGTTTTTTCTTAGGGCTTGGGCGAGGCAGATGCCGCCTAGGCCGGCGCCAATTATTAGGACTGGGGGGCTCATGGGGGAGATGGTGATCATGATAATTATGAGATTGAGAGTTTTGAATGAAGATTGTTGTGCAGATGTGATTTTGAATGTTTAGAGAATTGTTCGAGGTGCTGGTTTGTGGTTCTTATAGATTGGGTAGTTCATGTGTTCGGGACCGAAACGATCAGGCTCGGGACCGAGGAGTTGATTGAGCCCGAGATACTAATTCTCGGCCCTGCCAGCGAATCCTTCATTGAATTTTCTGTTGGTACTGCCCTATAAAGATTGATAGATTAGGATAAATATAGGACTAATACCCTTCAGCTTTTTGTACCTTTTTAAGCCACATACCCATCCCCGGGTGGAGCCTTGGTCACTGAACGCCATGCATGTATACTATTAGCCAGTGCAACTATGCTATTTGTAAATTCGCCATTGGCTATACAATTAGACAATTTATTCTAGGACTCCAAGCTTAGTGGCTGGCAGAGTTAACTCCAAGAGGGTCATTATCAAGGTCAATCTCGGCGCTACATGGTACCCAATTCGGCTAGATCCAAGCCATCAAGATGACATAGATCAGCACCTCCTCTACTTATAGTCCAGAAACCCTGTATATAAGCCCAAAGCAACCCCGCTTGCACATTGAGTCGCCAAAACCTAGGAGTTACTTTAATCACGCTGCACGCACCCCAGAAGCTACAATGTCATTCAAACCATTCGCAGAGGGCCCAGCCCGCCCAAAACAAGTGGTATCCCTTGGATTCTACCGCACAGGCTCCCACTCCCTCAAAGAAGCTCTGACAATCCTGGGCTACCTTGACGTCTTCCACTCCTCCGCTATTGCCAACGACCCCGCAAAATGGGTAGGATTAAATCGAGCAGCAGATGACAATATCCCCTGCCTCCCAACATACACAGGACGAACCTGGTCACGGGACGACTGGAACCAATACTTCGGTCCCAGCGAAGCCCTCACAGACGTAACACCCTTCGCCGAACCACTACTAAAAGCATTCCCCGAAGCACGGGTAATACTCGTCCATCGTGACTTTGAATCATGGATGAAAAGTTTCCAGGAAACGCTGATCTTGCCCGCTTCAGAAGGGTTTCTGGCGTGGTTGAGCGGGAATGTGATGGAGCCTTTTCTGGGGTTACAGATTACTCGGACGGCATGGAAGATGTATATGGGGTTGCTGGGGGTTTGTCGGATGGATAAGACCCGGGATCGGGCGATTATGTGGGCGGCTTATCAGCGGCATTATGATTATGTGCGTTGTAAGGTTCCTGCAGAATGTTTGTTGGAAATCAAGTTGGAGGAAATGGATTGGGAGCCTCTTTGTGCTTTCTTGGGGAAAGATGTGCCGGACCAGCCATTTCCACGCTTGAATGAGTCGAGGATTTTTAGTGGGAAGTTGCGTCAGTTGCATGTTATGACATTGAAGGCTGGGCTTTTGAAGACTTTGGGTCCTGCTTTTGGTCTGGGTGTTATCGTGGCCTGCATGTGGTGGAAATGGCCGTGAACCTATTTAGGTAGGTGCATACTCAGCACGTGTGTAATTCATTTACTCGGTGGCTTGATTTCATGGTTACTAAGATTTAACGTTTTTCCAGATCCAGGCCCATTCAGTCCCAGGGTTCAGTGGCGGGGAAACCATGAATGTGTATGAACTTCGGTCCAGACAAAAATCGAATTGCCGACTTACCTTTATCGGCTCTTTTCTTTTGATTTCTTATTTGTGCGAGTCAGATTCACCCCGAGTAATGACAAGTCATAAGAAAATCTTTTGAAGTACATGCAAATCATTCTAATTCAAAACCCGACTGGAAAAGTTTCGAACTCCTCGCACGAGTGCACGAGTGGAGACATGATAATGACACAGAAGTGGAGCCTAAGAGTTCGGTACATCTATCATTCATCCTCTCACGCGTCGTCCTCATTCCCGGTTTTCAGGAAACTATTCGGACCCGAGTGGCGATAGCCTTGGCATCTAGAGCATGTGTTCGATCGTTCGGATAATCCGTTGAATCTACCCATCATGGTCAGTGCGGCCCTGTTTTGTGATATCTGCTGCGATCCACTCATATCTTATGCCCTCTCCTTCTATTGCTTCCTTTATCTATGCTATTTTAACTCCCCATACTCAATTGCCCTCAATATGGCAGCCATGGCCGATCTTACGGTCTACAACATGCCAACCTCCCCTCCAAATCTGGATAGGGTAGGTGTCTTCTATATTTCATTTTGTGTCATCTGGACCACGCTTGTACTGGCCGGTATGATCTTCTGCTTGGTCAACCGACACATCCCCATACTCCGAATCCGCGGTCTTCCGCTATCGTTCTCTGCCATTACCCTTCTTCACGTCTATTGGATCTTGGGCCAAATATCATACCCAATTGGCCCGACTCTGTCTACGGTTATCGCCTATGACATCCAATTCTTCGCAATGGGCATCTATTACCCACTGGGAATCGCCCTGTTTCAAGCTTCCAACATCCGTTTTCTTCATGTCGCCAAGATGCAGAAGCAATTCGTCCACCCTGAGCTTCGGCCCCAGAGAAAATGCAAGGATGCGAAATCATCATGGCTGTGCCATTTAAAAAACATGGATTATATGAAAAGAACATTGTCTCTCATAGGTATTGGCATGGTGTTACAGGTATGCACTTTTGCTATTGATGACTGCTACGGTTGTTTGGTCTGTAAGCTAATCACTCATCTACTAGTTTATCATCACGGTGGCGATGTGGCTTGCATGCAAAAAGTATCATCCAACCTACGGTATCTCGGGAACGGAGATTCATGGTGCGACAATCGCAGAGCAGATTGTGTATCTAGGCCGGGGATGGGAATGGTGGCCGTCCTTATTATGGCAGGTAATCTGGACATGGATTGTGAGTATCTCAGTACATTTATAAAGATCCCCGCTGATTTTTTTGTCCTGTAGGTCGCTCCAATACTCATTTGGCAAGCCTGGGGGGTCCATGAGACATTGGGATGGCGAACTCAAACTATCGGATGTTGCCTTTCCAGGTATGTTATGTCGTCTCCGTTACATAGCATTCGTTCATTGACATTATCTAGTCTTCATGCTTCCCCTATGTTCTTGATTGCATCATACGTGCCAGCCTTTGCAAAGGTCAACACCTATTTTAGTCCAAGTCAATGGTACGTGTCTCGAACATGGTCGAATCAATCAGTTCGCTAAATATACATAGGATCCACATTTCGATCATGATGTGGGAGATATTCACTGTGTTCGTTCCCATCTTCCACGTCTTCAGGCTATGGACATTGAGCAAGAAAGCCACCGCCTTGACAACCAAGTATAACTCAGCATCGATATCAATGACAATGCTAAACAAATCGCCCTCACCCTCGGTGAAGTGGAACAATGCATCTTCTTCAACACTGGGTGAGAAAGACCAGCCGGTCGAGTCTTCTAACGTATGCCTGGTCGACCGAATATACACAATGGATGCCCTCGAACATGTCCTGAACCACAACCCACAGCAACTGCAAGAATTTGCCGCATTAAGTGATTTCTCAGGAGAGAATATTGCATTCCTGAGCCAAGTGGCCTCATGGAAGTCATGCTGGCCAGAGAGCCTGGATGAAAACCAGCTTCTGGATGCATTCAATCAGGCATTACGAATATACGCCAACTTTATCAGCACGCACGATGCCGAGTTTCCGCTGAACATATCTTCACAAACTCTGAAACAGATGCAGTCTGTTTTCGAGCAACCAGCACGCAGTATACTCGGAGAAAAAAGTGTAAACACCACCTCGCCATTCGAAACTGATCCTTTTGCACACCCGCCAGGTTCTGAGGGTGTCCGGATGTCGCATGATGATAGATACACGGGAGATATCCCCATTGGTTTTGATATGGCTATTTTCAACGATCTGCAAGAGGAGATCAAATATTTGGTTTTAACAAATACATGGCCTAAGTTTGTGGAGTCGATGCGACGACGGTCGAGTGACACCGAGCGCAGCGGTTATACTACACAGTCAGAGACATCGCTGAAGAGCTGGATCTCGAATCAGCGTTTGAAGTTTCGATCATTCCTCTAATGCTTTACTTGTCACGACAGTATAGCCCAACTGTATATATACTATTTATCAAAATAATCTACATTAACCAAATATTGTTAAATCTCATTTTGTATCAAATATCGGCATGTGACGACGACAGCACTCGATTCTCTTTTGCGGCCTGGTTTCAGGGCCGCCGGCTTACTCAAGGCTCAAAGAAAATACAACAATTACTAAATGATTTATTTTAAAGGGTTACCAAGTAGTGATTTGAAGTAGTGATTTGAGAGCTACTTTTGGTGGCAGCAAAAAAAGAAGAAGAAAAAAAAAAGATGGGAATGCTTTAGCATGTCCTGGTTTCGATCCAGGGTCCTATTGTGGTGAGTTAGTAATCGTGATTTCCTGAAGTGGAAATTCAAGTGAGACGTACCTCCGGGTTATGAGCCCGGCGCTCTTCCCCTGAGCTAACATGCTTGGTATGAGATAACGGTCATAGTTTGCCTACATAATGCTGTATTTTTATCATCAATCTATCCGTAGAGCCATAACTTTTTGATTGGCTTGTGTAAATGGCTATTACCTTTTTGACTTTGTCTTTGATAGTATTAGTATGAAAATCTTCACTCTAATAATTCAATCAAGTAATATAGGACTTCCGTCGTGACAAATTTGTAGTATGAACAGTGCTTTCTAAATCACCTACTATTGATTTCCCCATCAAAGCTGCAAAACTAAGTGGTCGGTCACGACTTCTTTGGACACAGATAATTTTTTAATGCTTTTGAGGCTATTCTTAGCGAGATGTCTTAAAGAACTAGTTTAATGGCCGATTTCGTCCTCAAGAATACTAGTGCCCAGGTGTTCTCTATTCTAGTGTTACAGTTCGGCTATAATGGCGACCACAAACATACAAAATACAGGCATCACTGGAGTTATGACTTGGAAATTGCGAAGGTTGATTAGGATATATATTGTACTCCTTGTTTGAGGATAATGCTATGTACTTGGCTTTAATGTCCACGGGTGGTGCAGGTGAACGTATTTTTGAATGAGAAATCTCCGATCTTGGCACAATATATATATCAAGCCAAAACTACTCAAGCACAATCAGATCATAACCCTGGGGATGTCAATTGCTACACATGAGGTCCCTGGTGGGGTTCAAAGAGAACGTTCTGATTAAGAAGCCCATAAAAAACCAAACAAACCAAAATAACCTAAAAAACAAATGCCAGCAAGAAAACTTCATGGCAGCAAAAAGTAAGAAAAAAAAGAATGGAATGCTTAGCATGTCCTGGTTTCGATCCAGGGTCCTATTGTAGTGAGTTAGTAATCGTGATTTCCGAATGCGGAAATTCAAGTGAGACGTACCTCCGGGTTATGAGCCCGGCGCTCTTCCCCTGAGCTAACATGCTTGGTATAAAAATAGCTTCTTATCTTGCCTACATAAGGGGAAAGCTATTATTATTGACATTCACACTTTAGCTGATTACTCCACATCGTAAATCTGCCAAGAACTTACGAGTAATGGTTTTTTGCTGAAGAGAACAGTAATTTCCTTGAAATCTCATTAGCTGGTTTCTGGCCTGATTAGTGGTATTCTTATTTTATCCATGGGTATATTCTGTAGCGATTTCGTTGTTTCTTGGCTGTATTTTGATCTTATCTCCGTAATCTTTCAATTATCTCCGCGCTGACAAACACTAGCGTGGAAGACCGTCGAATTCGCCCCAGTGCCTATCTAATCAGGCGCAAATATATCTCTTTGCCCTCGCGTCATAAGTTGTCCATATCTTGACTGTCAGAGCACATATACAGCTGCACAGCTCACCATGGACTCTACACCATCTTTCGAGCTGGCGGTGCACCACCAAGGCACCGCGCACAGCTTCAACTTCCCATCTACCGCAACACTAGAAGACCTCGGCTCTGAAATCGAAGCAACGCTCAACATCCCGATCTCAAACCAAAAGCTTCTCATATCCCCAAAACCAGGCATGAGAAAAGCTCCTTACCCACCAACGCCACTAAGCGAGCTTCCACTCTCCTCCCCCAAATTCAAAATCACCCTCCTCGGCACCCCAGCCAAAGAAATCGCCGATCTCCACAAGCAATCTTCAGACACCAAAAAGCGCGAAGAAGCTCGCCTCTCCGCACTCGCAGCTGCGCGCCGAACAAACAAAGCGAACGCATCTCGCAGCGCCGGCGGTGTCCACACCCTCTCTTCCTCAAGCAATAACTATACCTTCGCCCGCTGTCTACCACTATCCTACCTCCCAAACCCCGAGCGCTCCCTCCAGTTCCTAGAAAGACTCCGCGATGATCCTGGTATCCGCGCCGCAATGGCGAAACACAAGTTCTCTGTGCCTCTCCTCACAGAAATGAATCCCGCAGAGCACACGACCAGCGAATCGCGCACCCTAGGCCTGAACAGGAATAAAGGCGAGGTGATCGAGCTACGTCTGCGCACAGATGCATATGACGGGTACCGTGATTACAGAACTATTCGCAAAACATTGTGCCACGAGCTGGCGCATTGTGTGTTCGGGCCGCATGATCGGGATTTCTGGGACTTGACATCGCAAATTGAAAAAGAGGTTGAGAGGGCGGATTGGAAATCGGGTGGCAATCGGTTGACGCAGGATGAGTTTTATAACCCTGGGGACTGGGAGAGGATTCAGAATGGCGAGGAAGAGATTGATGAGTGTGGGTGGACTGGGGGTGAGTTTGTGCTTGGGGGGTGGAAAGATGAAAGTTCAACTTCTCGATCTACAGGGTCCAGAGGGGCTGAGTCTAGGAGGGAGATCATTGCTCGAGCTGCTGAGGAGAGGATGAAGAAGGAGGGCAAGAAGGATAAACCGAGTGATCCCTGATGAACATTTGCATTTTGTATAAATTGATCCGGACTGGGTTGGGCTTTGGTCGAGACTCTATTAGGTCCGGGGGTATAATAGATGACACAGATAATTTAATGATAAGATTTAAGCTTTAAGGATAGATGCGTTTGGGTCGTTATCTATGCTTAAATTTTCGTAGATCGCACCTTACTTCTACGGGAGAGGATTAGTACATCTTGAAATCTATGGTTTCACCTACATTTTTCGATTTATTCTCCCTGGGTGTTGAATCAAACAATAATGCCAGTAAGATATCTCCCCACTTTTACTGTACCGGCGAAACATTAAATACGGAAACCGGCGGATCGGATGATGACATGATCAGGAGGTTGGCCCTTCACAGTACAGGGGTACCTGTCACGCCTAGGTCATGAATTGTGAGAGCTTCCCAGCCCGCCCATCCGTTCAATTGAGGCATTGTATATTGTCAATCTTCGCGCACGCTCTGTGGATTTATGTTTGCTCTTCATTCGCCCTGATTCAATATGAGCAAAGTACGCAATTCTGATTTGCGTCCATGGCAAGTGGAGAGAAGGAAGTATCAAAATGTTATTGCGCAACGAAAGCGACGTGAGTGGGACAAGAGTATGCTTCGCCTCTTTCTCCTATTCAATATTGATGAGTTCTGTAGGTCAGAGGCAAAAAGAGGAACGGATATCGAAAGCGTCTCGTCCATCGAAGACGGCTGCAAGAGAAGCTTCTGGTATATCCAATGAGCTTATTTCTGCAATTTTCAATTGCCTTGACTCGGACCCTCAAAGGTCAAACCTTGCGATCATCATGGCTACTGAGAACTTCAGCTTACGCGATGTCATTAAATATGGCCTGATATCGCTCGGTTATGCAATGGAACCTGATCTTTACCGCTTGGCGGAAGATCTTCCTTTTCATCATTGGAGTTCATTGGTGGTGTCTCCAGCTCTAGTTAATGTGGACCTTGAGACAGTTATACGAGCAGGTGTTAAGACCTTAGTTTGTCTCCAAGGTCCTCAAGCTTGGTCTGGGGAACTGTCACGGCTGGCATTATCTAAAGGGGAGAGTTGCTCGCTTAGACCTCCCCCTATCATCGGCAATCCAGTCTTCACTATCGGGACTGGTTTTTTCACTGCTAGCCTTGCAAATTGCCGTCTGCTAGGGTTGGCGCCGCATACAATCATGAATCACGATGCCATGTCACCTTTTGTACAGAAGGTACATTACCCCCCGGATCCAAAAAACGGAATGTACATCTCGAGTTTCCAACAACTTCAATCACGAGACTTCGACCATGATATGTGTCCTACTGTGGAACAACTCACCATCCCTCACCATCCATACCTAGACATCATTCCTTGGCCTTCTTTTCGAGCCCGAGCGATCATCGCATCCTCAATGGACCCACCACTTATTGATAAAAATGAATTATGCTTGGACCTTTTGAGTGATGGGATATATTGCTGCAGCAATCGCGGTGTTTCTCTTCACAGCCGGGGAGAGGGAACTCCATGGGACTCTCGAAGCTGGGAAGCGAAGCCCTGGTTTTTACAGAAATGGTCTTTCCTAGCAGAAGGATCAGATGTTCAAATTACAAGTTCATGGTGGCGGTCGCGATCATAAGTTCTATCTAATGAAGACACCCACATTCTCTTCTATGAAAGATATAGACATACAGGGGAAAGGCCAGGAATGAATGATCATCAAAAATCGAAAGTATTCAAGTATCTGCCGTTATGAAAGACCTTTATTCCGCGATCTTTCGCAAATAGAAATAGTATGTCCCGGCTTCCTTAGGTAATTCCTTGTTGTCCATAGCGCCAATAACCACGTTGTTCGAGATGTGGCGAAAGCTATCGATGATGGGAAGTTTGTCATAGATCATAGCAGTGGAAATAACGCCGCGGAACTTGACCTCACGTAGCTTTAGAGACAGTCAGCTTGGTTCAAAAAAAAATAAGAGGTAGAAAATGTTACCTGAGCGTTTCCATAATCCTTTGCCCACACTCGTGCACCAGCCTCATCATACAACATAATCGGCTCCACATCGTCAACTGTGCGGAAGTTCTTTCCAGCCCATTTGACCGTCTTAAGCAACTCGTGGGTGGGATGATTGGTGTTGAAGCTTCCACCTTCCCATTGCCCGATCATGTGCTCGGGGTCGACGGGCTTTGCCTCGTCGAAGATAGCGGCGATATCTGCCTCCCTGACGGCCTCATTTTTCTTGGCAAATTCCTCGAATCTCTGCTCGAGGCTGTGCCAACGAAGACTGATTTAGTACTTTTCTAAAAAGCGGCTGGGAGGTGATGAGATCAAAGGTCATGATTGAGCTTACCTAGACATTCTGGTGGCTATGTCAATGTTGAAGGAGGTTGAAGGAGGATCTTCATTTAATAATTGTTATTTGACTAGCCCAGGGAGCAACACTCGCACTTTATATTCCTGGGCATCGGATCAGCTCCGTTGGCTAAAGCGTCTTCTCGGTCCCGAAGGATCGTCATCGGAAGACAGGCAATTTATCACCCCGGAGTGCCATTTATGTGAATATGGTACTATACCCAATACTTACATTCACCGGCTCTAAGTGGGCTCTTACACCTTCTACTGGCGAAAGTCAAGTTGGAAGTGGACATGTCCAAAGATGATCGACCTCCACATTACATTCCATTGACTCCACATCAGGTCAGCATTAGAGTTCAAAGTGGGGCTATATTTGAATCCTAATTTGCTGTAGCTTAATCATGAAACGTCTTAGTCTTCACCATATTGGCATCATTCGAAGCTGTGCAAGAATTGTGCCGTAATTTCCCATTACATTAGGCAATATCGCCACTTATCCTTTAGCCAGACTCAATTGCTGACAGGCGAGAGACTCTCGTGCCTAATTCCGCCGGGCGTCAATTGCTCCGTACATCCGAAGCCCGGCCTGATGCGCCTGAGCAGCTCTATCCACGCTTGACGGTCTTGATTTCTGAGCAGCCATTGGGAACTTTTGCAACCGCCAAGAACCCAAATATGGTGCTGAGTCTATACCTCGCTATCCATTTGGGGGTTTTAGAGACTAAAATTGCGTCACCTGTGAATATCTCCACCGCACAAAGGTTTGGAAAAGATTTCACTAAAGCTATATCCGATAGACGTTGCCAAGCCCGTTTTCTGCTGGTAACCTTACTGGGTTCGTTCTCGATTCATAAGGTTCTCCGCCTAAGGGAATATTGTACTAGGGGCAGAATATGGAGTAGCTGACCCGAAGTAAGGTAATACCTATCTACAAACTATCTGTGTAATTTGCTTAATGCAGGACTCATGAGTAGATAGAAGAGAATGAAAAGGTGAAATTGATTGTGTGCAAATTTCTAAAAAATGCATGTCTCAGTTCTGATGCCTTGATATGATACCCTGATGACGAGTTTACGTATTCTCATTCTCTGCTTCGTCTCGTACTCCAAAGCGACACCTGGGTTCATCTATGGATGAACCGTAAAACCGTGCCTTCCTAAAAACGAAAATGCGTGACTCGCGCCTTCCACTTTTGTTTTGTGTGAAATGCAAACCAGTACAACCCTTCGAACACACTAAAAAGGACATGCGCACAAATTGACTCAAAGATTTGTCCATTTTGAATAAGCTGAGCCGAGCCACTGTATAAACCATTTACATAAAATATTTACACTTGCTCATTAACAAACAGACCAGCCATACCCTGACCAGTACCAATGCACATGCTAGTAACCAAGATCTTCTTCTTGGTCCGGCGCGCCTCACTCAGGATAGTAGCGACTTGGCGCGCGCCAGTGGCACCCAGTGGGTGTCCAAGAGCAATAGCACCACCACGGGGGTTCACCTTGGCATGGTCAAGACCAAGGTTCTGCACACAGTAGACAGCCATTGAGGCAAAAGCCTCATTGATCTCGTAGATGTCGATGTCATTCTTGTCCAGCTGGAACTTGCTCAGCAGCTTAGGAATGGCAGCAGTGGGTCCAATACCCATCACACGAGGAGGCACACCAGCGACGGTGGCACCACAGAACTTAGCAAGAATAGGCTGGTTGAGCTCAATAGCCTTAGAACGGCGCATCAACAAAACAGAAGCAGCTACAAAGAGAACAATGTCAGTATATGAGCCATCACCAATTACAAGCCCAACGTGAGAACATACCGCCATCAGTAACCTGACTCGAGTTACCACCAGTCGACTTGTCGCCAAACTGGGGGAATGCAGGCCGAATCTTCGACAAAGACTCGAATGTAGTTCCAGGTCGGATACCCTCATCCATAGTCAAGGTAATCTGCTTGACCTCTCCAGTCTTAGGATCCTTAACCTTGACCGAGATGGGAGCAATCTCATCATCAAACAAACCGGCCTTCTGCGCTGCCTCCGCACGCTGGAAAGACTCCGCAGCGTAGCGATCCTGCTGCTCACGCGAGATACCAAAGTCCTTACCAACATTCTCGGAGGTCTGACCCATGGGCTGCATGCAGTCTGCAGCCTCCTGGTTGCGGAGAACCTCCTCGTTGAAGGGTCGCTCGAGTCGGTCGCCAGCAGCAGACATCAGCTCTGCGCCCATGGCGATACCGACATCGATGGCGCCAAGCTGAATCTGATTGGCGATGTCCTGCACAGCCTTCAGACCCGAAGCGCAGAAGCGGTTTACGCTGGAGGCGCCAGATGTGTGGGGAATTCCGGCGGCCAGGGAGGCGGCGCGGACCATGTAAGCGGCCTTGGATTCACCAACCTATTGATGTTGTTAGAAATGGCGAGCCTTCCGGGAGTCGGAGTTGGTAGATGCTCAATGAACATACATTGCCCAGGCACACATCCTCGATCAGTGCAGGGTCGATCTTGGACTTGGCCAATGTCTCCTTCAGCAGTGCGTACACAATGTAGTCCAGCTCGGTATCCTTGAAGCCGCCCTTGCGCGCCTTGGTCAGCGGTGTGCGCAAGCATGCGGTGATCACCACATCATCGGGGTTCTTCTGGGTGCTTTGCGATTGTTAGTCTCAGTTGTTTGCTCATAGTAGGTTGCTAAGCTTACATCGCGTTGAGGCCGCTGCTGGAGCCGGGCTTGAGGTGGCTCAGAAGCGAGCTAAGACGATCTGCGGCCATGATGTAATGTAGGAACTAAACTGTAGATGTGATGTGTTAGTTATTTGTGGTGATAGTATCCCTCTCCCCTTGATATTCGCTGGTGAGGGCTTGCAGGGGTTTTCGGGGTTGTTGCGGGGAAGCTTGGGTCTGGCCACTCGGCAATGCAGAGGAACGGGTGAAGGCGGTAGAAACGAATGGCATGTGTGAAGCGGCAGGATCGAGAAAACTCACTTGATGAGAATATAGTATCTATGGAGAAATGGTGAGAAGAGCGGGCGGACGTTCGAAGTTAAGTAGACGAGGACTCCGCATTACGTTAACGTTCCCCGAAAATGCCGAGGCACTTCTGGCCCGCTATCCGGATGTAGCAGCTACTTTCCCCACAATAGACAACACATATTAAATTGAAGTAACTTTTACTCGAACCCCAAAATGATTATTATGAACTTCGCCATGATTAACAATCATCCGCCGTCTTGTCGAGCGGCAAACTTCCACAGGGCACTATATGATATACCTGCAAGGCTGAGCTTATATGTTCGGAACAAAAGTTGACAAGTTGACAAGTTGAAAATAATCTTCGATGATCAAAATCCATGGATCTAACCACTATGATAGCTAAGCCCGAGCCATAGCCTCTATACCGAGGTATAGAGAACACCTACCAATCAACCACACCATTCTCATCTGAGTATTTACCTGTCTCTCCATCATCCGACAGAGTTGCCAACCGCACAATATTAACTGCAGACTCGGTCGGAGACCTTCCCAAATCACTGAATCGAGAGAAAGCCGACTTTGTCAAATTCGGACACGACGCATTAACCTTCCACCCCTGCTCCTTGAATTTAGCTGCATAATGCAGCGTGAGCATGTTCATCGCAGTCTTGCTGCTACGATAAACTGGGAACGAGGGCTGGCTCATCCTCTCGTAGAAGTTAGAAGACTGATCAACACGGAGACCAATAGAGCCGGTATGCGATGATACAAAGACGATGCGCGCAGGTTTAGCTATTACCTTCTCCAGAAGAGGTGTAAAGGCTTCTGTTGTGATTGCCGCGCCGAAGAGGTTGACTTCGTATGCGTCACGGTATATCTGACGCAAGGCTGCGAGATCTGGTTTGCTCTCTGTACTCTCTTGTTGCTTCGAGTAGAGAGATAATTCGTTGTTGATACCGGCATTGTTGATCAGGACGTCTATTCGGCCGTGCTTTGATGCGATGTGGCCTGCTGCTTCTTGAATGGATGCATCGTCTGTCACATCTATGGTGATTGGCTCCACCAATTTGCCTGAAGGGTCCATCTCGGCGGCAGCTTTTGCGCCGCTTTCTGCATTGCGCGAGCCGAGGAGAATGTAATAGTTCTTCCGTTTGAGAAGTTGCTCGGCGGCTGCGTAGCCAATGCCTTGGTTTGCGCCGGTGATCAGGACGATGGTTTGGGGGCCCGAAGTCATGTTGTAATCTGATAGAGTTCAGCCGTAGGTGGGTGAACAGATTATCGCTCTTCTGGGGCTGCCAGGGGCTCTTTATAGTCGGATTTTGTCGTGAATGAAACACTCTAACCCCGATTATATGTATGATGTACATCCCAGCTGCAACAACTCTCGGACATTAGATCTTAAGTCCGATGGGAGTACTCTAAGTAGAACATGACCATCAAGGTGTTTGTATGGCTGGTGCTTCTTCACCGCATGCCAGTTGTTGTGAACCTGTGGCTTGTGCCTCCACACCACAATGAGAGAGAATCTAAAAGGTGAACGAATTTCAGGGCGATGAGCTCAAGGATTGCGTCTCATATTTGATGAAGCTTCGGAGGGAGGGATGGCTTCTCAGCAGACTCGATTATCGTAGAAGCAGAGTGCGGGTTCAACGCGAGGACTTGCACAGTCTGAATGGTCAATGAGGGCTCAGGGGAAACTAAAATGCAAATATACCTTGAGGCTCGTCAAGATAATTCTGGAGGAGTTGTTGACTAGTGTGGTCAGTCTGTTGAATAAATGGTCAAGGAAGAAGGCAGATGGACATGTATTGATATCGAAGATCGTTGAACTGATAGATGTATCAAGAAAGTCTGGAGTTCCAAGAGGAGGATATTCGAAGAAAATAAAAATGAGATAGTCAGATTTCGCGAGATTGATGAACGTCTTGAATACTGACGTGGTATTGAAGGGACAATGTAAGTTTGATGTCATATGCAAAGAGCTCCGGACCCAATCGCAACCACCATGATGTTCATTTCATGACTGACTCTTTTAAAAGCGGTGTACATACTTCCAACTTGCCTTGATTCTGAAAGCTTCATTTTTGGAACGTAAGAGCTCGCAAATCTCTCAGGCTATGAACGTATGATATCAAGATGATGTACAGTAATTTCAGATGGTCCCACAATAAGATTCGCGTGTATCGACAGCCAGAAGAATATCCCCCATTTCCCATTCAAAAGCAATAAAAGAACAGTCCCCGAGTCTCATTTGATATGCGCCAGTTACCTTTGCCCTTCAAAGGGTAGATTACGATAAGAAATAATGCTCAATCACAGTAACTGATGATGGCCAGCATCGTTATCACTGATTACACTCCCAATTTCAGACCAGCTAGAAGGAGTAGCAACGCCTTCAACCGAAGGTGCACCCCAATCACTCAATGTACCGTCCGATGATCCATCAGCAAGCTCATGTATGTCGCTGAAACTTCCCGCTGTGGAGGGCGCTGATGAAACCTCATGCTGAAATTGGTTCCCATGGCTAAAATCGTCTAAATCGGCAATTAATTCTGGTTGTTGACTGGTATTGAATGCTGGAGGAGGGTGAGCATAATAAACTGAGTTGTCCTCTGTGCGACTCGACTCGGAGGCGGAGGCAGACACGGGTGACTGTCCCCTCACCGGCGAGTCCGAGAATGGGTCAAAGAGTGTGTCTCCATTCCGCTCGGAAGTAGGCGTGAATTGCAGTTCGGATTCGGACGGGTGGTGAGATGCAGTTTCGGAGGCAATGCCAACCCGCAGTTGATTCATATCAACGTCATCGAGCTTCGCACGGCGACGATATTGATTAGCACCCGTGTCTACACCAGTAGAGCTGGCCACGGGACTGACATCCAGCTGATCGCGATTTTTCTCCTGCTTGCGGAGACTGCCGTCTTGTTCTACTAAGGTATCGAAGCTATCCAGTGGTTGTTGAGAATTCCTTGAGTTTCGATGGGACTCTAGAACGGCGGCCCGCCGCAGAATCTCTTCGCGTGCAATACGTCTGCGCCCTGCTGCAGCCTCTCCCGCTTCTTCGGTCATAGAGATATCGTCCCGGGTTGGAGAAGCATTTCTGCGTGGTTGTATCTCATCGCCCAGGCTATGCAAAGCAACCGCTATTTTGCGTCGGGAATTGTTCATCCAGTCCTGGAACTGAGGAGATTGGTAAACAGCCACGCCGGCAGCGACCAGCACGGTGACCGTCACCATAATACCTACATAGATCGTCAGTTCTCAGATGTCCATAGCGGGGGACTGATAAGCGCGAGCATACACCGCCCGGATGATCCGGCACGAGTGAACCAGCGAGGATGAAGGTGTGACTGACCTTTAGCGAGTGGTGCAGGCATGATGATTAGAGCCTGTCCCTAGTGATTTTCGTTCTTTTTTATGAGCTTCGACCTCAAGTGAAGAAGCTTGGAAACTTGGAACAACCGGATGATGCCTGGAGCATGACTGATGTCATCACATGATGACTGATAGCCCTTATCTGGAGCCCTCAAAGCACACCGCTTTTGGCAGAGTTCCCCGCGCGTGGAGTCGACGCGGAGCTTGATTGTTTTCTTTCTGCTCAGTTCGAAAGGGCACCTCGGTCGAACACTAGAAGCCTACACAATGTCTCGACCATCGGCGCATCCTGAGCGCCCACTCTCTCTCACAGAGGAACTCGAGAAATTAGAACAATCTATCACCTTGACGCTCCAGGGTAAGTCCAATAGTAAACAAACCATTAGGACTTGATGTTAATTGCATGCCTGCTCGCAGAGATTGACCAAAACTTCAGCCAAGCACACCGGATTGTCACAACGAGCATTCTGCCTCTGGTAGAGCAGTATACCGAGCATTCCCGTGATGTCTGGGACGGTGCCAAGGTAGCCTAATCTCAGGGGGACAAGACTGGCATGTATGCTAACCGTCGTCCAGTTCTGGAAGCAATTCTTCGAAGCCAGCGCCAATGTCTCACTGTCCGGATATGAAGAACGGCCGAATGAAGATGATACAGTTCAAGAGCCCACTGCAACGGAGGAGGAGCTTTCTGCCGACATAACCCAAAGCACCAGCCACGAAGACGATCAGTCCTACGATACCCCTACATCACAGCGCCACCACATCCCTCACGGCCATGGAGATGACCTTGATCTTACAGGTCTCGCTATTTCCTCGCATAGCACTCCACGGGCACCCTCCCAACAGACTGGAGATGACATGACCGTATCTTCTGTCGAGCATTCCTCATACGAGGACTTGCGGAGGCAGATCAACGAAACAGATGCACCGTTCAACATGCCCGACTCATCTACACTCCCATCAACCCCAGGCCGGCAACCATTCTTTCCACACGGAGACTCAGCCGAAACCCCCATGTCTTCCCCCTTCATCCCGCCCGCATCAGCCAAGTACCAGTCCGCATCGCGAGACGATCGCTATCAGAAATCCTCAGACCCCGTGCTGCATCAGATGCTTGACAAAACCTACCGTGTTCAAGCTACTCCACTTGGAAAGGGATACCACAACCCAGACGGAGGCGCCAGCACGCGCTCCAAATTTGCGGTCACTCCAAATCAAGCAGCGTCTGGGTCGAGATATGCGTTCAATGACTCGCCGATGTCTAGCCCTGAACCCGAAGCTCCCCAGATGCACTCGGAGATCTTTTCTTCGCCCATTAAAGGCGTCGATATGACCCCTGGAACGAACCGCAAACGACGCACCAGTAGCAACCGTATGCGAGGCACTCCCAAGCCAGGTTTCAGTGTTTTGACCCCAGCAAAGAATGCTGGTGGCAATCGTGCACTGTGGGATAGTGATGATGATTTAGATGAGGATTTCGGCCCTAGTCCTCCTAAGACCATGCAGTTCCATATACCTCAGAGTCGACTGATGCAAACACCTGGTAAGAAGATGCTGTACAATCAGCGATTCATGTTCCACCATGCTAATGTATCATCTCAAATAGCCAAAGAAGCCTCTAAGCGTATTGTGACGGATCTGCTGGCTACTGCTGGCGCGGGTGACATTACGGACGACTTCGACGACGATCAGAGTCCAAGTGTCATTCGCCGTATGGAACGGCTGGAAGATGATACATTTTAAGAGTATTCATTCTGCGCTGGTCTTTGGTGTCCAACATACCTACTTGAATGGACAGTCTTTTGCTTTTAGCCGAATATCCCTTTAGATCGTTGCCATTTTATTATTTTTTGTTATTTCTGCGTGGCACATGAGACACCCACAAACAGATCAGATGCTGATGTCCTAGACCAATCCATTTTCGGCTGTAAGAGAAGCCAGCCTGAATCTGACAGGCTGCCTGAAACATTTCTTTGGCTCGTGGCTTCTCGATTATTTACAAGTGTATATCTTGGGGCATATTTGAAACTTGTAGCATGCATTAATCTATACATGTACGTCACTTAGTTGTCAGTCTGTACTACAAACTTAAACCCAGCCAGGCGTCGGAACTGTCCCATCTTGGCTACGGCGATTATCATAAATTAAGACATGGATGTTAAGCTGACTGGGAATTAGTTACGTGCACGAGCATGGTAATAAAGAATTGCAATATGACGGGAAAAAAGATGACATTGAGACAAGTGGCAGTGTAGATGACTGCAAGACAAAAGAAAGAGGAAGAAAAGCCAACAGAGTTTAATAGAATGTTTTTAAGGAAGCAAAAACAACAAAAAAGAATGGAATGCTTAGCATGTCCTGGTTTCGATCCAGGGTCCTATAATAGTGGGTTAGTATTGAATTTCCTAAAGTGGAAACTTGAGTGAGACGTACCTCCGGGTTATGAGCCCGGCGCTCTTCCCCTGAGCTAACATGCTGGGATGGTTGGAGGATTCGCAGATTTATCCACTATGGCCTGCTTTGTAGTGTACCCTATCTGTTTAGCGGGACCCACCTGACTAGGGTATGGCTTTATGAGTCAGTCAAGCCTTTGGTGAGCGTAGATAATGAATCAAGATTTGTATGTGGTAATATTACTGCTCTCCAAAAATGTCCGTTGTTAATAAGAAATTTAGAAAATTCTAATGGGGCTCGAATAAGGTAATGTGGTTTACTTCAGTAGGATAGATTTAGATCTGATTAAAGTGGAGGTTGGCTGAGGAGTTACGATATTAGCGAAACGGATATTCCCTTATGTAGGCAAAATTGGGACATTAATTTCATACCAAGCATGTTAGCTCAGGGGAAGAGCGCCGGGCTCATAACCCGGAGGTACGTCTCACTTGAATTTCCGCATTCGGAAATCACGATTACTAACTCACTACAATAGGACCCTGGATCGAAACCAGGACATGCTAAGCATTCCATTCTTTTTTTTTCGACTATCTTTTTATTGTTTCTACCTGGTTCTCATTTCTTTTTATTATTCATTCATCGTATCGCTTTAGTCTCGGTTGAAATCTGTCCTACCGACGCGCAAAATCGGCATATATGACCACAAACATGTCGAGTACTCCGTTCTGTTCATGCCCAGGTGTATTCTAATTCGAGCCCTCTTTAGGTATGTGAGCTGAAGGCATCTATCTTTAAATATATTGAGAGGCAAGCAGAATGCTTTTCACATCATTATCATCCTTTTTGAATTTTGCTTCGAACTCCTACAGTTCCAATCTTCATTTTATAAACTTGGCGCCAAAGTTGGCTACTATTATCCTCACCTGGAACTAAATTATGATAACTCCGTACGACAAGACCAATCATCGGGCTTTGTTATGTTTTACGGCGTTGGGAATAGATACAACTCTCTTAGTGGGCACGAAGATGTCGATGCCCCTCAATCCTTCAGAAGCTACTCCTGCGGGGTCCCAGTGCCCGACGAGGGGGGGAAACAAGGAAAACCCGCCACAAAAAGCCAGAACCAGACCTTTAGTTAGATTGTAGCCATGTCTGACGGATCCACTGCAAAGCCCTCACGTATCTTTGGGAATCAAGGGGTTCCGGCCTCATTGGTACGACGTATGCTCTTGTATGTGTATTTATCTTTGCGGGGTTACAGTACATACATGTACCCACTTCTTACATATAATACATCTCTACCGCTAGTCTTACTACAAGCGAATAATATTCTCACTTGACTCACCATGATCGCAGACTTGAGGAATCTCGCCGTCCAGATCCGGCAGTCAGGTCTTTGGAAAGTCGTTCCCTTGGGTCTGTTATGGGCAGCCTACCAGGTTAACCGATATCTCAGCCGTCAAGCTTTAAACAATGGCGTCCAAGCTTCTTTTGATTGGCAAAAAGAGATCGTGCTAGTAACAGGAGGGTCAGATGGAATTGGTGCAGCGACAGTACAAAAGCTGGCTGGACGTGGAACGTCTGTGATTGTGCTCGACATCCGGCCTCTAACTTACGTTGCTCGTGAGAATCTGCTTTCTAGGAATCTCGAGATCTATGGGTGATTTTGCTAAGTTTCTGATCTAGCAAAAAACGTACACTACTATCGATGCGATTTGACTAACAGATCCGAGGTGGAACTTGTCGCCGAGACTCTTCGTCGGTGCGAGTTTGGTCCCTCCCCCATTCTCTTTGATGAAGAAACTTACACAATCCAGGGAGCTCGGTGATCCAACCTGCGTAGTAGCCTGTGCAGGCATCTGTCGCGGAAAGCCCTTGCTTCACGCTACTCCACGCGACATTGAACTGTAAGACCTCAGACGCCAAAACCATTAAGGTCCGAATTGACCCAGTTTAGAACATTCGCGGTCAACAACCTCGCTCTTATCTGGACAGCACAGATATTTCTCCCCTCGATGGTCACACATAACCATGGCCACTTCCTAATAATGGCCTCGCAGGCAGGCCATCTAGCCACGGCCGGCGTGGTAGACTACGCTGCTACCAAAGCCGCCACATTGGCCTTATACGAGGGTCTCCAAACCGAGCTGCGTCATGTATATAAGGCACCTGCTGTAAGAATGTCCTGCGTGTCACCCTCGGCTGTACAGACCAAGATGTTTCGTGGTATACGGACACCCGCCTCTGTCACGCTTTTGCGTCCCGATGATGTCGGCTCACTGGTTGCGGAGATACTTTGGAGTGGACGGGCACAAAATCTAATGACGCCCTCTTTGGCTTATATCTCACCACCGACACGGGCGCTGCCTGATTGGATTCGGGTGGGATTGCAGGATTTTGGGAAGGATGTTATGTCGGATCTGTCCCCACATCAGCCAATGGACGAAATATAGACAAATATGTTTTTTGGCTGGACATACATGAGTGTATATAGCCTGTCACTGTCTTGTGGAATTGAAAACTTTCTACGTTATTATATTTGTATCTCGTCTATGATTGGCTAGAGATGAAAAGCCCAAGTCACACAGGACGGAACCGTACAAGCAATCCTCCCTTGGGTCGAGAGGTCAGCCCAGACTCGATGATGACCTCTGGATCCTGAGCTAGGGACATCTCAAAAGAACCCACCAGCGCCGCAAGTAGACTGGCAAACTCACCACGAGCGAAAGCTTGCCCTATGCAAGACCGCGGGCCTAAACTTGATTAGCAAGTGGGTCAAGATAGAAACAGTTACATCTCACGAACCATGAAGAAAAGTCATGAAGGAAAAATTGGTCTGTCCCCCACCAGTATTGGCTCGGTTCGGTCCGAGCCATCGCTCAGGGTTGAAGATAGCCGCATCGTCGCCCCACAATTCTCGCGACACATTCAGCGCACGTGGGGAGATTACGATCTCCGTACCGGCGGGGATAAACTGGCCCAGGATAGATGTGTTATTGACTGCCACCCGTCTAGTCATCCCGGCTGGGGGATAAACACGGAAGACCTCGTTGCACACAGCATGCAGATATGGCAGGCTATCCAACAAGTCGGCCGTCATAGGCACCACGGGGCCATCATTCAAAATGCGCGGCAGTTTTGAGCGCACCTCCTCGCGCAGTCGCTCTTGGATGTCCGGATATAAGCATAATGCGTATAAAGCCCAGGTCATTGACGTCGCCGTGGTTTCGTGTCCAGCTGCCAGGAAGGTCAAGAGGTGGTTCTCCAGCATTGAATCCGTGAAGGCCCCCGACGCTAGCGCAACAGAGATTATATCTTTGCCATCACCTTCCGGTTTTTCAATGCTGATATCTCTCTTCCGGCCAATCAATTGACGTGCTACGCCAGTCAGGGTCTTAGTAGCTACAGAGATGCTGTCATTTTGCTCCAGATTCAACGCTCCGGTAATAGCCTTGCGCAACAGGTATAGCCCAATGGCTACAACGCCTTTAGGGGGTGCCTGTTCGAAAACATTCCGATAGGCTCGACATATCTCATTGTCCGGGTTATGAAGCGTGTCAAATTCTTCCCCAAGCCCAGCGGCGCCAAGAATATCCAGGGTAGCTCGTGCCAGCCGGTCCGCCACGTCGAAGACTTCGCTTGATTGGTCCGTGGTTTGCTTGATGTTCGCTTCAATTTCGAGGGCAAGTGCGACTGACTTGTCCCAGAAGATGGGGTAGAGGTCTTTGATGTGTCGGTGGGAAAAGGCAGGCATTAGGAGCTTGCGTTGTCTCTATTGATGCGCATCAGGTATCCAATAATTTCACCTTGAACGAGCATGCATACCTTGTGTTCCTCTCCCTCAGCAATAATCAAGCCAACACCGAGAATTCTGCCTAATCCCTTTCGCAGTCTATACGGCTTAGCGAACTCATAACTTTTCTGAACCAACACCTCAGACAGCCCCTTCGGGCTGACCACAAGGACCTCCTCCTTGTTAAACCGCATGCGATATCGAATAAGCCCATTGTTGGGTACCTCATTGATCCATTCTTGCAAAGGCATTCCGGATCGCTCATTCGGGACGAGCTTCACATGACCGTGGAGTGGGTGTCCGCCCTATTGTTCATCAGCGATTCTGGCGTCCGATTGTTTCCCACGCAGTAACGGGGTTACGTACCGGTGGCTCAGGCAAGTTGCGCAGAGGACTGAACCAGATAGGCCATAGATACAGCTCCCAACTGAGAAGAATGAAACTACTAAGAACTGCAGATGAGGCAAAAATTGCCACCGTCGATTGAGAGGGATACAGTTTGCAAAGAATCGCGGTTTGCAAAATGCAGCCGATGGCGGCCACATTCACAGCGGACATGACAGAAGCTGGTCAACAAAAAATCGAAGCTTCTGGTTCTAAAGTTCTCTTTCTCCTTGATGCTTACCATTGCTCTGGAGGAAAAGCACTTGGAGATTCGACACCCCGCATGGAGCTAAGACGTAGTATACGGGCTCCACTGCGGACCTGCCCGTCAGCCGTATGGCACTTGTCTTACTTTGACTTCCACCGTGTATTACAGTACATATACAGGTACTTATAATACCACCCGCAATTGGACCACGATCCACACCACCATTAGTAGTGTGCACTGAATTCCCCTCCTGCCAAATGCACCTCATTTTATCTGACTTCGGGCGTTGATCCTTCTGCAGGAATCCCCGAAACTTAATTCTGCATGCATGACACGCGATAGCGGTGTTCTGTTACATCGTGCGGAGTCCACATGACTGGGTAACAGGTTGGGAGCATTTTGGGACATTGACCGCCGTATTCGTATCTAGTGGATATTGATGAAACGTCATTCTTAGCAATTATGATCTGAAGTAAGACAATTATTATTCTTTGTGTATTGAGCGATCAACTTGGAATCTCATAAAAATTGCGACCAGAATGCTTAGTGCTTCTTGATTCTCAGGACTCTTTATACTGCCAAGATCATGACCTACCGAGCCATGGAGACAACTATGGAAGCACTCCACCTCCCCACTTCTCATTCCCGTGTGGTAATTCGGACTTTCAGAGGGATCTTTTCCCACGACGTGTAAATATATTGATCCTTAGGCCAATTATGGCATTCTGGTTCCAGCTCTATGTTGAAATGCCAAAGCATCTTCGCGAGAATTAATCTCAACTCAATATTGGCCAAACTAGAGGGGTAGAAACAATGTCAGCATGTAATTCTCCAGTGAAATAAACAGGCCAAGAGTGGGCTCATACTTTCTGCCGATGCAGTTTCGGGGCCCGAAAGAGAAGGGCTGAAGAGCGTCACGCTTATCATGAGCATAAGCTCCTTCGGTATCCAGCCACCGCTCAGGGAGGTAGAGCTCGGGATCTTTGAAGTTTGCAGGAGAACGGAACACAGCGTATTGGGCCATACCCATTGATGTCTATGGTTCGCATGTCAGACGTGATGACATAGGGAGGGATGCTGAAACATACATTACCCGGCAACCACTGGCCCATAATGTAAGCCCCCTCGGGCGGCGTGATACGAGGATGACTTCCTGCAGCTGGGGGATAGAGACGGAAGGATTCATCAATGACCGCATTGATATATTTGAGTTTGCTGATACGCGCAATGTTGATCTCGTCACTGGCAGCAAAAGAAGTGCGGACCTCCTCGATTAGCTTCTGCATAACAGCCGGGTGTGTGCACAGATAGTAGACTGTCCCGGAAAGTATAGTCGCTGTTGTTTCGCTGCCAGCAATAACCATAAGGTTGGCATTGGCCACGAGGTCAGGCGCCTTCAGCTGGCCTTTCTCTTCGGCTTGAATTAGGTGGCTCATGAAGTCGATGTAATCGGGATGTTGGGTTTTGCGACGCTTGACCTTCTCTGCGACGAGGCCGATGTGCCATTTACGTCGCTCGACGATCCGTTTTGGCATGATCGCCAGGATGATTGAGCGGACGTCAATGAACCGCTGGAAGGTACGGATGTAGTGCACGTACATGATGGCGTTGAAGATCATGGACATCCACGGATGATATTCCGTATTTTTGAGACAGTCAAAAGGCTCATAGAAGGCCAGGTGGCCAATAATGTCAAAAGTCACATACTATTCACGTTAGCAATGCCTTCACATAATTTACCAACAGACCCACGTTGAACCATTTCACAATGTCGACCGGCTCATTCTTGTCCACCACTTCATGCAACCGATCGACAAGGAGATCAATATAGTGCAGTAGTACAGGCTCTTGACCTTTCAACACCTTATCTGAGAAAGCATTGGACAGTAACTTGCGCAAATCACCGTGAGTCTTGCGATCGGCATTAATGATGGTTGGATGCCTTTTATCAGCATCCGTATTCTCGCCTGGATCCTTACGATTCTCAGGCAAACCAGTGCGGAATCCATAGATCTCTTTCCAGGCATCAGCTCCCGTAAAGGAGAGCTCGGAGGGTGCAATTCGGACAATTTCCCCATACTGGAGATGAAGTTCATGCACGGTCAACGGAAATTTACCGCGCAGCTGGTGCCATGTCCACCACAAACGTGTTGCAGCTGCCAGTTTTGGACCAGGATACCTAGACAGCGGATGGAAATAGATCCGGTAAATGCAAGTTCCAACCACATAGGTAAAGATCTGAATTTGAGTTCAGCATTTGACGTCTCACAAAGAAGGCCAAGCTCAACATAACATACCACGCATAGCAATAACAGGGCCGCCTGGGAGAAAGATAAATTGAATATTTGGGAGATTGCCATGGTAAATGGGTTATACTGTTTGTGACGGCCCTGGTGTCATCTTTCGGTAGAAGTATATAGTTCGAACTTCAAGGAAGGACAGTGGACATCTACCCGGACACAAATCCAATCTGTTCCGCAGGGTTATTCCAGTGGCGCTTAGGTTTCCCCAAGGTTCCTTGCTAACAATAGCTGCTCGGGAATAAGACCAATCGTCCAACGGATTGATCCTTCTGCAGGAGACATCTGGAGGCCCAAACCCCTACCCCTCACTGATGAACTCAGCTGAGACCAACAGAAATTCATCGTATGGCCTGGTTTTCTGGGAATTGGTATCGCACATTCGTACTGGTTTGTCCAATCGCCAAGTAATTCCACAGCCGATGTCAGAAATCAAGATATAAGTGGACCTGGAAGCCTTGGCCTTTCGTTGTCAAGCTTCATGTTGCCAGATGCATGGAGTACAGCTGTCGATCTTACCCTATTCAGCCAGTCGGATGAAGCGTGAAGAGTGCCCATGTAGCATCGAGATGATTGGGATGTATGATACCTAAAGACGGCGCGTATGTAATATTACATGCTATCGTATTATATTGTATCAAGGCCGAGCGATGTGACATACGAATACAGCGCTGGAGGGGAGGCTCTCTATTTGCCTCCACATTGACTTGGCGAGATTTGCACGGAGTTACTCCAACCCATCAGCTTACTCGTATTTACGGCATTCCGTTGAATTAGGCTTAGCCATCCAAGTTCAAATGCCGATTATATTCCTTCCTGAGGGGTAAGCCGGTAAGCCCACCGCATCAGTTGCAATCACTAAATTTCCCATAGATGCGGTCAAATATCGGACCTTGCTAGCGGAAAGTTTACTTGATTAGCAGGCCCACAACGAGCTGTATGGACTACCAGGAGGCTGGAAAAGTACCGAAATGAAACCGATGACAGGCGCCCGATGAAGGGTGGGTGTCAGCCTTGAACAAGTTGTGACGACGAGAGTGCTCATGGTGGTGCGGGGGATATTATGTTAATGAGTAGAAATCTTACGACATGATTTAAATAGCGGAGACTCCAATTACTGCTGCTAGAAGTTTCGAGATCTTCGAACATATAGATCGGTGGTCCAAATAGAAACCCGGAAGCATGGAGTCTACATTGTTGCATCATTCAGCGACGGCGTTGGTCAACCGACTGACCGAGCACATCGAAGACTCACACGGATTGGGCTTTATGAGCCCCGCTATTTATGATACCGCATGGGTGTCAATGATACAGAAGTCCGTTGGTGAAGAAAAGACGTGGTTGTTCCCCGAGTGCTTTGTGTATATCTTGAACGCCCAACTCGAGAATGGGAGTTGGGTCACGTACGCCTCACAGATTGACGGAATTCTTAACACCGCAGCGTCATTGTTATCACTAAAGCGACATTCCAATGCACCTCTACAGAGCAACACAGTCTCCGAGGACAGTCTCGAAGAGCGCATCAACGGGGGCACCCGATCATTGCAAGCACTTCTCCAAGCATGGGATGTTGATGCCACGCTACATGTTGGGTTTGAAATTCTCGTTCCCGCGTTGCTTGGCTACCTGGAGGCAGAAGGCATTAAGTTTTCCTTCTCTGGACGTGATCGACTCTTTGAAATCCGCGACCAGAAACTGGCACGGTTCAAACCTGAGTTCCTATATGCACCAATTCAAACAACTGCCTTGCATTCATTGGAGGCATTCATCGGGTTGATTGATTTTGACCGAGTGCGTCATAATAAGGTCAATGGATCTTTCATGGCATCGCCATCATCCACTGCCGCCGTACTCATGCATGCCTCCGAGTGGGATGACGAGTGTGAGGAATACCTTCACCACGTCATCCAAAATGCGTCTGGAAAGGGATCTGGAGGCGTTCCAAGTGCTTTCCCATCCACTATCTTCGAGCTTACCTGGACACTCTCAACTCTTCTCAAGGCCGGTTTTGACTTGGAAGAGGAGTCAATACTGTCTGTTCAGAAAGCGCGTCTTCTGCTACATAATACCCTTGTCGCGAATGAAGGCATAATGGGATTCGTGCCTCATGTCTGTGCTGATGCAGATGACACAGCGAAGACCATCCTCGTGCTCAGCTTGCTCCAGCAGCAAGTATCGCCTGATGCAATGCTGAAAGCATTTGAAACGGAGCATCACTTCAAAACGTATCCTCATGAGCGCGACCCAAGTTTTTCGGCTAATTGTAACGTTTTACTGGCATTGCTTCACACAAACAATCCTTCCCAGTATGCACCCCAGATTGAGAAGGCGACCCGTTTTCTCCACTCGCACTTTCGGGAATCTGAATTGAAAGTCCGCGATAAATGGGTATAAATATCTCCCCTAATGACAATCGATGATTTATTGACTGAATGATAGAACCTTTCTCCAATATACTCTTGGATGCTCATGACTCAGGCGATTGTCCGTCTGCATGAACTATGGCACAGCTCGCAACTATTGTCACTGAAAGAGCTACTTGAGCAAGAGCTCACCGCCCTGCTACATGACATGGCGGTTTCGGTCCTACACCAGCAGAATCACACCGGTACATGGGGCATCAGAAGCTCCAAGGAGGAGACAGCATATGCGGTACTTATTCTCACATACGCGATGCCATTTCAGTTTCCCGACGTACCTTATCTCCAAACTCAAACGGCGATCCGGGATGGTTGCTCAGTTCTTCGCTCAGACACTGTGGTGGGCTCTGAACGTCTCTGGGTGGAGAAAGTCACCTATGAATCTGAAATGCTGTCACAGGCATACACATTGGCTGCACTGAAAGGCGCAGTGGATTTGGTCCAAGAGGAATTGTTCGAGCCCAAGAGTATTATTACCAACGGGGTAAATGATCATCATCCCGAGACTCAAACAATTCAAAGCAACGGAGTAAATGGCTCCGAGGTGTACCACACTGAAGAGAATGGAGTCAAAGCCAACGGGATCGAGGCAAATGGCATCGCGGTACATGATCTCGCAACAAATGGTATGGAAACAAACAGTTTCAATCCAGATTACCCAGAAACGAATGGGATTGAAACGCCCACGCTTGTGCCAGCAACCAATGGCCACGAAGAAAACGGCATTCAAGCAAACAGGTCCAAGGCCAACGAATTTGAGAAGAATCAGCTTGAAGTGAATGACATCGAATCTATGAGAGGTTCTGCTGACAATATGTCAACCCCTGCCATAATCCAAGACCATCAACTAAACGGAGACGACCATAAAGAAAATACAGGAACGGAACCGGTTCGTACCAAATGCGCCTCAAGCCTTGATCGCCGACCAGAATGGACCGACGAACAAGAACAAATTTTGCTGGGGCCATTTGAGTATCTTGAAACACTACCAGGGAAGAACTTGAGATCCGCGTTCATCCAGGCTTTCAACATCTGGCTCCAAGTCCCGCCCAAACAATTGGAGATCGTCGAAAAGGTCATCTCTATGCTACACACAGCATCACTCCTCGTCGATGATATTGAAGATAATTCCCAGCTGCGACGCGGCCAGCCCGTTGCGCATAGCATCTTTGGCGCCGCACAAACCTTCAATTCCGGGAACTACGTTTACTTCCTTGCACTGCGCGAGATCCAGAAACTGAACAGCCCACAGGCAATTGAGATATATGTCGACGCCCTGATTCACCTTCATCGCGGCCAGGGCATGGATGTCTTTTGGCGCGATTCACTAATCTGTCCCACGGAAGAGGAGTATCTGGACATGGTCAGCAACAAGACTGGGGCACTCTTTTGTCTCGCTATTGAGTTGCTGCAGATTGGTAGTACTGTGAAGGTGGATCTTGTACCACTAGTCCGACTTTTTGGCATCATCTTCCAGATTTGCGATGACTACTTGAATCTCAAGTCGTCCAGCTATTTGCAGAAGAAGGGACTCTGTGAAGATCTCACTGAGGGGAAATTCTCTTTCCCTATTATTCACAGCATTCGGTCTAACCCGGCGAATCGCCAGTTGATCAATGTCCTGAAACAAAAGCCCCAGGATGAAGATCTCAAGCGGTATGCGGTTGCATATATGGAAAGTACCAATACGTTTGAGTACACTAGAGATTTTGTTTCTAGCCTGAAGATTCAGGCTTTGGAGATGATCGAGGACCTGGAGAAACAGGGATTAGGCGAGAACATTGCGATTCGAAAGATCTTGGCTCGGATGTCGGTTGATGCGTGATTAAGTGCTAGATTTTAGATGCGTTTTCTTATGTCGACCACTCATTCTTTTGTTGAGTTATCTTAAGGTTCATATACATTGACAAAGATTTTGCTGTTCTTAGAAGCTTATGAAATGGCTCTTGAAATGATATTAGCTAGTTCTTTCTCCATGTCTGCCTTGTTGTTATTGTATTGGCTGGCGTGCGGTGGACGAAGGCGGCAGAGCCCTACGATAGGCTCGTATCAAAACACGATTTGCTAGTATTCCATGCTAATGTATTCGAGCAATTTGACGACAGCAGGATTTGAACCTGCGGCATAAAGAAAAAAAATAACTTGCATGATCCTTGGAAAACAAAAAGAAACTGCTCACGTCCAGATTTGAACTGAAGACCTCGGCATTACTAGTGCCGCGCTCTACCAACTGAGCTACGCGAGCTGCTTATTGACACCTGAGGCAAACTATGGCTTCATATTTCATGCGGTCTATAATATATCATCTACAATCATCTATGTGATCCGGGCGACAAAATTGCCGACACCTCTTCATAGACAGAGAACACGATTCCGCCACTCAAAAGGAGACGACCCAGTCGCATCGAACTGCCTTTCCAGAATCCCCGGATTCCATAGTCTTTGATCACACTCCTGGAGGCCTCCATAATGCCGGCGCCCTGGACACCCTGTGCTCGTGTCTTGATAGTGTCAAACGGCTGTGTCGCATAAACCGTAACAACACCAGCTACGGCGCCGATGCCGAATGTCGTGAACATGTTCGTTTTGATTCCTTTGGCCTTGATGGTCTCCTTCAGCATATTGTACGTCCCCATACGCACCGCCGAGGTGGCCGACTGCTTCATCATTGTGGATACAAGACCTCGATAAAGCTCTGTGATACCATGTCTTTGAACCAATAACTTTGTTGCGTGGAAACTGGATTTGAATTGACGAGCTCCCTTCGCGTCATCGATTCTGCACGAGGATCAGTCAGCACGAAATTATTCCAAGGATCCGTGACAGGGAATACTTACAGGGCAGTTTTGATCCTCTCTGTGGGCGTCACTGCTAGTACACTTTCTACTGCACCTGCAGTCATTCCAGCCAGCATACCCCGACCAGGTGAGAGAACGCCACGCTCATCTGCTAGGGAATTGCGGATTGTATCGTATGACACAAATCGGACAGCAGCTTTCGCCGTGGTCCCCTGTACGTTTTGATCAATATAAAGTCAGGATTGAGAGAACAGCCAGTACTTACAACAATGAGAGTCGTGCATCCGGTATATAAAGCACCGACACCTTCTTGCTTCGCAACCTGGAAGATGAGCCGCAGTGGATTAGATGTCCGGATAGCGCTATTGTCCAGCAATTGAACACGAGTCTTTGAGTATTCGAATGGATACTGCAAGGAATTAATTACAGCACAACAGGGTTGTGAAATAGGTACTGACCGTGATGGCGGCTTCCACTCCGCCCGCAACTCCGCCGGACACAAGGGAGACCCATTGGGGCGTCTTGACCTGGACTAGGTCAGCAAAGGAAGCGGAATAACATTGCATGAATCAGCATTACCCGTTGAGGCTTCTTTATCTCGGTTTCTTCCGATTTAGCGACAAGAGCCATGATGTGAGTGAATCAGCTGTATCGATTAGGGGTCGGGGATTGGCCCGGGGAAACCCGACTTATAGACCCTCTGATTTGTGGGGAATGCGGGGAGCGGGATGTGACTTGCCGCGGACAACCATGTTCCGTCTTCCGTCTCCCGTATTCGCCTCAGCCGTGGAGATTTTTTGACTTGTCGCCATTTGGGATAGTCATGGACAGAAACTCTCCGTCTAAGCCGCGAAGAGCCGCTAAGGCCTGTGTGTTTTGCCGACGTAGGAAGGTAAGTCAATTGCGACGGGGGTAATGATCCGTGGGCTAATATAGTACAGTTCCGCTGTGATAACGAGAGACCGACATGTTCTAGCTGCAAGACGTATGCACAGAACTGCGCCTACGTACCCCGGCCTGAGAAGCCAAGGTACATCATCATCGTTAATCTACGAATAACTCCCCGCTGACTGTTGAAGGCCGACAAAAGCTCACTTATCACGACTGGAGGCAGAAAATGAACAGCTCCGACGGCAACTCGGACGCGTTGATACTAACTCGGAGGATGGGGGTGACACCACGGCAGGCAGTCCATCGCAGTCGCAACAACAGACACAACAAACTTCGGAGACATCGAACACAGTGCCAAATACAGATTGGTCTCATTCGGCTGTCTCGCGGATCTTCATCTCACCAAATGGCGACTCAAGCTACCATGGGCTTACGAGTACTTTATTTGATGATGCACCGACTGATCGACATGGCCATTCCCGGTCGACAGATCCACAAGTACCGGTAGAACATATTCGCAAACAGTTGATGGGGGAAGCTGCATATCAACGTAAGATGCATGCCTTTCAGAGAGTTTTCATGATCTAATCATCGCATAGGGCAATTAGAAGCATTGAACATGCGGCAAGGGAAACTTGACTTTGATGGAGTAGATCCTGAGCTGGGAATGCATCTCCTAAATCTACATTGGAACCGGCAACACCATTCATTCTTAATCACATATCGTCCAGCTTTTATGCGGGACATGGCCACCGGTGGGCCATGCTTCTCGAAGCTCTTGTTGAACGCAATCTACTTTGGCGCGTCAAAATTCAGCAACCGTCCCGAAGTTCGCCGAGATCCCGATGATGTGAGAACAGCCGGATGGAAATTTCGTCTGCGAGTGAAAGAGTTGCTTGGCGGTGCTTTGGATCGAAGTGAAATCACCACGATCCAGGCCCTGCTGGTGATGACCAGCTCCCTGTTTGCATTGGGGGACGAGCGCAGTGCTGCGTGGCTCTATGCCGGTGCAGCGTTCAGAATGATCATCGATCTGGGCATGCACGTTGATGCTACAATGCTGAGCAACATGCGCCGCCTTTCTGATGAAGACATAGAGATACGCCGTCGAGTATTTTGGGGGGCCTTTATTGTTGATAAGATTCAATCTCTATACCAGGGTCGCCCTGCAAGCCTACAGGACTTCGATACGAAAGTGTCGATAACATTCTTGGACCAATACGAGGAGCTCGAACACTGGCAGCCTTTTGCTTATTCAGATGTGCAGTCATACCCGGGCTCCCCAGCATACAGTGTTTCAACTTTTACCGAGCTTTGCAAACTATCACTGATCCTGAACGGTATCTTGAACAAAGTATACTCGGAGAGAAGTTCAAATCGATCATCCCAGGAACTGATTACTACATTGAATGCCTTGGATGAGCAACTCAAGGGATGGCATGATGCGCTGCCGGAGCATTTACGGTTCGGTAATCCCACAACACAAGTTACACCGCCACCTCATGTCCTCTCTCTTTTGGCACTTTACAATGTGCTTCTTATCCTTCTACACCGACCATTTGTGGCCGAAGGGCATCTCCATACAACCGACCTCTCAGTTGCCGTCAGTTCCTTCACTACCTGCACGACAGCAGCGAATCGAATAATCCACATCCTCCAAGCTTACGACCACGCATTCTCTATCAGACGTGCCCCATATCTGATTTCATACGCGACATATGTCGCTGCAACAATCTACGTTAGAGTTGCAGCCCAAAGGAAAGATGGAAGTAGAGCGCACTCGAATCTTCGGACATGCCTTGATATATTCCAGAAGAACCAAGGGACGAACTGGGCTGTCCGCCGGGCAAAGAATGTGATTGTGCATTTAATGGATCGCATGGGAGTTGATCTGAGTACCCCTCACCAGGAACGCGAGGCCCGGCCATGCCATGATGACAATGGGCAAACGGGGGATTTGGGAAATGGGGCTGTTGTCGACGACGGGGATCTTATACCAGCTGCATCACCGAGTCAAATGACGCCTCCAGAGACAGAGGCATCGGAGTTGGATATGGACATGATTATACAGAGCTTTATTCGGCAACAGGCAAGACCAGGTGAAGGACACATGTTTGACGAGTCTAGCTATAATGCTCTGCCTGGTCCTACAGTCCAGCTTGGAACGCCAGGTGTTTTCACTCCCTCCATCGTCCCAGGGTACAACGACGCATATTTTGATGCCCAGTTCGATGATGATATGTTGTTTGGGTTTAATGGATCTGTGCAAGATAGCATACTGTATAAATAGGCAATGATTGTCACGATGAGCTTTGTACAATAATATCACTTAATTTCAAAGGGGTGTTTCAGAATCTAAGTGGTTGCATGAACCTTCCATTTCCCAGAGCTAGATTGATGACACCATCCAGTTAGTCTCCTAGGCTGACCTCACTACGCGACAGTTCAAAGACATACCAAACTCGCTTCACGACCCAATCATGGATATGAACCTAGAAAAACACCATTCGTATGTAGCCAAAGCTCATAAATTTTTACTTCCAGAATCTGATGATCTTGAGCCAAACGCTAATCATTTCCAATTCAACATAAATTCATGAATGCTAGACGCTTTCAACCTGCTCAATGACAGCCTTCTCGTCAATTCCTTCATCCACATTTGGGTCCAGCCTCATCCTTGGGATAAGCCCCCGCCCTTCGAAGAGAGCATCCACCTCCTCCAATTTCATGCCCTTTGTTTCCGGAATCATGAACCAGACAAATGGCACAGCCAAGGTAGTACAAGCAGCAAACACAAAGTATGTTCCAAGCCCGATATTCGAGATCATGTATGGTGTGCTTCTCGCAATGACGAAATTGAATAGCCAGTGTGTTGCGACACAGATACTCATGCACAAACCACGCACGCGCAAGGGATAAATTTCAGAGCAGATTACCCAAGGGACACCGGCCCAGCTGAAGCAGAAGGATACAGCGAAGACGAAGATGAAAACTGCCGCTGCGTAGGAAGTTCCGCTGAGGGATCCGTCTGAGGTAACAGTCGAGCTTTGGACTTTGACGAATGCTCCAATGAGCCACATTGAAATTGCCTGATCATGTAAGCTTCTGTCAGAAGATCAAGAGAATCGGAGACTTACGATCATGATACTTCCATAGATCAACATCGACTTTCTTCCAAAGCGGTCGACAATGAAGAACATCGCAATGAAGACAGCTACCAACCGGACTATACCATAAATGCCTGTTGATACCAGCGTCGCTTCAGTCCCCTGCAAGCCAATCGACTTGAAGATCCGAGGTGAATAATAGTTGATGGCATTTGATCCACACATCTGGAAGAAGATCATAATCATCACACCAAGGAAGACACGGTTCCGGAGTCCAGGCTCCATAAGCTCTTTCCATGCAGCGCGGGTATTTCCAAGACTATCCGAAAGCTCGATCTCAAGTTGATCCAAGATATCGGATACCTCTTCCTGAACAGCTGGATGGTCATCAGGGAGCCCACGCAACTTCGAAAGCGTTTCGATTGCTCGGGCTCTCCCATGGGTCTTTGCTATCCACCGAGGAGATTCAGACATAAATATTAATCCAATTAGAAGGAGTCCACCCGGGATAAGTTGCAATGCAAATGGTGTCATCCACTGTGCAGATGTTGGTGCCATGTTGCGATCAACGCCGAAGTTTATCCAGAATCCCAAGCAGGTACCGAGTTGCACACCAATCTCGTAGACACCAACGAGTCGACCTCGAATTTGGGGTGGTGCGCACTCGGCTGTGTATAAAGGTACCAACATGCTGGCGAAGCCGACACCCTGGAAACGGGTTAGCAACGCCGAACAAGCATTTTTTCCGGGGACATACTTACCACGCCACCAATGACTCTGCCCACAAACATAATGTCTTTGTTTCCGGCGGATACTGTTTGCATAATAGACCCCACAATGAAAGCAACGGCACCAATGGCTAGGGCTAGTCGACGGCCTAGTTTATCTCCAACAGGTGCTGCTGCTAAAGCACCGAAGAAACAACCAGCTTGTAGGAGTGATACAATATTTGCTGAAAAGGCATTCTGAACTGACTCGGATGCGCCATCTAGTCCGAAATCCCTTGAAGAACTTAGCTCACGAACGTGGCTGATTGTGCTATCAACATACCTTTGGAATGGTGCCAAGTCGATTGCAGTGCCGATGAACGCTAAGTCATATCCAAAAAGGAATGCACCCATAGAGGTGACTATTGAAAGAATATAAACACGTGCATTATGCTGAGGAGCATCCATTGATGCCACCTGGGCTGGCCTTGTCATGTTGTTATGGTGTGTTGGACTTTGCTTAAGAGTTTTCGGAAAACTCCTATTGCTTTTTCTGTTGCATGCTGCGATCAACGTTTTATGTCCAGCATGCCAGGACGCACCCCGCATTGAATCTGGGGACCCCGTATTTCTCAACCGACAAAGAAACGTGGTGGCGAGGTTAGCGAGATGCTTGCCGTGGACTTTTTCATCCATGGAAGCTGAGTTGCCGCGGAACGGCAAAGTTCCACCCGTTTAATGTATAGAGCGCAATGGATAAACGGAGAGCGGAAACTTGGAATTTGAACTGCAAGACTGAAATCCATCATCATATATAGCCTCGGTTGCGGCGCTGGTCTTAAATTGCGTTCTACAACGAAGAACAATTACACTCTACTAGAGAAACATCATGGCAACAGCAGCAACACTTTCCATCGCGGGCACCTACGCGGCGCCGAATTTCTTCCCACTAAAATCATATGTCCCAATTCCAACTAGGCACTCTCTGCCTGCAGTATGGATGCGCTCGGGGACTTCAAAGGGCCTCTTCATTCACCGAAAAGACCTTCCTGAGTCAGTAGACCGATGGGCACCCATTCTCCTATCAGCAATGGGGTCGTCGAATGGGAATGGCAAGCAAATTGACGGTGTGGGTGGCGCTACCTCGACTACTTCCAAAGTGGCAGTGGTTGCGAAGTCCAATCGAGACAATATCGATGTCGAGTATACCTTCGTCCAGGTTGCTCCCGATCAGGCAATCGTGGACATGACTGGCAACTGTGGGAATATCGCGTCTGGTGTAGCCCCATTTGCTTTGGATGAAGGACTTGTCAAGGCAAAGCCAGGTCAGACTGAAGTTAGTAGCCCGATAGAATTCAAATACCATCTCGGCTAATTCGCCTTCTAGATCGACGTCCGTATTTTCAACACCAATACTGGACAAACTCTGGTGGAAACAATCCAGACATCTGGGGGTCTCTTCAGAGAGGATGGAGCCTGTCGCATCCCCGGTGTGGAGGGAACCTCAAGTCCCATCAAGGTAGCATTTCTCAACCCAGGTGGTAGCATGACAGGAAAAATGTTCCCAAGCGGCGCAAAACAGGAGACATTGACAGTCCAATCATGGACCGTGGGTGTATTCCAAGTGAGCGTGAGTCTTGTCGATGCGGCAAACCCATTTGTCCTTGTCGATTCCCGCTCTCTGAAGATCGAAGGGCGCCCCCAGTGGCCAAATGCAACGGACACAGAGTTCATTTCCGTGGCGGAGGATATTCGAAGAGAGGGTGCCGTGCGTTTCGGATTAGCTGCGGATATAGAGAAAGCAAGTGCCGTTCGAGGCACGCCAAAAATCGCGTTCTTATCTGCACCTGCCGATGAAAGTTCCGATCTAGACGTGCTGTCATTCACCATGGGGAAGCCGCATGCCAGTCTGCAGCTTACAGGTGCGGTTTGTATAGGTGCCGCGATGGCTATCCACGGCACAGTTGCATGGCACTTGGCCAATGAAGTACTGATGGATAAAATTCCCAAACATGGAATGGAGATAGAGGGTCGGAAGATTGCAAATGCTGTACCTGTCGGGATTAGACACCCTGCTGGCGTGATACAGGCTGAAACAGTTTTGGGCCTGGATGGAAATGGGAATATTGATGTGAAGCATGTTGCAGTCGTGCGGACTGCGCGTCGACTATTCGAAGGTAATGTTTTCTATAGAGCATAAAACATGCAATTTACAGGTAAAAGAGACGCCTGCTAGAGTCTAGTCATCAATATAACAATTAGAACGTTTCTATCTATTCCGCAGTTGTAGCCGGAACGGTAACAATAGTGATAATCCGATCAAGTTCCTCCTCCTGCAGCCCACAGAGCTCAACAAAGTATTTTCGCGCGCCTCCAAACTTAGTCTCCACGACCTCATTCAAAAACGCTCTCATACACCCAGGATGACTGCCCATGAGAGCTTCCGCCTGTTCACGAGTCGAAACCTCGCCTTTCTCCAAAATTCGCTTAACCAAATATTCTCCCCAGGCTCCCAAACCCTCCTTTGTAAGTGCATAATCAGCTACAATGACTTCATCTGCCACTCCACATAGCTTGAGAAGCAATGCAGCAAATACACCGGTCCGATCTTTCCCCGCTGTGCAATGGAACAGGATCGGAGTGTCTGGATTGTTCAGGATATGAAGCATAATCGAGCGGAAACTATTCGTTTCCGCTGCGCTGCGTGCAATACCTTCGTAGGCTTGGGAAAAGCCTTTGTATATGGCTTCTTCGTTTACGCCTTCCCCGGTGATTCCATATCGTTGTGCTAGTGCACCCGGAGAGGAGTCTCTCTTTGGAAAGACCGGGACCGCGTAGCGAGTCGTACCTGGGATGTCGAGAAGGGAGTCAGGAGAACGGGTGACAAGGAGCTCGATCTCTTGATTTGAGCGAAAATCGAACACAGCTTCAACATGAAGTTTGTTGGTCAGTGTCTCCACTCCAGGTGGGGTGATTTGAGACGGCTGTGCGGCACGGAATAGGAGGCCTGATCGAATGCGCCACTCTGTGATTGAGGACTCGTTCGTGTTCTGGGTCACGGAAGGCACTGTGGGAGGATGGCATGCATGACCTCCAACATCGCGCACGTTGGGGACACCATCCACCAAGATGAAAGGAGACGGTTGTGTCGAATTGACGCTGTTCTGAGCCATTTTGAAGCTTCTTTTAGGTGCGTCGAAGACCTGCGAGTAAATTTGGCGATATGTGGAATGTTTGGGTTTCAAGCTGGTTGAATGAACTGTCAGATTGACGCAGCAACAAGAATTGAGAGGCTTGTTTCATTCGTCCGGACATAAAACCAATCATTAATGGTTGCACCCCACGGGTCCATCGTTGTGGTGGGTCTTCATTTTGGCCGAGGCTAAGTTTGGAGTTCTTATATCCGGGTAAGCACTATTATGCATATGGATAGAGGGCCGGGGTACCTCTCCCTATCTCAGTCTGTGCCAGTTGGAGCATACCCGGGATCTCTGAGAGCGCTGTAAAACTCAGAGGATGCAACTTAGCTTTCAATGCTACATGACACTTCAAATAAGAGGTCAGTCATTGAAATGTGCAACTCAGTGGGGTATCCTGACGTACCCCTCATTTAGCCATAAATACGGTCAGAAAGGTTCACTTTCCACGGAAATACAATAACAGATCAATGCAATTGGAGCTGAAGGCTGCATTTTGAATTTATTCCTAGTGATCTAAGAGGTCCTTCCTCCGGCGATTACACTAGTGCTGACGAAATCTTACAGTTTCTGTTCTTTCAAAGCCTAATGTCATGCTCTTGGGCCGGTATTTGGCCGACGTAAGCCTATGCACACTCCCACGCCTGGAACAGTGAAAGAATGCCATCAAATATATCGATACGAGTTAGGGAAGTCGACAAGGTCACGTGGAACCTCTATGGAGAGGAAATATTGTCAGCCATGAATCTTGATGTGAAGAACCAAGGAGAGGTCTCCATAACCGTAGGGAAGCAGAAAACTAGTCTAAATAAAGCCTTGCCACGTGCCCCAATGGCATTCCCCGGCCTTATAGTATAATTAAACATCTTATAATGCCCGCATATTTGACCCGAGTCCGAAAGAAGTGCGCTGTGTTGATATGGCTAGAGGCAAACAGATTCAGTGAAAGATTATTACATTCATGGACCAACATATGGCAAGAGTATATCCACAACCATGGACGGAAAAAGGATGACTATCAATATTTGGAACAGAGTCTGATCCACTTAATGCTTGCAAACAGATGACGAAGCCTTCGAACAGCTCAAATAGAGCGGATATTAAAATCAAATTTTGTGTCAATCCCGTCAAACGCCCTGCCTATATGCAACAGTATCAAAATAGACCCGAATATGCCAGCCGGGCTAACCAAAATGCCAGATGTACAAGAAGTGAAACCGAAAATGTCCCAACAAGTCAAAGACCATGCTTGACTCCGAGGGGACCAATAATATGCGCAATGCAAGAGATTGGAAAAGAGAGGATGAGAAGACAAGAGGGTAGAGTCAAGGGAGATGAGTGATGGACAATCACTCATACTGCTTCTCATCAGTCGAAAGTTTAAGGCTCAATCTAGCCAAGACCTCATCGGATATCCACTCCTGCAGCTCAGGGAACCAAGTATGACTGCAGAGAACGTTAGTTAAACATCCCACGCAGGAGAATAGCAAAGGAAAGTGTTGACTCACTTATGAAACTTCGTGTTAATCAAAGCCTGCTCCGAATACTCCTCCAACAAAACCATATCATAACCATACGGCACCTTGGCCTGAACACCCTCAAATGAAGTGCGCCGCAACGGATAAATATCCTCAATTCGGTATTTGTGGAAATTCTTACAACCCCAAATCCCCGGCTCCGTAGTAGGCTCCAAAAGACTCAATCCAGTGATATCAATATAAAGCCCGGTATCAATATCGATCCACCGCGCATCGATAATATTATGACCCTGTCCATGATCGCGCTGTCTCGCCCACGGGTTGATATCAAGAAGATACTGCCTCTTTTCTCGAGAGTCCGGAGCCGTGTATTCGACGATTGTGTGATTAAAGTGATCCGCCAGGTATGCGAGTGTCGTATCAGGAACTTGTGTATCCATATCCCAATCCCAGGGAAGAATTTTGCCATTCCACCACCAACCCAGTAGAGTTCCGTGCGCGATCCAGGTTTCCAGCTCATTTTCGTTGAAGAAATTTAGGTATGCGCGGATCATGTGTGTGAGGGTTTCGGCGCGGGCGGCGTCATCTACTGGGCTGGTAAAGAAACGGATATCGTAGTGGCCAAGGATGTCGTCGCGGCCTGGTTCGTGGAAATATTTATATTCAGCTGAGGCGTTTAAGCCATATTTTAGCCAGAGGGGGTCGGTGAGGGTTTTATCGGTCCATTTTGTGCTGGATTTTGGTTCGGGGTTTGGTATAGGTTCTGGATTTCGGATGTGTAGGTCTGGTGTGCTGGGTAGGGCTGTGACCGCTGTGAACCAGAGTGCAGGAATGGCCACGAGCAGCGCTCGCCACTGCATCTCTGGCTTGTATCAAGTGGTATATATTATAAAAAGGACGAATCTGCGCTCGGTGTTGATATTCTCATGCTGGGGCTGAGGTTTGAGATCCGTTCCGTTTTGAGAGCTGTACTGATGATATACTGTGCAGTTATATTTCGACCGAGATATATGCGGTAGACCTGTGATGAGAACGAGGTATTTACAGAGGATGTTGATCCGGAAGGTCGAGAATATGGTAGGAGCAAAAAATAGATAGGGTGTTCAGAAAGAAGAATACGAAGGTGAAAAAAAGGGCGGAAGCAGGGACGCCGCAAGAACCAACGATGACCCATCCGACCAATCCGGCGGGCTATGGAGATTCAGGGAAAAGCACTGGACAACCTGGTAACTGGTGGCCTGGAGCGGGGCGGTTTGGAGCGGATATCCCCACTGTTGGGACCCAGGTTAAGCCCGATCTGCTGACAGGGAGTACCGAGAAGGGAATGAAGAATAGGGGGGGGGACAAGGGGTTAATATACTAGAGTGGGAAACGTAGGGCCAAAATTGCATGATGGGTGCTCGGGATCAGCGTTCTTAAACTTCGTGGAGGGGCCATGTGCCAATCCGAACATCGAATAACGCAACAGGGAGATGAATAGTTTCACGTAGAGGTGGAGGGAGAAATACGACTACGCTGATCCGGGGGTGATCAGAGACATATGAGACATATTAAGCAGCTGTAACCCCCTACATTCCATACAAAAGAACTACTTTATACGGTGTACAGGGGTTAAGTTCATAAAGACATCGCGTGCCGGCTTTCCCAGGTTGGCCCCGCTCCATTGAGCTAATATGGGGGCGTATAAGCTCGGAACAATTCTGCTTCCAAGCGAGCATGGAAAAAAAACGAAAATATGACCAGAATCTCATATTCTCGGAGGTCTCTATTTATCATATTCAAGAAACAAGATTATCCAAGGAACCAGGCACTCCCCTGTGTTCCTGAGGCCCTGAGGCCCTGAGGCCCTGAGGACCCTGTAAAAAAAAAGTAAAAACCCGAGGGACGATCTTGGCAGCGCCAAGCTCACCCTGGGCTCGGACCCACACTTGAACAAGGCTAACGGGGCGAAAACTGCCATAATGGCGTTAGTGGGAATGCGGGACTCCATTAGACACACCATTTAATCAATTGGGGCTTATAGTCTTCCGGGCCTCCCGGCCACACGACACTTTGCCAAACGTGGAGGTTATAATCCCATGTGCGCAACAATTCATGGTCGGAAACAATGTCACTGTGCCTTCTGCCCTGTTTTTCTCGATGAACCATGGATTTGCCAAGGACTTTTGCATGTTCCGGTCCTGACCCGAATCTTGGCAGAATGATGAATCATAAGTTCAAATACGATGGGATAAGAGACCGAATACGATGAGATTGAATATTGAATTCACAAACACGGGAGAAAATAGGGTTATTTAGAGTGATCGCCAGGTGGCACAAACTTTTGGTGCAGATCACAACAGGAACAGGGAACTGGATCGACGATGATCGCTGGTAAGAAGACTACGGAGTACGAACTGCTCTCTGGGCAGCGCAGCATTTCTGTGGGAAGAATTTTCATGCAAAAAATTACATTTATTGTCAAGTCATAGACATGGAATTCATCTATTCATTGAGAAGAAAGCGATCTACATCATAACGGGGTGCCATTAACAAGAAAGAAAACAATGTGACCAACTCATAAAGAAAAGCCAGTTGATCGGGTCTAGGTCCGTGAAAGCATCTCTTGAGCCTTTTCGTCATCATGTGAGCGTCGCTTCCAATTGAAGGCGCACGACGCCCATACCAAAAGTAACAGGGGGAAAGAAAAAAACAGGATTATACTAAATCTACTGCTTGTCCTCGGTCTCGGCCTCACCCTCGGCGGGCGCATCCTTCATCTCAGCGTCACCCTCGGCCTTCTTCTCCTCCTCAGCCTTCTTGGCGTCCTCCTCAGCCTTCTTGGCCTCGAGCTCAGCGCGGCGCTTAGCGGCGGCTTCCTCCTCGGCCTTCAGGACGGCCTGACGCTCAGAGTCGACCTTCTCCTTGTAGCGCTGAATGATGGGACCGGCAATGAAGCGGATGTCATCCATCTTGGCGACGTAGACGGACTTGGTGGTGTCATCACCCTCCTCGTACAGCCAGTCCTCGGTGGCCATCAGCTTGGCCTTGAGCTTCTCCTTCTCCTCCTCGCTAGCGAATTCGGCGTAGACGCCGTCAATTTTGTCACGGAGCTCGTAGATGGAAGCCTCAAGCTCATTCTTCTTCTCGTCGGTCTCAGCGACGAGCTTGTCCTCCATGTACATAGCGTTCTCACGCTCCTGGAGAGCCTCCTTGGCGGTCTGGTCAATGCCACCGACACCGGAGACAATGGGCAGATCGCCCTTGCGGACCTGCTTCTTGACCTTGCGGGTCTTCTTGGGCTGCTCCTCACCGTTGGCATCGGTGTCCATAGCCTAAAAAGTAAAAGTTAGTACAGATGAATCGATTAATAGGTCCCCGGGGGGGGGGAGAAAGAAACAACTTACATCACCCTCTTCGGGGACGGGCTCCTCAACCTCCACGTCCTCGACGTAGTATCCGGACTCGACGTTCAGGATACCGTGAAGGTTCAGGCGAGCCTTCAGCTTGCAGATCATGAAGTCGTCCTTCTCGTCAGCCTTGACACCCTTGACGGAGAAACGGCCGATCCAGGGGTTGACCTTGCCGGGGAGGCCCTCGGGCTGGGAGTAACGAGCCTCGAGGTCGAAAGGCTGCTTGCGGTAGAAAGTAAGGATCTTAGTGGAGGGCATGACGTTGCCGCGGTTGAAGACGGTGAGGTTGGTGTCCTCATCGGGGATCTCGGGGGACTGCTCCCAGGTGAAGTCGATGGGGTAGCTCACAATGTCGTGAACAGCGAAGTCACGAACACGGAAAACGGGGGAGAGGGTAGCGCAGCAGAAAGCACAGCCACGAGCAATAGCCTCATCCTGGTTAAGAGTGAAGGAAAGGGGCTTGTTGAAGAACTTGGAGATAATCTCCTTGATGGCAGGGACACGAGTGCAGCCACCGACCATCTCAACGTGGTCAATGTCATCGACAGTGAGCTTGGCCTCAGCGAGAGCCTGCTCAATGGGAACGGTAAGTCGGTCCAGGAGGGGCTTGACCATCTCCTCGAGCTCCTCACGCTTGACCATAGTCTTGACATCGGTGTCCTCCATCAGAGACTCGATGCTCAAGGGAGCCTGGGGGTTGGCAGACATAACCTTCTTCATCTTCTCAGCGGCGGCAACGGTACGGGACCAGGCCTTGGGGTGAGTGCGAATATCAATCTTGTACTTCTCCTTGAACTCATCGGCGAAGCGCTCAGTGAGAGCAATATCGAAGTTACGACCACCGAAGTGACGGTCGCAAGCGGTGGCCTTGACGTTGAGCTCACCCTTGCGGAACTCGACGATGGAGGCAGTGTAGTCACTGGCACCGATGTCGACGAACACAACACGGCGGGGCTTCTCCTCGGGGCCGGGCAGGTCGAGCTTGGTGATACCGTAACCGAGAGCGGTGGCGGTGGTATCGTTGACCAAGCGGAGGACGTTGAGACCAGCAATGTCACCAGCATCGATCATGGCCCGGCGCTGCACATCGGTGAACCAGGCGGGAACACTGATAGTGACATCGGACACGGGGAGCTTGAGCTCCTTGGAGGTGATATCCTTGATCTTGGTCAAGTACATAGCAACCAGCTGAGTAGCTGTGAACTTCTCCTTCTTTCCGAGGTAGTTAACCTCAACACCAGCCATTCCGTTGACATCACAGATGTTGGCGCTGTTGTATTGCTGCTCGAGCTTGACATCGGGGTCGTCGAAGGGGCGGCCGATCAGGCGCTTCAAAGAGCCAATGGTGTTCTTGAGATTGGAGGTCTCTTGTGTCTTGGCGGCCTCACCGATGTGTCTGCTGCGGGCGCTGAATCCAACGAGGGAACTGTTGGGCACAAAATTTTGAGTCAGTCATTGCTGGGGCCGAAGAAGAAAAAAATAAAAAAATCTGACGGGGGATGATGTCAGGCAAGCGCGATCGCAAGAACTTACGGGGTCTGACGGTTGGAAACTTCATTGGCAATCTATAAGATCCAAAGGAAATCGGGTCAGTATCAATTCATGACTATATCGTCGGGTGGTCGCAATTTCGAGGGACGAGGGGTCCCGCAACGATAGGCGGGGCAAACACTCACGATATCTATACCCTTGTTCCGGGCAACACCAATCTTGGTGCTCTGCGCACCGAGATCAATACCGACAACAGACATTGTAGGCTGATAGGGAGGGGTGGATCGAGGGGAAAAAAAGTGGGTGGGAGGATGAAGAGGAGAGGATCACAGAAAAAGGGAAGTTTTGGAGGGGAGAATTTGCACGCCACTCCACTCTTATTATTGGGCGGGGATGAAGGCGATACCAGAGTGTTCTGGCGGTCTAGAAAACTTTTGAGGGGGGTATAAATGAAATTTGAAAAGGGGTAATAATATGGATTATTGAAAGAATTGAAACATTAGTCTAAACTTCTCCTTTTCACTATTCTAAGACTATATACTGCGCTACCTTTGCCATCCGGACTGTGCGGGCATCGAACCTTCCAGCGGTTACTGGACTCCTTCTTCACCGCTATCAACTGAGCAGCAGAAAAATATTCATGCTTGACCGCCCAGATGACGTTACATAATGCTCCACCCAATCCACCAATCCACACCCTGGGAATCGACAACAAGAGATATGCACGCAGCTACAATGGAACAGCGTCTTCTATTCTTCCATGAGGACTCACATTCTTTCACCATCAACCCGATTCCCATACATTCCTTAGATCGCTATGCGCAGCAATGCTGAAATCAAATGCCAAAGTGATTGTGAGATTTTTTAAGTGGCGCGAAAACTTCGCTGATCAAGCATGATATCATAAATGAGTGTCTTTGGCGTTTTATCCAAAAGTTCGACAATGCAACTGAATATAAAAAAAAGGAAAGGAGCTCGTAAAATAAAAAGCAGGTATTGATAGTTCGAATCCACTAAAGATACGCTAAAGCCGGACTGCAATGGATTAAGACAATAGAACACCGTGAGAGAAAAAGGAAAAAGACGCTAGAAAAAGAAAGAAAAGAAAAGTGGGACGAGGGCTTCATGCGGAACTAATTTCAGGTCAAATAAATCTTCATCAGACCATGTCCTGCGGCAGATCAAGAGATCGTGATTCCCTGTGCATATGCCTCGGCGGTCTCTGATGCTCCATGCTTTCACGAGGGTCGGGTAGAATGGATTCTTCCAAGGAGTACCGGCGATCTTCGGGATGAACGGTAATGGCAGGAAAGCTCAACGCACCAGAATTCAACAAAATAGGCTCCGGGTCAGTGGGCCCATTTCCGTCAAAGTTGGGATCGATATCTTTCTCACTTTCCTCCATGATCGGCAGACTGGTTGATAGCCGTGCTTGACGGGCATAGTATAGCTTCTGCTGGTCTTCTTCACTTATTAAGCTCTCAACATTGTGGGTTGTTGGAGCGTGGTTTGACATGCCTTCGGAAGATGCTGTAAAGACTGATTCCAATGAGTCTCGGAATGCATCAGGTGGATGAAATCGAGGGGCCTCTTCTAGTGTTTTCTGTTGCTGAAGTGTACCAAGGTCATCTTCATGAGTATTGATGTAGACCCCATCCAGAACCTGCTCAGAGGGGGCAAAGCGCCCTTCGACGTGGCTTGACGGACGGACTGGAACAGATTTTTGTCTTACCAGGCTTGTTCGGAAAGTCTGGATGTCCACATTGAATTCATCTCCTTGGTTTTTAGCCTGCTCCACTGCTTCCCCGGGAGTAGTTTGATCATCAGCAGCGGCAGCATCTGCTCTTGGACCTCCCCAGGTACGCTGACCGGCAGTAAATATGCCATACATCATGTAAATCCAGTTGAATATAGGGTTCAAGATGAACATAATCGGGTACAGCCATGCCTTGTAGCGCTTGAGACGGAATCCGAAGTATAACATCAACAAGTAATTGAGCCCCAGAGAGACCCCAATGAAACCGACCGGCAGATCATCTGTCCTTTTCGAGGTCGTAAGTAAGGCAATGGCCATCATGAAAAACAACAGGGTGGTGGTTCGGATGGTGTTTTGCATGAATCGAACTAAACATAACAGCGGATAGCGCTTCCACAACCTGACATCGGTGATCATGCACACTTCATTGGTAATGAACCCTAAGAACCAACGACGTCGCTGCTTCAGAAGACTGCTGAAAGTCTGTACGGCCTCGGTCTTGCAAAAGGCACCTGAACACATTTGGATCTGATATGGTTCCTTGGCACCGACCATGAAAAGATGAGTGAGCCACCGGTCTTCGCCCAAGTGGCACTTTCCAAAGTCGAAGAGATCATCGCACTGCTCAGCCTTATCTGCAAAGTAGTATTTGGCCATTTTGCGAAAGGCGGAGAATCGCAGAATTGTCAATGCACCCGGTAGGCAGGTCACAGCACCACAACCTGACTCCACTGAACGCTCAAAGAGCTGCCCGTGAATGTATTCCATGTCCTGGAGTACTGTGAGAAGCGTGTTCTTTTCCGTTGTGGATGTAATGATGCCCGTCATAGCTAGCATGTTGCGCTTACTACCCGGCTTCAATTCCATATCGTACATAAAGTTTTGCAAGCAAACGCGGTCAAGAATGCAGTCAGAGTCGATGAATAGAACAAAAAGATCGTCATGTCTCTTCAGGTATTCTTTGTACACCTTATCGATAAGCTTGAATGTTTGTTTCTGACAATGTCTTTTACCTCCATGCTTGAAACGAGAAACTGTAATCCGAGAACCCTTGTAGCAGACGTCGATGCTTGGAGGACAGACTTTCAACGATATGGAAATTCCAAGATGCTGGATGACTTGAAGATAAGGCTCATCCACTATGTCACCATCCCACGAGAGGAAGACATGAATACAAGATGCCGGGTAGTCACAGTCAACGACCGAATCGATTGCCTTGATCAATACCGCAGCATCTTCCTTGTAGACCGGCATCACAACAACTGTCTTGGGCGCTGTTCGATCATCCAGCACTTCTTTGATTCTCTTTGATCTTCCGAGGGAGTGGGTTACCAGTCGATATACACAGAATGACCAGGGTCCAACAAGAAGAGCGGAGAAGGACCAAAAAGCAAACCATTGGAAATCCATCGATACTCGATCTGGGAGGTATTGGGTGACTTGAGATGGCAAGGGTAGGGTGAAAATCATCACCGGAAGGAAGGCAAGGCTACAAACGATCGTGGTCAATCTACCACTCCCAAAGGCTTGCTCAAGATATGACCAAGCGACTTACCGTAGTACAGTGAATAAAAAGATCATCAGCACCGCCAGAAACCTGATGCTCCAATGGTCTGCCTTTTGGTAGACTTTGATCAAGCAGTAAATGAACGCTGCTAGCCATAGGACCCATTCAAATGCCGCTGCCAGCATAAGCGGTCCGACAATCACGAGGTACACGATCTGATACACTTGTTAGAATATGCTCTAGTGGCAACTGCGGTGTCACCTACGTCTCTGGTCGGCCATTCATCTCCAGCAAGCCCCCGGTCTGCAGCTCCTTCCATAGTCAAATGAAGCGTTCGAAGCCCAAATTTTAGTTATGAATGTCGGGCCCAGGCACTGCGTACCATTACCATAAGTAGAGCTGTCAAGAAGCAAGGACAGAATCCCTGTTTTTCGTCAGTTCCGGTCCAAATCTCGCTGGATGAAGGTGCTTGCAATGCGTTATATCAGTGAGCCATATCACTCGGACAGGACGGACTCAGGATGTACATAAATGTAATAAAAGTAATAAAGCTGCAAGGAAGTCGTAATACGGAAAGAAAATTGACAGGACACCGGGAGAGGTTTGTGTGTTTTGAGAGTGGGAGTGACACTGAAGCCTATACGGCAGGCACGATAAGCGCTTTGAAAAGCCTCGCAGTTCCGTCCATTCCATCCGAGACTGGTAAACTATCTTCCTCTGCTCTAGCACCAGTGATATAATAAGCTCTTTTATACTTCATAACCAGTATCAAAATTTACGAGCATGTGTCCGTTTGAAGATGAATGACGGGGTATACTTCATTCACTGCGGAGCCACGGCCATTCTGGGTCTAGTGTCGACGCCTCAGGCAACAAGACAGCTCCGAAAAAAAAATCCAAAAATTCACTCCCCGCGCCAGCTACTTAGTCGCGTGTCTTCCCGGTCTTATTCTTCTATACCTTCGGTCGCATTTCTTCAAGCTTCTCAATTTTGCCTTTGTGACCTCAATCGCTTACCCGACCGTTGAGTCATCTCAATTCCCCGAGTCATCCTGCCGCTTTTCTTTGATCCGTCCCGACACCCCTCTAACGGAATTTCCATCGCACATATTCTCCGCAACAATGGCCGACGAACAGAAGCCCGCCACCAATGTGGAGGCTGAGAAGGATGTCCAGAACGTTTTGAACGAACTGAAGGCCGAGAACGGCTCCGAGAAGGTCGCCCAGGAAGAAGAGAAGGCTGAAGAGAAGGCCGAAGAGAAGGTCGCCCAGGAAGACCCCGAGGAGGCTCGCATCGTCGCCGCAGCTGCCAAGCTGGGTGAGAAGTCTGAGCAGTCTCAGCAGTCCGGAGAGAAGACACAGCCGCAGCAGGAGTCGCGCGGTCCCTACCGTTCCCGCAACGCCGCCAAGTTTGATCCCTCCACCCTCGAGGAGACTGACGACCCCGTCGAGATCCGCAAGCAGGTATGAAGCTATGAATAAATGACAATCTTAAGGCGAGACAGATCACTAATGCGACGATTTACAGGTTGAGTTCTATCTCTCGGACTCCAACCTCCCCTTGGACAAGTTCCTGCTCTCTCAGGTTGGCGGCAGCGCCAACAACGCTGTGCCTCTCGAGCTTTTGCACTCCTTCAAGCGCATGCGCCGTTTCCAACCCTTGTCCGCTGTCGTCGAGGCCCTCAAGACCGCCGAGACCGTTGAGCTTGTTGACAACGACACCGCCGTGAAGCGCAAGGTTCCCCTTCCCGAGTCCGTCACAACCGAGGTCGACGAGGCCGGTATCAAGGTCTGGGAGGATAAGACTATGCCCCGCAGCATCTACGCCAAGGGCTTCGGACAGGAAGAGCCGAGCACCCAGTTCGACATTGAGAAGTTCTTCGAGGCTTACGGACCTATCAATGCTATCCGTCTGCGCCGCGGCGATAACCGGGGCTTCAAGGGTAGTGTGTTCGTTGAGTTCGCCTCCGAGGAGAAGCAGAAGGAATTCTTGGCTCTTGAGCCCAAGCCTCAGTGGAAGGGCACCGACCTGCTCATCAAGAGCAAGAAGGAGTACTGCGACGAGAAGATTGAAGAGATTAAGAACGGCAATGTTCAGCCCAACCAACGTCCTCGTGGTGGAGCCCGTGGCGGTCGTGGACGCGGAGGTCGTGGTGGTCGTGGTGGTCGTGGCCGTGGTCGCGGTGGCCGCGGTGGTCGCAACGACCGTGACTGGCGCGAACGCCGTGATGATGACAAGAAGAACGGTTTCCAGGACCGCCGACAGGAGAAAGACTCTCGGTAAGATCACAAAATTATTCACATTTGGAAATTTGTTACTAATCACATTCTAGTGGTGTCCCCGTTATTCAGAGCACCGGCGAGAAGCGCTCCCGTAATGACGAGGCTGGCGATCGTCCTGCCAAGAAGGTTGATGCTAAGGAGTAATGCATTTGACCATGATACATTATCAATCGCAATCATTTCTCGGTTTGATTTTCTTTCTTCTAGTCATTGGGCGGAATCCAAAAGTGTTATAGGAACAGGCCGTCCAATTGGGCCATGTTACATAGGGCGAATTCCTTCTTGGCGTTTTTATCAATTGGTTAACGACAATAGATGTTTCATTACATTTCCATTGTTTTCATTGTATTCACATGTGGAAGTTGATCCATTCGCATTGCAGTAAGGCTACCTAAGCTATAGACTCTTTCCCGAGGTCGGACCCGAAGAGACATGTGAGACATCGTATGAGGGTGAGTTGATAGACTCGGATCCAGCCCTTTTAAAGTTATTTGTCTACGCGAAGGCTTATTCCACCCTTGGTAGCTGTTTCATCTTCCTTGGTACCGGATACAGGAGTAGATCTTTGATTAGTTCACGCAAGCCCAGTGGCGTCCAACACGGTCATGGATTTGTTAGTCATATCCACCTTCAACTTAAGTCGTACCACATATTCCGATGAGCATGACGACCGACCTTGACTCGATTTTAATCGTCATGATTCTCACATCTCAACATGCTGGAGTTCACCTAAAGTTTCTGAAATCACATTGGCAACATGAGTGAACGTGGTCAATGTAGGCGTCCCCCCGACAAAACCGAAGCATGGATTCTTGGTAGTGGAATTGCGCCTTTAGCGTCGGCATTATACTTGGTGCAGTTCGCCAATGTACCTGCATCCCAGGTGCATGTTTTGGACTCTCATATTTCAATGGGACAAGTCTTGCATAACAACGGTGATCCCATTCATGGGTATGATCAGTTTGCAGGATGCTTACCTGTTCCGGTCGGAAAGCCTTTAACGGAGCTCCTTTCCATGGTGCCTTCAGTGACCCGTTTGGGGCATTCAGTGATGGATGATATCAAATCCGCGGAGAAGGGGCGTATAAAGCAGACGGCAAGTCGGACGCGGTTTTTAGTCCAAAGGAACAACGCTTTGCATGATATTCATACAAAATCGCTGAATTTGAATCCTAAGCATCGCATGGAATTGATCTTACTTATGTTGAAGGGAGAGAAACGTCTGGGGAGAAATCAAATCCGAGACTTTTTACCTACCTCATTTTTCCAAAGCACATTCTGGACCATCTGGTCTACTCAGTATGTATTTCGCCGATCTCTAACGGAATTACTTATGCTGATCCTCTACCAGGTTTGGGTTTCAGCCATGGCACAGCGCAATTGAATTCAGACGCGCTATTCGTCAACATCTCAGCGGTTTCCACAGTTTAAGTATTTTGAACTGTCTGGATATTACCGGATATTATCAGCAAGACTCAGTATTCCTGCCTATCTTTCTGCACCTCCAGAGCCTGGGTGTAGACTTCCATTTCGACACAACAATCACAGACATAGTATCGACGGTTCGAGATGGCCAGGAAACAATCTCACAACTTCGTATGATTCGAAACGGATTCCCGATGCAGCAAAAAATAAGCGACGATGATATCGTGTTCATAACGCCAGGTTCTACCGTCTCAGGCATGACAAGAGGGACGAACGATCATCCTCCAGGTCGTCATTCACTTGAGCCTCACGACGAGCTGGATGAGAACTGGGCGATATGGCTAGAAATTGGAACCCGGAATGACATATTGGGGAACCCATACAACTTCTGCACCCGCGAATCAGAATCGCTCTTGGAATCTTTCACAATCACAACATCCGATCCTGGTCTTATTGAATATATAGACCTTCACACACACAACGAAACCGAGGCTGGATCTATCATTTCCCTCGATGAGAGCCCGTGGAAATTAAGTTGCTGTATACCAACACAGCCGGTCTTCGTCCATCAGCCGGCAAATGTTCGCATTTTTTGGGGCTTCGCTCTCTTCGCGAGACGTCAGGGGGATTATGTCCGGAAGCCGATGTATGATTGTTCAGGGGCAGAGATCACGAAGGAATTGTTGGGGCATTTACACTTTGCTTCTCAACCTTCGAAAACTACGACTATTCCTCGCGTTATGCCGCGGATGACTGCCATGTTGCTCATCCGTTCACTCAATGATCGTCCGCAGGTTATACCGCCGAGTATCTCCAATCTTGCCTTAATTGGACAATTCGTGGAAATTCCTCATTATAGCTGTGTTGATACTAGCTACAGTGTACGCACTGCGCAGTTGGCCGTATCTCGACTGATGGGCCTTGATCTCCGTTTTGAACAGAAGAAATCGTCGATTTTGGATCTACTTAGGATTTTGTTATGGAAGTGATTATTATTATGGTTATTTTGGTGATATATTGAAGTTAGCTAGCGATTATCAAGTGGACCAATCTTCTATTACATAGTAGGAGCCTGTCATATGCATTATCATGAACTTGATGTAATTTCTTCGAACCCTTAAATTTCCTGGATAGTATAAAACGTTTGATATAGTATTCTGATTAGAACTCCAGATCATAAGCCAAGGTATCCTCGCACAGCTCTTCCCGCATCCTGTGAACTCTAATACATTTATTAGCAATCAAGACATCAAGACCTCAACACACAAGCCACCAGAAACATACTCCATGTGGGCGGGGTGCACAGCATATTCCGCTATAGTCTCTTTCTTGTCCAAAACAGCCACGATTCCCATATCGAATCCCTTCGAGCGGGGCAAGGAGATTGGCAACGGGGTATTCGCTTCAAGCGACACGAGTCCTGTTTAAGAAAGCTTATCAGTCCTCCACTTGTCAGTCCAGTAAATATGAACTAACCGGGAATCTTGCCAACCATTCCTTTGGCTGTTTGTGCCCATGTCTCGACCTGGGCTGGGGTGATGCCTGCCTTGAGGCGGAAAAGCACTGTTTATTTCATGGTATTGTGAGATGATGTCCCCGCACGTCATCGGATGGGTGGGGTGCGGGGATATTGGGATTCAATCCCAGACTTACCAATGTGGTAAACTGGCATTTTGGCTTGGAATTATCTCAGTTTTAGAAAAGTTGACGGTAGGATTGTCAAAAATTATATACTGCCGAGGAATGTTCTCGGAATTATATAGAGAATCACTCAGTGTGCAACTTTGGGGGCGGTGTCGGCCCATCTCCGACAGTTGCTATTGGATCTCGGATATTCGGCATCTTATTGATGTTAGCCCTGAAGTCATATCGTGACTGGTTATGCTCTTTGAATCCTTTCCGGACCTCTTCGGAGCTCTTAGCTCTAGTGCTGACGGACCGACATCTATGTAGCGTGGTAGAGATATTACTAGAGGTGAATGTCACCGTTTCGGGGACGAAAGCCGAGTCATGACCCACTTAGTAGGCTGCTTAGAAGAGAGCATGTTTTGAGACATTGTATGTGGTTATTTCAAGAAATTGAAGAGCTAGTGAGAGTATAATTATAATCCAACCTGTCTAAATGTCTTCCGGTGATGAGGTCGGCCCGCCAATGGACTAGATAAAGAACGCCAAAGGCTTCACACCCATAAGCACCTCCGGGTATGTATATATGATGGAGGCCTTTTTTCAATTCTAATTTACCTTTAAAGGCTGCATACTTGGTGAAAATTAAGCTTATTTGAAGGCTATACTAAGCTGTAACCGTCACGGTTATGGCAAGGGTCCAATAAGGAAAGTTTAAATGGTTTATTAGGCGTGTGAAACGAATTCAACATTCAAGATAGTCTTCTTGGCTTTAATTATAATGGTTGTTATATGGTGACCCGCTTTTAAAGATTGAATGTACTGGAATCCAGTCACTACTACATCCAGCTTAAGGTCGTTGCGGGTTCTAGCGCTAGGGATGTGGGGAGCTTGGCGGGATATCGCGATTTTTTGTCATTGAATTCTCCTCAAGTTTGCATCCTTCAAACCTCTCTGATTTTTCTCCATCTCTTTAGGCGGCTACAGGGGAGCTATATCTATCTATCTAAAAACTCCTTTCATTATCATCATCCCTCTCTCGTCAAAAATGTTCAAGAAGAAGCCTACGGTCCGTGATCGCCCTCCCCGCACTGCCCCTCCTTAAAGCTTTGACAAAGCACCGTGAAGACCAAAGGCGCGAAGACATACTGATGAATCACTAGATCAAAAACTTGTCCCCCCCTTCGGTCTTCCGACCGGAGAAAAATAGCCGATCAGATCATCAAGGACTACCAAATCGCAGTCCCTTCCACCTCCGAGACATCATCCGACGCGCCGAGTACAGCTCCAAGCCTGAGTGCAGTACGAAATGCACTACTCCCAGAAAATGCATTGACTGCACGATTTACCACAACAGCTGGTCCGGACCTGCGAGAGGTACAGGGTATTGTGTATGTCGGTGCGCATGCAGATGGTGATGAGCGAGTACTCTGGTTCAAAATCGAACACGGTCCCGGAGCTGATAAGCGCCTTTACCCGACCGTTTACACATTATGGTCGAACCCGGACTTGGTGGCCCTGCTATACACGCCAGATATGGTGATGCAGAAACTTCGTGCTGGAGCAGATCTTATGACTCCGGGGCTTGCCAATGAACCGCCGTTCCCAGAACGAGCTGTCAAAGGAGCCGTGGTGGCCGTTGCCGGTCTAAATAATCACAGTGTGCCACTTTTTGTTGGAATTTGTGAGATTGATGTTTCTGGGCTCGGAGAGGTCCAAGGGACAAAGGGAGTCGCCGTAAGAGGTCTACATTGGGAGGGCGATGAGCTCTGGGCTTGGAGTTCATCATCACGGCACGGTCGCCCAGCTCCTGAATACTTAGAGGGCTGGGACGAGGAGGCTGGAGATGAAGTAGAGGAAGCTGTTGGTAACCTCACCTTGGAGGAGGCACCTGTGGGCGATGCAGTTGGTGATACTCCTGCTGCTGAAGAGCCTGCTCTGAAGGAGCCCACAACAAATGGTATGGTTTGAGCCAGTTACATTTGAACCTTACTGGGATGCTAAGATTACACAGAAATCGACGATGCTTTCGTCAAGGCTTTCGTTTTTGCCCTCTACAAACTCAAGCAGGACAACCCTAACGCCCCAAATCACACCCTTACTCTGCCAGTATCGCCATCCAAGTTGATCGCGGACCTGATTACGCCATATCTCCCTATCTACTCTGCACAGCAAGCACAATTCTACAACATCAAAAAGACTAGCTGGAAAAATGTCAAGAAGTTCATCAAGCAGCTTGATAAAATGCAGCTGGTCAAGTCCAAAGACCGCAGTGGCCAAGAGACATACATTTGGGATGTTGACTTTGACGACCAACGCGTCCAGAGATTCGTGCCATACAGGCTTCCATCAAAGAGTGCGCTGGAATCCTCGTCTTCAGAGAGCAAGAAGCCTGCTGCCACCGGGGGCGCAGACCCCTCAGTGGGACAGACACTCAATGTTCAGACCTTGTACCGGCCTACCCAGAAGTTAACACCAGACATTTTCCCCGCTCTTTCCACCACCAGCCCAAAGAACTACTACAAGTACTCTGATGTGTCCACCCACTTAGACCAATACGTCCAATCGCAAAACCCCCCTCTGGTTTCTAGCGACAACCGTCGCATCATCAACCTCAACCCATACCTTGCCAACACCATCTTCACGTCCTCATCTTCTGAGGACCTTGGGGCCCTCAAGCGCGGAATGGTCACCCGGGACGGGCTACTCAAGCGTGTCATCGAGGACCATGCCTTTCTACAGCCTCACTATGCTATACTCAAACCCGGTCAAACCCTTGCAGACGTTAAGCCCAAGGCAGGTGCCACGCCCAAGGCGGTCATCACTCTTGAGAAGCGGACCGGTTCCAAGACCGTTACGAAGGTTAGCAACCTAGAGGTCTTCGGCATCGTTCCCACCCTTCTGGCAGAAGAGCTGCAAAAGAAATGTGCCAGTAGTACCAGCGTTACTCAGGCTGTTGGTGCTCCCAAGGGAGTCATGGAAGTCTTGATTCAGGGTGACCAGCGCAAGGTTCTGGATACGGCTCTCACGCGCCGTGGACTAAAGAGCCAATGGATTGATGTGGTGGATAAGACCAAGAAGAAGAAATAGATCTAGTAAGTGAGATCTTATTGCATTGAATTTTAGAATTATGAAGACCCATCTTGGGACTAGATACCAGCAGAATCATAATATGCAATGGCCATGACATGCCCTATCTCAAGCTTGAATTTATACGTAGAGACATTGGACAAGGTGGGCGGTGGATAGGGCGGTCAAAGTACGCATTAAGTTGCCGGTGGAAGTTTCTATAGAAATGCAAACGAGACAAAAAAGGAGATCTGGCGTTCGGAGTGGGTCGGGTATCCACTACATACAATCGAATGCAACTCTCTTACACCTACACATCCTATTCGAAAATTTTGCTATCGGATCTTGACGTACCAGCAGCTCCTCAGCTAAACTGAATTCCATTAGAAATCTTTGATCGGCAGATAATATAGAGTCAGTTTTCAGACATCTTTTCATACTGACATTCTGACATCCTAGATCTCCGAAATCATGCATGCATTGTAGAATATTATGGCAGTCTTCATTGCAAAGAACAGACAAATAGATATTTCACCAGGCCGGCTCTACTTTATCCAGTATATGCAAGTCATTACGCAACATTAGCATCGTTGTCATTGCTGTACTCCAAGATAACCTTATTTGCTCGCCAGTACATGGTTCATCCGCTTCCATCGACTATGCACAGCCCACTAGCTGGTTCTTAGGTGGAAGAGACGCTGGAGTTGGTCCTATACTTTCAATTTCAATATTATATCATCATAGATACTTATCTTCGCAGAATTGACAGGTACTATCCCCAATCGTTCCTTCGTCTGTTTTAGCTCTTCACAAACAAGGAACTATACTTCATTCCCAAGGTTCAAAACACTGCCACTCAACATGACCCGCATTCTTCTATTGGCTTTTCTGTTAGCTATATTTAGTGAGCAGGTCCGCTGTGCCCCTGGAGACAATGAGTTGAATCACCATGGCAAGGGAAACAACTGGGGCTCGGGTGACACCAGTACTTGCTGGAGTGACTGGACCACGAAAACCAAGCCTACAGCTACATCAGATACTACTACTTCGTGTGATACGTCTATCACCACCGAGACGCCAACCACTACAGACACTCCCACCGATACGGACACGCCTACCACCACAGACAAGCCTACCACCACAGACACAGATACACCCACAACCACAGACACAGATACGCCAACGACCACAGAAACCACCACCACAACAGATACACCCACGACAACCACAGACACACCAACGACCACAACGACTGACCTCCCCGGGTGTCCTACTTGCTCACCCCACAACAATGAATGCGGATCCCTGACCTCATGCGAAGGACTCGGAAGCGCAAATCACTGCGTCTGCCATCCAGGATTTAAATCTAGCGATACGGACAACCAATGGCGTGTCTATTACCCCAGTGATTATGGTTACTTGGTATTTGTGCCAGAGGGTGTGGACTGTGATGTAGAGTGCGAAGATTGGACTGATTCACCTGAAGGGCTTTGCGGAGAGGTTCCATTGGCTGGTGCAACTTGTACCGCTTAATCTACGCTCTTCAATTCAGTTAAGATAGAGACTATCTTGTTGATCTGGATGAATTTTGGGTACTTGATAGATGCTGTACCTAGAGACCTCACTGTTCTTTGGACTCTCCCCTTCAGTCACCACCGTCTACTCTACAGTTCCAATCGAATTTTGAGCAGTCTAACAATTCCATTCATAAAAAGAAAAAAAGTATAAACAGAGGTTTGAAAGTAAACCCCTCATCTCCCATTAGAAGAGAGGAAAAGGAAGAAAAAGAACTGCAACGCTATACCAGTTCATATAAGGTATTTTTGTTACATAAAGGGCCACTCCAAGAGTAAAAAAGCCCAAGACAGGATACCCGATCCAAGCCCAGAAGAATCAACCAAACCAAATCCAATCACAAGAAAAAGATCGTTCTCTGCTCATTCTCAATATCCATTTCATGACCACCAAGGACACGTCTAGTTGATGGTAATATCGCGGGCGTGCACCTTGTCATTGCTGACCATCCACCGGAAGGTCTGGCGCAGCAGCTGGAGAACCTCAGCGGCGCTCAGGGAGCTGAGGTAGGACATCCAGTCGCTGGAGACGTAGTCCGATTCACCGGAGGTCTTTGAGGTGGTGGATGAGGAGCCAGAGCTGGAGGAACCAGAAGACTCGGAGCTAGAGCCAGAGCTGGAAGAGCCGGAGACAACGCTGGGAGAGACTGTCTGGACAGGCTCGCTTCCCTCGGTGATGGTGGTGGTAACAGCGACGACAACTGGGACAGCGCTGGTAGTCTGCACAACAGACTTGTCAGTAAGAGTAACCATTTCGGTGACCCAGGAGGTGCTGGTCTCGGTCATGGTGATCACGACGGGGGTAGCAACAGTGGGGGTAGCAGTGGCAGACTGCTTCTGCTGAGCGCCGCTAGGAGCGGAGAATTGAGGAGTAGGAGCAGATGTGAAGCGGGGACCACCAGGTCCGCGGCTGAAAGACGGACGCCATCCATTGGAAGAGTTGGAGAAGGGTGGGGTGGAAGAGGGGCTCCAGGTTGGGAAGGCACTGACGATTGATGAGCTGGGAGTGGTTGTGGGCACAACCTCCACGGATGCAGGGCTGCTGGTGACGGCAGCGGCGGTAGTGACAGCATTGGCAGTAGTAACGGCAGCGGCAGTAGTAACGGCAGCAGCGGTGGAAGAAGCGGCGGTGGAGGCAGCGGTGGCCGCGGCGGCACCAGCGGTGTACAGGGTTGGGCCGGGGATATCGTAGGTGCTCAGGGAGGTGTAAATGTTGATCAGGATACCGGGGTCGGTGTTCTTGTACAGGGCGGTACCCAGGGTACCGGAAGGAGTGGCACTACCGCCGCCAGTGACCTTCAAGTTGATACACTGGGGGTAGTTCTGGGCGCCGTTGGTCTCCTCGGCGGAGTGGAGGGCGATGATCTCGTGACGGAGGACGTAGTTTCCATTGGCGATGTCGCTGGGGACGGTGACAGTACGGCTGTTGTTGTTGGCGATGAGCTTGTCAGTTGCCCAGGTACCGGGCTCAGTGGTGTCGCTGATCAAACCACCCTGGTCAATCTTGAAGAACTCCAAAGTAGTCTTGTCAACGTCGTCACATTCGCCGTTACAGTTGGCCATGTAGGTAATGACAGGGCCGTGGTGGCTGGTAGGCCAAGTGGTCCACTGGAGCTCGACGGAGCCACCAGCCTTCACAGGTGCCTCCAAAGCACCTGGCTGGGCTTCTTTGTGACAGATGATGTTAGAGTTGGCGTACTCAGAACCATCAATGTAGCCCAGATCGGTCTCTTGCTCCGACCAGGCAATGAGCTCGGGAGGGTCACTCTCGTAAGGGTACTCGGTGACGATGTATCCACCGTAGTAGGTATCGTCAACGACGATTCCGCTCACGTAACCGTGGCCAGCCACCAAGGCAGCGGATCCGAGGATCAATCCAGAAATCTTGGACAGAGACATTTCAGTCGATTTTGGTAAAAGAACGCACAGCGTTTGATAGTCGAAAAAAGAATGACAAAATGGGGACTTCAAGTCAACCCGATGAAGAGAACGGAAGGTACTAGACCTGGAGAAAAGAAAGAATGGAACAGAAAAGACTGGTGAGCGAGCAAAATTTCAGTGCTCGAGGCCGTCCTTTGCCCAGCTTTATATCCAGCTTCATCGGTTGTAAGCACGGGCATAGCTTCTTTCGGGTCATGATATCCGAACCAATCAATCCACTTTCATGGCAGCTCTGTCATGGCTGGCCGTCCTTAATTCACGAAAGTCTCTGTTTTCATGGTTCTCAGACATATCCACTCGCTTGTTTGGTTGGCCATAGGTGGAGAATCTCCAGCGACTAAACGGGTAGTGCGCCGAGGTGTGAGATAGATGAGGAGCAATGTCTGCAAAGCGCCGAGGGTCCTGCTAAAAAGCCACATTAATTAAGGTACGCAGGCTTGGCATCGCTCTGGAGACCTTTAGGGCGAGCTCAAACCACTAGTTGGCGGCCGTCGATCTAGGGCGGCTCTCTGCGACATCTTAGGTTTCACCCTTTTATCCAGCCCCCTCCAATTGGCTGGACCCTGCAGCGTACCTGATATATCGTCACTTGAGATATCTGTTCTGTCAAGTTGATATCAAAGCTCCTGCTCGAAGTAATTTCATACCAGGGTCACAAAGCTTGGTCCTTGTCAGGGGGCCACATGGAAGGTTAGCGGGGTTTGTGGTTCAAAGACGAGTGTTTGGAGTGGTGTGATCGACTACGCGGCTTTCGATTAATAGACTTCAGAAACAAAACAATTGACACTAGTGAGCTGTCAAACGTCAAACTGATTCAAGGTTTAGATACGAGTGATGCAGCATTGCAACGTCCATTGGCAGATCACGTTGGGTCACGGGGTTCGGGTCTTGGTTCTGATCGTATGCCGAGATCTGGGACATCAATTCGAAGAGTTACGTACATTGCGAAAATGATGGAATAGACCACCATGCCCCTTGTTTGTTTGACCACAATCAATATAATATAGAGAGGGGCAACTGCAGCGGAGAATTAGTCTGAAACACCGGGTGCGCTCGGCACGCCGCCCATGTTGAAGTCCGAGAGCGCCCCGTTAATTCGAGGCTCTAGAAGCAATATTGATATGGAGTCATTAAAGTACCATCAGTCCTAGTTTGAGACATTGACGTGGGGCTTATTGTCGGACCTACTAGTCCCCTTTGCAATTTTATCGCCTTGACTACCAGGAATTCTGATAAGAGAGATACTGTAGCCACCCTGGAAGTAGGGTGCCCATTCTTAAGCCACCAGGCGAAAGAATCAGGCATTTCAAGTATCTGTTCCTAGGGAAAGTCCATTGCGTACATTAGAGAGCCCCTCTCATGCAGCCAAGACAAGCTGTCAAGGCGTTTTGACCCCGAGAATCTATTATCGGGCTGGGAACCTGGGATCTGGCCGCGTATGGGCTGAAATAGTGTGGCTTTTGAGCCGATAAGCCTGCACGTCGCAAAATCTCTGATGATTATTTGTCTCTTGACTTCAAACTATGTTTGTCGGTACTCAAGCAGCTACGTATGTTTTCAAGCCAATTGTTACATAAAAAACCTCGTATAGAGAGCCCTAAGGCCTAGCGCAGCGAATAGCGTTGTAGAAGAGTCGATCATGCCTGAGAGCAGGCGATCTGCATCAATGATGATGTCTATTATCAGTATCGCCCAGGAGTCTTGGTCGCAAGATAGTGGCACAGTGATGTGATACAAGGGAGCATGATACGGATTATTCAGTAATGCAGGCTGCACCCAATCACTCACCGGTTTATCTGTGCTTAGTGCCGCGAGGGGTTTACGGGGGGGGGTGAATCATTTGTGGCGGATCATTCCAAGGACAGTCGGGCGCATTACTCTTAGCTTGGGAAGTCAACACGAATCCATATCGGGGTTACACGGTTTGAATAGAGGGTGTGAAGTAAATCGAACAACAAATAAATAGAATGGTCAGTAATGAGAACGAATCAAAGCGATTGAACTTAGTGATTGTAAACCCGCGTATTGGTCACCGCTTCTGGCTGCCTCAGGTACCAATATCCACACCGTAACAACTTTCTAGAAGAACTGGATTATATCTGGGGTAGATATACATATATGATCAACCGCTTTATTATTTTCTCTCTCCTGTTGTTTTTTTCCCACTTTATCTCATCTACTTAATCCCAGCCAATAACAAAGTGATTGTTCTTATTCGCCCCTCGCACGTTCCGTTTCTGCCGGTCTGGATCCGCGTTCACACTTTTCCCGCTCTCCTTTCTCGACTCCACACAGGCAGTCGCTTTCTTTACCCCAGCAACTTTACTCATCCCAACCGTTTTTTCGACTTTTTACACTCTTGTTCCAGGAGCCATGGTCATTGACGACCGGTCCTGGTACACTGCGTGAAAGTCTCTACAGATACTACATCCTAACTCGTTTCCTCCGGAGCCCCGTCTTTCCCCGATCGCTATCCCACCACCCACGCGACAATCGCAACATCCAAATTCAAGACGACTGGAGGGTGGTCGCAGTAAACATCTGTCGATTTACAAACTAAGGAAAGGGCAAACGAACTATGGGACCATCAGACGCACCCTCCTCGCCGACGTTCCCTGCCCTGGATCCTATCATAATGGACGATGAGATGGAATCTACATTCCGCAACGCCAATATGGATTTCCTTGACCCAACGAAACTTGAGATTCCCTCGGGGTCTGCTGGAGGAGATTTTGATGATCTATTCGCCCATGTCACCCACAGTCGCTCCAATGCCGTCCCGGAGTCGTCCAAGGCTTATCAAGACCAACACCCCCTGAGACAACCACCGTTGATGGCAGCGGAGTCACCAGCAGAGTCGCCAGACAATTCGAGCCGCAGCTCTTCCTCGGAATCCCCACGCAATCATCACCGCCATGCTTCGGTCGCTTCAACAAACTCCGCCGCACATAGCGAAAATCCGTTGACCTCCGCCGGTTTCTCAACAGAAGATTGGATGCGTCCTGAACTGTCGTCTGTGAAGGAAGAGTCGCCATTTACAATTGAACCGTCTTATCCCATGGACGGGTTTTCCATGGACCCTGATTTGGAGTCGAGCAACAAGGCTATGGATGCAGCCTTCGATTTTGAAAGCGCTGCGAGCAGCCCCAGCCCACTGAAAACCGAAAATCCGCCGCAACCAAATCCCCCAAACGCATCCCAATCACAATTCTGGAGTCCTGCGACAGCTCCCGCTGTAGCGCCATCGAACGAGGCTCCCGTCGCAAGCAGATCATCGGTGAGTCATGGAATGGAAGTTTTTTGGCAGGAATTGATTCTAACCTTCCGCAGCAGGCCCCGGCTCCCGGATCACCCTTCTTCCCTTTTGGTCTCAAAGAACAGTCTCCATTCTCGGGCACATTTCGTAATGATTCAGAGAGATTGGCTGCTCCACAATGGGGCACCCAGTCTCCGTCATCGCTGTTGGAAGAAAGCTTCGGCGGCATTAACATGAACGGGCAGTCACCTCTACACCAAGCAATGTCGCCCAGCATAAACTTCGGCTCGCCTGCTGCATACCCATTTCCCGTCAATTTCGGCTCGTCGCCGGCTCAGCCGGTGGATACTACTAATTCCGTCCAGCCCGTTCTCACGGTTCATCCGACCTCCCTCAAATCGCGTGTTGAAACTCAAATTCCGATCCGATTAACTCTATCCCCGCTGCCGGCCAGCGTGAAGAAACTGCGCCTCCCTTCTCACACCATCTCCAAACTCAAATTCCTTGCCTCCGCTGCTACCGAACCCTCGCCCGACACTCTGCAACTATATACAAGTCTCGTATGCACTAGTGCAATGCAAGATCGTGAAAAATTAAAACGAGCTTTTGCACGCACAAGGGGTGAAAGATACCAAAGCGGAAACGGTTCGAAAGAAGACCAGCCTTTGGAAGGTGGAGACGTGGTGATCTGCGGAGGGTGTATACAACGAGAACGGAAACGTGCTTCTCGAAAGAAGCAACGGAAGCCTGAAGAGGATGAGCTGTTCCAAAAGGACGAGGAAAAGAGGGTCATTGTCTTCAACACAAGTGAGATCAAGGAATGGACCGAGCCGCCTAAGAACACTTCAACTGGCTATGACATGCCACCCGCTCCCCCGGGATCGATGCAAGTAGAACTTCCGATGCGAATCGCCTGTTACTGTCGGCACCAGAATGAGAAGCTTGGGTTCCAGGTTATCTTTACCATTAAGGATCACTTGAACAACGTCGTTTCTCAGGCAATTACCAATTCGATAATGATCACAGATGATCACAAGACCCAAGCTCCTGCCGCCCCAGTACCAACAGGCCCTTCGCCTTCGTTGCCAGATGGAACTCAGTTGCCTGGCGTTGGTGTGTTCTCTTCGGGGTCGAATCCGGACAGCGGCAAAGGTGCGAATAATGCGTTTGCATCCCCTCAGTCGCCTACGGATCTCCAGGGTCTTCAACAAAGGTTCAATTCGCAGTACCAGCTTACACCAAGCTCTTTTGCTGCTGTTCAAGGCTCGGCTAATAGCACGTCTGCGCCTTCACACCATTCCCGCAGCCTGTCTCGGCAGGCATCGCCAACTGATTTCCCTGGCCCACAATCCAAACGACGCAAGCACAGCAGTTCTGGGAGACTACCATCAGAATTGACCATGACAAGGATGGAGACACCGCAATCATCATCAGCCGCAATGAACGCTGCACAGCTCGCTGCTGCTCGCGGATATGCTTCTCCGACAGAACGGCCGTTTGTGACACCTTCATCCATGAACGGGCAGTACGGAAATGGACCACCGACTCCCAACCAAAGCAATGACAACAATCCCTTCTTCAATCCTACCCCAGCTCAACGACAGAGCTTGGATAGCTTGGCGCATCAGCCTCTGGGGTCCGCACCGAACTCTGCTCAGCCTAGCCGGCCAGGAACACCCGGTACTTCCGGTCGCAACGGTTTCCAAGATCCTAATCTTGCGCTCGCTCTTGGTACCAACTCTGCAAGCCAAATATGGCCTCCCCTTGCTGCCACGCCCAGCCGTCTTCCTTCAGTTATCCATAAGCTGGTCCCAGCGGAGGGGTCAATTATTGGAGGTACAGAGGTCACATTATTAGGTAGCGGCTTCTATCCCGGTATGGAGGTTGTCTTCGGTGATACGCTTGCGACAACTACGACATTCTGGGGAGACAAGTGCCTCAACTGTCTGACTCCACCAGCGCTCCAGCCTGGTCTAGTGTCGGTCATGTTCAAACATGAACACCCGACTTTTGGCCAAGTACAGCAACCCCAGCCTCTCATGCCCAAGCAGCAACTCTTCTTCAGATACGTGGATGATCGTGAGCTTCAGATGTACCGTTTAGCTCTCAATATCCTTGGTCAGAAGTTGGGCAGCCAGGCGGACGCATTCCAAACAGCTCAGCAGATCATGGGGAGCGATCCGAATGCATTTTTGAACATGCAAAAAGACATGCAGGGCGGTTCCTCCGGTGGTCATCAGCGGCAAGTACCAGGAATGGAGGCTCAGGGCAAGCTCAGCGATCTTGACTCTAAGATGCTGACCTATCTTGAGTTCATCGATCTTGATGACAGCCCGCGGCCGCCTCGCTTCAACTCTCGCAGCTTGACCGGACAGACTCTCCTGCACTTTGCGGCTTCTATGGGATTGACTCGGTTTGTTGCGGGATTGTTGGCTCGCGGTGCCAATCCCGATGTGCAGGACAACACCGGCAATGCACCAATGCATCTGGCTGCTCTTCACAGCCATGCCCACATTGTTCATCGACTCCGTCTGGCTGGTGCCAACGCTAATGCTCGGAGCGTGCGTGGCTTCACTCCTGCTGACCTGGCTACATCGTTGCCTACACACCAGGCTGCTCTGTTGCCTTCTCGTCATTACCGTTCTCGCAGCGCAGGGTCTCTTACTTCACGCCGCAGGCACAGCAGCTCTGCTTCGCTCAGTTCCCTTTGGGAGGCGTCATCCGCTTCTGGGTCCCTCGGCCACGCGGTTGACGACTCGGAAGAGCTGGAAGACAGTGAAGACTTTGACAGCGAGGATTCTGATGAAATGCCTCTCCATTTCAGCGCCTCTCGACGATCGAGTATGCACCAAGATGTCGCTCCCCCAATTGTGGACGGTGGTGAGCAAGTGGTGGGCCATGCTGATACCCCAGGCTTCTCTCCGCCCGCGGCAGTCGTCGCATGGCGAAATCAGCTGGCTGCACAAATCAATCACTTCCAGCAGAGTATGGCTAATGCTTTCCCCAATATCCCTGCTTTGCCACCAATGCCTGCTCTGCCTCCACTGCCCGCTTTACCGGACTATCAGGCCAATCAGATGATGCGCCGCATCACTAACCTTGTGCCTCATCGTCCAGTGGCTGATGGTTGGTGGGATTACTTGAAGGGCAACACTGCCCAAACCCATACACAGCCGCCTTCCTACGATGAACTATATCCGCACCAGCAGGCTCGTGTGGACGAGGCTGAGATGAAGAAAACATCTCTGCTACGTGCAGCGACAGAGGCTGCATTAGATGAACACTTCGAAGCTCAGAACACTGTTGTTGCCTCCACATCTGCGGCTGCCGCCTCTACCCCCCGAACGCCCACGATCGGCGAAGGATGAGCTCAAGGATATCACCATTGGGAAGAAGCTCATTTCAAGGGAGCAGCAGAAGCATCTTCGAGAGCATCAGGCCCGTCGCATGAAGGGGTTGGGTAGCGATCGAAACCTCTATTTCATTTGGGTGAGTCCTCTGGTATCTGTAAATGACCAAAACAGTCAACTGACCCTTTCTAGATTCCCCTTCTTCTCTTGGTTATTTGCGCATGGGTACGGAACTATGTACCTGGAATTTGGCAAGGCGTCACGGACAGCTTTGATTTTGTGAAGACTCGCTATGCACAGCGGGCTGTGGAAATAGGTATCTAGGATCTCCTTTGTTTTTTTTCTCTCTTTCATTTGCGAATTCGGTGTTTTTATCTGAGCGACTTACACCCCCCATCTACCCCTATTGGCACATTTTCTATTTTTTGTTATATTTTGCGTATAATGACAGGGTACGACTACATATACATTCAAGCTTGCAGAAGCATGGTCCTTGCTGGCCTTTTTGTATTGAGCATAGACCAATCAATATTTATGTAAATTTCTCTTGAGGCAATTGTAAAAGTGTATGTGTATCCTAATCATCATGATCGGGATTCCCTAACAAGATCACCGGATGTAAAAGTTGGCAAAAGTAAAGGAGACCAGGATCATAAGTTGATTACCACCTGGGCACCCCCCAAAAGGGCAAGTTATAGACAATGCCAAGATGCGGCCTGTGCGCCCCCATAGCTGGCCTCGGGGAGTTTGCAACTTCAACAACCCCGCGACTTCACCATTACTTTCTCAAAGTATAGTGAGGTATACAGCAGCTTGTGGTACTTGGATCGGAATGCTCTGAGTGCCATTGGCCCTCTCTCGAATTGCGCCCGGGAATCATGGACCCCTCGCAGGCGGCCTCGAGCAATGTGACCGGTAGCAAACCCCCAAGTATGAGGACTTTGGAGACATCAGCGCTAATTAGGTATGATGAAAAGTGGAATACACGGATCCGTCAGGCCTATTCCCCCAAATTCAATCCATTATCGAATCGAAACTCCCCCTGAAGAACCTCCACTGGAAATCACCAACCCGACCCGTTCGGTCAATCGAATCGCTCCGCATCGGCTTTGTTTCGGCACAGACTGAGAGTGCTGAACCCAAGCCATCTAGCGATGGTGCTGGCACTGGCACAGTTACACACAGGCGACACCAGATCCCTGGCTTGCGACAAACTCCATACCTGAAGGTCTTCCTCCTCCGCTGTGACGATAACGACACATACAAAGCCACGGCGCGCAAAACACTACGCGAATGGATCAAGGCCCAAGGCGCGTCGAGTACTTCGCAGTCGACTGGAACCGCTGGTAGCAGTCAAGAAAAGCACGATGCCTTCGAGTGGCTTATTCTACATGTGGTTCAGGACGGAGACGGTGCGGAGAAGGCACCGACACCCACGTCGAAATGGGGGCGGGGTACGACTACCATCCTGGAGAAGGTCAAAGCCGACTTCAATGGGTCTTCCAAGACCGCTGTGGATCGTGTGGCACAGCTTCGGTTGCCCAAGACAGGGACGACCAAATCCCCTGAATTGGTTGAGCAGCTGGAAGACTTGATTGACAAGATGAAGAATGGAATTCTGGCTTCCTTCGATCTGCGTGTGGCTCAGTATGAAGAAGATATCAAGGAAAAGGATTCTCAGCGCAGTCTTCCTGGGTGGAACTTTTGCACCTTCTTTATACTCAAAGAGGGCCTCGCGCGGGGATTTGAGAATGTTGGTCTCTTCGATGATGCGCTGGCTGGGTATGATGAGCTATCTGCCGGCTTAGATGCGGCTATTCGAGATCAAGTCGAAGGAAATGGCGGTCAGCATGGTGGTGAACTCTTGACTTCTAGCAGTATCCTGATAGAAGAAGCCAAAAAAGCACTGGAGGCTGGACCTGTGGCCGATGACAGTCAGGAAACTGATCCCTCCCAACTAAAGATCCGACCAGAGGATTACCCACTTATTTCCACCAAGATGCCGTATCGGGAAATGATCCTAGGAAGCAACATCTCCATCTTTAACTTCCGCACCTATCTCTTCTCTCGGCAACTGGCTTTGCTTCTACGAGCTGCAAGAGCTCCATCACTCCTTGGAAATGAAACAGCTACCCGTGATAAGAAACCGGAGAATCTCATGCTGCTTTCGGAGATCTGTGAAAGATCCACGGAGTTCATCAGTCTCGCCGCGCGAACGCTCCGCTATGACCTCGAGGCTGGTTTGGAGGATGTGCAAAACGAGGCCAAGGCAAACTTCATCAACAATGCTGTGTCTTCGTGGGCCTATTCAGCGGCCTTGCAAATTTTGGATCAGACATACACCACCAGTCTCACAATTCCCGAATCCTCTCTTCACGCGGTGGCACAGGTTGCTGATGCCTCGAACTCAGGTGCACCGATGACAGAAAGTCGCGCCGAGGTACCTCGCCGGAATAGCTCACTGGCATCAGGTTCCTCTCGTCCTGGTCGTCCGTTGACGCAGGATATGTCTGATGTAGGATCGCTCCAGCGCAGAATGACTTTAGAACATCCAAAGCAAGCTCCTGTTATCACTCAAAAGACCGGCTCTGAACAGCTGGCATCTGGAAGGGGGGCACTATTTTTGTTCGCGCGGAGATCCCTTGAGGAGATTGCGCGTCGACGAGGCTGGTCAGAGAAATGGACCGATCTTGGTCTCCTCTTTGATGATAGTCATAGCTCTGGGACAGGCAGTCTATCGAATGTCTCCTTAGACAATGACGGGGATTCGAAGCCACGAGAGGATACAGAGACAAAGCAGTCCTCTCTGGTTGGAATCGAGTTACCCGCACTGAAGGCTGCACTGAAATCCATAGATACATTCTGGTCGTCTTACGAGGACCTCACCGATCGCATTATCTGCCACAACATGGCAGCGAGCCGTGCTAACTCTGCTGAACTTGCACTCGCCGACATTGCCATTCTACGGTTCCGTCAGGCCGATTACGAGACAGCTGCTTCATATTTCCACCAGATGGCTCCATTTTACGGCAGTAAAACTTGGACTGTCCTGGAGGGTACCATGCTCGAGCTCTATGCCCGGTGCTTGAAGGAACTCAAGCGTCATGAAGATTATGTCCGCATGGTGCTGAAGCTGCTCTCCAAGTTTGCTTCATATTCACAATCCCAGCTATCAGATAGACAGAGAGCCCTGTCTACGCCAACTTCAATGTTAGAACAGGAACAGCTTTCTGGATATGTTTCCGATCTTTTCCAAGGTCTGGGATGTCTACAAAAGGACGTTACGACATCTTTGGTTGACTTCTTTGCGGATTTGCAAGTTGACCCTGCCATTCGACTTTATGATGACAAGGATGGATTCCAGATTCAGATGGGTTTGCGCTTTTTACTGGGCCCGCAAATTGACATAGATTCAATCAAGGTCAGACTGGTCAGCGCCAGTCCCTCTCAAAATGCGGAGCATTGGATTGAAGGATCTACCAATTTTGTGATTAAGTCGACAAAGACGAAGATTCTCATTGACTCTCTGGTAAGTCGACCCTCTTCATGATGATTAGTGAGATTATCATGGCTAACCCTAACTTAGACCACCCTCCAAGGCAAATACTTTGTAGATCGCCTAGAGATGAAATCTGGGAATCTTGTTTTCGCATTCAACAGTAACCAACATTCATATCTACCAGTTGGATTCCGGGAGGCAAACGATGCAGATGGCACCGATCACCGCCCATACATTTACTGCTACCCTCCGCCAGATGGCCTGCAGGCGAAGATTGTGTCACCACACTCAATCAATCTAGAGGCTATGCGCACACTGGAGCTGGAACTCTCCAGTGGGCGAAATGACATCAAGAGCGGCACTGTTCGTGTACGACCGGCCACAGCAGGACTCCGTCTCCGAATCGCGGAGGCAGAGGTTGTGGAAGGTGAGCTAGACGTCGTGGCCAACAACGACTCTGGAACTATAGAGTTTACACAATTGCCAACACGATCGTTTGTGCGACTACGTATTCCTTACACCGTGGAAGAAGCTTTTACAACCCTTTCCGCACGCGCAGAAGTCACTTACGAGACAGAGAAAGGTCGATTTGCTTCTTCGACCATGCATAACGTTGTTGCCACGCTTCCCATCTCGGTGAACGTGCAGGACATTTTCAAGGATGAAATCCTCTTCTCACGTTTCACAGTCAGCCCCGCCATGATGATCCCTCTGCGAATCACCAATTGCAGCCTGCCCAGCTCAAAGGCCTATGACGTGCAGTCTAGTATCACGGGCCCCGTCGCTCTGGACGTCTTCCCAAAGCAGCCTGCGTCCCTCCTTTACAAGATTCGTCCGTTAGGGAGCACGGCCACATCGACCGATGCCCCTGCCTTGGGCAAACGAAGTCTCCGCCTGCGTGTTGACTTCACATGTGTGGATGATGAGTGCTTTGATGCCATTGAGAAGCTATTTTTGACTGCAATTCAGTCGAGCCCCTACAGTCAATATGCATCTTTACTTGCATCACATCTTGTCGGCACTTTCCGGGCTCGACTATCTACCTCAGACATGGAAGTGATTGGCCTTGTAAGAGAATTGGAGATGCTCCCCTACCGGACTGTGCGCTGGGATGAATTGTTGGATGGACTTAAGGAACGCACTGAGGACGTGCGCCAGTGGCTGATGGCGTGGCACGAGGTAAGTTGATTTGCTATACATTCCCACCTATCCTTTCATTCACTTTGTATTAATTCCCCACAGAGCAACTCGATTATTCGACTCCCATCTCAACCTACCATCCCCACCCGCTGTATTATCATCCCTGTTGAAATTCCCGAGATCCAAGTGGTTCACACGGCCGAGCTGCAGCTCCAGCCAGGACTGGATGTATCCTCTGGCTCTTCCCACGCGGCCGTGGGCCAGATGATTCCAGCCGAGCTCACCCTTCGCCACACCCGCCGTTGGTGCTCCCCAACAAACCAAGAGAATGCAGGACAACCGTTAGAATGCTCCTACGAGATCCACGCAAATCCCGAGC